TCAAATTTTGATTCAAGTCCCTAGCATTAATGTGATAATGAATTTACATGTTTATTATATAATTTTTTTAATATAAAAATTAGTAATTAATTTAGGGTTTAATACTCACACCTCTATTAAACTTCTAATTAATTTTCAATTCAAACATTTCCAAAATAATAAAAAATTAAATTAAATTAAGTTTGTACCTATTAGTTTTTTTTTTTATATATAAAAAGATTCTCAATTTTTTAATCTTAAATGTACCCATTCATATAATTTTTCAATTTTTTTAATCTTAAATGTACCCATTCTCAATATATCAATTTGTTATATGTAAAATGTACCCTTTTTTAATATAAAATTCATTCAAATTTTTTAATCCATGTTTAAACTTATATGGGTACATTCTTTTTCGTTGATTTTGAGAATGTATCCATGTTTTGGTACAATAACTTTTTTTGTTAATTTTGGTTAATGTACCCATACATATATGTATACACACACACACACACACACACACAATATAATAGAGAGAATAATTTATATTTTATTATTTTTAATCCCATAATTATGGGTTTTATTTAAAATCTCATTAATATAAACAATTACAAATTTCAATTTTTAATTTTTAATTAAAAAAATATAGTAACTTACATTATTACATTAATATCAGGGACCTCAATCAAAAACTAAAAACTAACAAGGTTTCAATCAAAGAATATTGATAGCTAGGGACCGCATCCAAAATGTCCCCATATTTAATTAGAACAGATTAAACTAAAGCAAAATTGTGTTCAGAGCATACAACTAAGTAAGAATAATGTGAAAGAACTACTATAGAAAGGTACGAACCAAGGAATGAGACTCACACATAAGAGGCTTAAAGATGCCTAAGTGGGAATGTCCTGACGCCGGGATCGTGTGCCTTGAATCTAATTCCCGAAGGGGGCGCAAAACCAGAAAAGGGGAGTGGACCAGAGTTTATAATATTAGTACTAATAATAGGAAAACACTTTATTTTTGAACATAATAACCCCCTATTTTGAAAACATACATAGAATACTACATATAGGTCTTATGAAAAACCCTAGCATGCCATGTAAAACATTTGTAAAACCTCTATAAATCATATCCGTGAAGTACTCAACTAGGGGTATCATAGTCGCCCGAAGGCAGTACTTGTCCATCACCCGAAGGTGAAGATGTATAACATGTCCATCACCCGAAGGTGAAGCTGAATAACATATCCATCACCCGTAGGTGAAGCTGAATCAAATAGTATAACATCCACACTGACACTAGCCGTGGCTAGTGAAGCTGTCCGACATCGTTTTCGGCGGTAAAGCTGGGGGTATATAATATATCATATCTCACTCCTCCATCATCTGTATGATAAATCATGTTCACAAATCTATAAAATAAATCATCTTCGTATCATAAATCCACTAAATAAGTATTAAAAACATATTTCAAAATCTCGTATCATAAATCCATGACAAATCATGTTCACAAATCTATAAAATAAATCATCTTCGTAACTTCATAATATAAGTCATATTCGAGATCAATAGAAATCCATATATGCAAATCTCATAATTCATAAACGTTCATAAATGTAATTTCAATAAAATCATGAATATTTTGTAAAAGCTATTAAACCATGAATTCGATATAAACTATAATTATATAAATCCAGAAAACATAATATAAAATGTATTAAATGCATGAATTATGAAATGCATGCTAGGCTAATATTTTATAAAAATATTTAAGTTATGAAGGGGTCCACTCACAGGTTTTCCATTGCTCGAAAGCCACTCGAACTATCGAGAATGTGATCACTTCCCGCCAACGCACCTAAACATAATTAGGAACCCTTTAGTAAAACTCTACTAAAACGTTATAATTTTGGAAAACAAATGGCGGATTCAAATTCGGCACATCGAGGAACCTCGGGTTTTTCCTCCATGCTCTGCCGCATGAGTCGCCGTGGGTGGCGGTTGACCGCCCCGACTCGGCGGAAAATCCAACAACTCCAAAAATTCTAAAATTTTACAAAAATGAATATCTCAATGAGAGGAATAGCTTTCATACCTATGACTAAGGCCAATTTGGCCGATAAAATCCCCAATTTCACTAAAACCCGTCGAAAACCTTATAAAGGGTGTTTCCTGATTCGTCCTCAAATCGATTCTGACACTCCAACCAATGATTGGGCATTGTTTCTGAGCTCAAGGGAAGTACATTGGTGGTGGCAATTGAACGGAAACATTGTAGGAATGGTGGATTCACCGTTGCGGGTGCCCTTGAAGCTGTGCCTTCGATCTTGACAAATTAAGGCCCAAATACCTCGATTTTTAGGTGTAACGTGAAGAAGGGAGGTCGTGGGATTGATTATAGGTGGCAGAGACGGTCAAGTCGCTGGGAAATTGCCGGAATCACCACCGGGTTATGTAGAAACCATGTCGGGTCGGCGGGGAGGAACCGGGTGAAGGGTGATCTGGTGCTTCTCCTTTCTCTCATTTCCCCTCTTTTCTCTCCTCTCTAATTGATCACTCACTCTCTCCCTTCTCCCGATTGGTCCTCACCTCTCCCTCATTTCTCTCCTTTATTTTCGATCTCCACTGACCATCTTTCCTTTCCTTCAATCTCAGCCACACACGTGGCTTTCCAGATTTGCCTCCAAAAATTTGGAGCCTTCTAGAAAATGTTTAAATGACTATTTTGTCCCTATTTTTACTCGTCCATAACTTCTTCGTTATAACTCCAAATCACGTTCCGTTTGAGCCCACACATTCGTAACGACGAGTACTACAAGAAAACGAATCTTACATGACATGACAAGGCGATCAACAAAAGTCAATCGTATTTGTCTCGAAGGACATTTTCGAAATTTCATATTTTAAAATTATAAAATTCGTAATAATTGGGGACGGATCGTTACATCCAATATAAGGTTTAGACTTAAGACTTAAATTCAAGGTGCGTGCATTGAAAAGAAAATAAGAAAATTCAAATTCATCACCATTTTTTACCTATATAAAAAAATGTGAGTTTTGTGTTAGAGATAACTTTACGCCATCTCCAAGTTCCAACTAAAGACTACAAGTCATTTTTAGCCAAAAAATGTGCAAGATCCGTTTCTAACAAGAGAGTTACTGTAGACTAAAAATGTTGTTTTCAATTTGTAAGTAGGGGATATCACGCTCGATTCATATAAAATAACAAATTCAATATCTTATTATGCAAAGTATATTATGTAAGGAATAATGTTTGACTGCTTAAGGATGAGTGCGAACTCCTATTCAAAATTTTTTCATGTTCGAATTATAAAGTTTTGTGCTTATGATCAGAATCAATCATCTTATGAATCACTTTATAAAGATCATTCTGCAAAAAATGAATTAAAACTAAAGTCGTTTAGTCAATTTACTATGAAAAATATATAAACGGTTCATAATGCTTTTACTAATATTGTTCATCTGTTTTATACAGTTTGACGACTTTAGTTTTATTTTTCGCATAAATGATCTTTATAAAATATTTCATAATATGAACGGAAATTATAAGCATAAAGTTTTATAAATTGACAACCAATAATTTTGAGTATGAGTAATTGTTGTAACATTCTTCGTAGATTGTAGGGGTGGGCGCAGTGCGGTTTCGAGTGAAACCGCAACCGAAACCGAAATTTTTTGCAGTGCGGTTTTGAAGCCAAAACCGAAATAAAGCCAATCCATTTGGTTCGGTTCGGTTTGGTTTTTAAGAAAAAAATGTACAATTTAAAATATACACCTATTTACGCATAAGACGGTCTTATTTTCCTCATATATTAACTACGCAAGTTATTCATAGAGTAATCCAAATAAAACTTCTAGAACTTACATCTTCAACAACCAATCTCTCCAGTTTTAACAATATAAACAAAGTCAGGATTTTGAGCAGCAATAAGCTTTCTCATACCATCAACTTAGGGTAGAAATAGGACCCCTAACGTTCCAACAAGCAAACTAGACTATGGAAAGGGAGATCAAACTTGGACCTGACCAACGAATAACATTTTGGATGTCCTTAACAACTGCAATTCCAGAAAACACAAATGATATCATCAGATATCTTTTGAGAGAGAGATGACGATGAGTTTTGTGAGAGAGAGAGAGAAAGAGATGTATGGACTCGAATAGTGGTGCAAAATTGAACATGACTAGTGAACTAATTAAAACATAACATTTAATATGGTGCGATTGCGGTTTCGATGCGGTTTTGAAAACCTAAAATCGAAACCAAACTGTTTTCTTTGCCCGGTTTGGTTCGAAACCGCAACCGTTTCAAAATCGTAAAACTAAACCGTTCGATGCGGTCCAATTTGATCTTTATTTCGATTTCGATTTTGATTTTCGGTTCCAAGTACCCATCCCTAGGAGATTGTTGTGACAACCAAAAGATAAAGTACATGGAATGTTCTATTCACCTTTCTTTAAAAAAATAAAGCTAAAAAGGGAAAGTCAAATAAATAAAACGGATTCTGATATGGGAAAATGAAATTACCTTTTTCTTTCACCTTTTTATTTAGCTTTAACTTAAACAACATTTGGCAAGTGGGCCTATTACGAGATGAATCTTATTCTTATATTACGGCGTTGGCGTAAATTCAAATCATATCTAATCTAATAAATTTAACATTTGACCAAACAAAACAAAAAAATTGAGCATAATAAAATTTAAAAAAAAACTAATGAAAATAGTTTAAAAACTTTAAGTTTTAACAATTTAGACAAAATAAAAGGTAAAATAAATAGTATCAGAATTAACATTTTAATGTAAAAATATGATTTTTCGTTAAAATAAACAATTATGAGAACTTTTCGTTAGTTAAAGTTGTCTAAATTCTAATGTTATTTATTTATTTATTTTGTGGTATATAAGAAGGGTCCAGAGGATCCTGACACCTTTTGACAGCGGGAGAGAGACTTAACGGCTAAGCATTCCTCTCTCTATAAATACACAACCGCGCCACAGCAACCAGAAAACATACGAAAGCAAATTACAACGTTTTTTCCATTGTCCGAGGAACCCATTTAAATCGCAAAAATGTTCAAGTTCTTCTTAGGCGGTGGCGGAAACCAGGAGAAAACAGATGATGTCGGTGGCGGCGGAGGCGACCCCATGGATCTGCAGGCCTTGCCGGAGGGATGCATAGCCACCGTTGTCTCGCTGACCACGCCTCGGGACGCGGGCACAATGTCGTCGGTTTCGAGGAGTTTCAGGTCGGCCGCCGAATCCGACGCTGTTTGGGACAAGTTCCTTCCCCCCGAGATCCACACTATCATGTCCTCCTCGTCGCCCTCACAGCCGCCGCTTGTGTCTCCCTCCTTCACCTCCAAAACCAAGAAGGAGCTTTTCCTCGCTGTGTGCGACAACCCTGTTCTCATCGAAGAGGGCAAGTTGGTAACTTTACTACCTTTCTCCTTTTCTTTTGTGGGATTTATTTGTTTATTTTAGTTGTGGATTAGTGTACTATTTCACTGATGTGATAGATATTTAGTTGATATGGATTTGTCGGGAAATTTCCGTACTGGAAAGTACAAAGTTTGGAACTTTGGGGGCCGGCAAGATCATAGGTTTTGTTGTTGGCCGAGGAGAGGGTGAGTAGGCGGTGGGACCAAATATTTTGTGTACATTTGGTGTGTGAATATTTATGAGATGTGACAAAAATGATGAAGGAAAAATATTGACAAAATTGTGATGACATATATGAGATACCATGTCCATTTGTTTTGTACTTCGTAGTTTAAAAGTTGTTTAGCAATTTTGGCACTTGTTTTATTTTCCGTTACTACAAGATGAATCATAAATTATTGAGTTTGAAGTGCAGATGGTTGAGATAATAGTGTTCAAATTGTTAGTGTTCAATTCTTTTTAGCATTAGAGGAAGTAAGATGGAAGGGTTGAATAACTGAGTTAGAAATTCGAATGCGTTCTATTGTTTCCGGTTTTTTTGTTTGTTTTTCAAAAGCGTTTTCTATTTCGCACTGTTCTAAGATCCCGAGTTGTAATTGGAATGATAATGCAGAGCTTTTCGCTGGACAAATGGAGTGGGAAGAAATGCTATATGATCGCTGCAAGGGCCCTTTCGATTGTTTGGGCTGACACTCCTCACTACTGGAGATGGATTTCTGTCCCCGACTCGAGGTCTCTTAAAATTTTCTTCTTTTCGTTTAAAGAAAGTGTTATCAGCATTTTGAAATAGTCATCCGTTCTGCACCCATTCCTCGTGATTGAGGACTGTAGATAATTTCCATGCTTTTGTTACATAAACTCTCTGTTATTGTAAACAAACAGGTTTGAGGAGGTGGCGGAGCTTATTAGTGTGTGCTGGCTTGAAATCCGTGGCAAAATTGGGACACGGATGCTGTCCCCATCCACCCTTTACAAAGCTTTTCTTGTATTCAAGTCAATTGCAGGGGCTCATGGATTTGAGAACCAACCTGTGGAGGTCACAGTGGGTTTAATTGGGCAGGAGCCCACGAAACATGTGGTGTTTCTGGACGTGCAGAGAGGCCAAACCCAAGGCCAGGGCTACCACGTTGCCGGGCCTTGGCATATTGGCCTCTTCAACCGCAGACACATTCCCGGCCTCCAGTCGTTCCAGTCGTTCCAGCCAAGGGAGATCAACGAGGCCCAGTACCCGAAAGAGCGGAACGACGGGTGGCTGGAGATAGAGATGGGGGAGTTCTTCTGCGAAGGGGGTGAAGGTGGGGAGTTGGAGATGACTTGCATGGAGGTTAGGGGTGGACAGTGGAAGGGTGGCCTCATTTTTCAAGGGATTGAGGTCAGGCCTAAAAGGATGTAGAAATCAAGTGGCGGTAGGGTAATATTGTCCTTTTGAATTCAAAATATTATAAAATTGAGCTATGGTAATTCAGATTAAAAATGATGTGATATCCACACATCCTATTTTACTTCTCACACATCTTTTTAATTTTCGGCCATCGGATCAAATGAATTGAAGAAGATCAACGGACAGAAATTACTAAGGAGGTATGAGAAGTAAAATAGAGTATGTAAATAGCACATCCCGATTAAAAAAGGTGTTTGCCTTTTTATCTTCCTTGTTTTGCATTTGGAAAATGTCGCAATTGAAACGTGTCAATGTCATGGTCAATTGCTAGCTTTGTTGTGGCTTTGTGTTGGTACTAGAGAAATATAAAGCTATCGGTACCATAGAAAAGTCAAAGACTTGTGAAGATTGAGTTTGGTTTTTATGTTTAGTTTGGTGAAGGAAATTATTATTTAACCATAAAGAAACTGATTTACATACAAAAAGCCAAAAAACAAAGAAACATAAACAAGCAAAAAAGGGGTCAAATCAAACCAACCAACAAGAGCCCAGCCAAATAGCAAAAGCTCTAAAATAAAGAAACACACAACCGAGAAATCTGATGGCGTTGCCTCCACTGGAACAGTGCATTTCGATCTGAACAATCCACGCTTATCACTTGACATTACTTGGAACGCTGAAAATAAAGATAACCAGCAATTGAAATAATTGAGTCGGCTATCAAGAAAAAGAAGCCCATGGAAAATCACGAGCAATAGTGCCATACACAATAGACATCAGAAGGTGGTGGTGCTAGGAACATTTGAGACGGTTGAAGAACTAGAATTCTATGCACCATCTTGAGAGAAAGTATGACTGAAAAACGAAGCTTAGATGAGCGAGATCGAAACTCAGATGAACAAGATGAAGGGAGACCAGTAAAGTAAGAAGAGGATGACATATCAAGGAGGAGGGAAAGTGAGCAGCAGAAAAGGGGAAAAGAATAGACAAGAAGAAGGGGAAATTGGCAACCGACCGCAGCCAAAGCTAGAGTCGGCACCACTGATAAAGTGAGGGTATTTTGTCCAATCAGCCTCTTTACTTGCTTTTCTATTTAACAGAGAATTTTTATACAATAACCAAAATGATTAACTATGGACAAACTTAGAACTACTTTTATCGATTTTCAATGTCAGATACTAAAATGAGGAGTTATGCCAATTTTAAGGACAATTTTAACTAAAAACCTACATTTTTAAAGAAAAAAAAATTGAAATTATATCTTTTCCACGACATTTCATGGTGTATGGGGATTGGAGAGAATATTTATTTTGAACACTAATGGGACCTGAGTTTTTTATTTCAAAGATATTCAAGTTTATTGAAGTGAAAATTTTCTCTGTATTTAATTTTTTTTAATATAAACGATAAAAACATGTCGTAAAATCCAAAACGCAAAAAAAAAAAAAGTTTTGGTCTATCTCCTCTCGAATTGCCAGACTCCAGCTTAGAGAACGAAGAAGACCCAAAAGCGGAAAAAAGCACTTTCAGCAGAACGCAGCTTCTCGCTCTCACCCCCACCAGGTTCTCCATTTCTTCCTCCCTTTCCTTCTCTAGTTTTTCTATTTTAATCTCACATAATTTGATATTTATATTCCACCATATCCCACAAAAGAACCACTGACTTCAAATTAGAAATCAAAGCACAAGTTGTTGACTTTAATCTGTGCAATGATTGTTGAAAAGGAGAAGAACCCACTTCGTATAAGTGCTTATATGAAAAGCCTTTTGGGTATTGGGATTGATTAGTGTTTGGATCCGCCGCTCTGAGATTCCCAAATTGTCGTTTGGAAAAAAAGTTTGGGAATTTCTGGTTGTTGATTGTTGTTGTTGTAAAATTTCAAGTTCTGGGTTTGAGTTGGGAATAATTTTGGGGGCAGAATGCTCTATTTTGATTTACTGGGTTATCGGTGATTTAGTTTATAGTGTTGTAAGTAATCACCAGTTTGTCAGTGACTCAAATGGCCACATTGACTGTTCCGGTGACGTTTGCCTTTTGTGCAGTCGAGTCGGGTCTTAGGGTTCATCAAATTCAACCTACATTCTGTTGGATAAGACTGTTCTTAAGCTGTGCTTTTCGGTTTCTGTTTTTGCCGTCAGTCTGAGGATGATGGGATGAGAAATTGTGTGTAGCAGTGAGAAATGTGCGAGGTCTTACAGCTACTAGGTAGTTTAACCGTGTTATCCGTAGATTATGTGGCAAATGAAAATTGAGTCTGCTATTGGAGCAAGAGTGATATGGAGTTTTAGTACAGTTGATTGCATAAAAATGGTGTACCCCTTATTTGAATGGCTTGTTGCATGTGGCTCGAACGCAAGTAATCTTAATACCGGTAGATCCAAAGTTTCAAAATTGGGCCGATAAGTGAATTTTTCCGTGTCGTCAAAATTTGTTCAATAGTTGATACCATTTATTAATAAAATTGCTCATGGTATTTTTTTGTTTTTTTGTTTCATAGGTGTGGTAATAATGTTTCTATCCTTGTAAAGATATAATTCATCAACACCACAGGGTCAAAGAATATACCTTGAAATGCTCTTATCCTATATCACAACTGCCCTTCGCTTATGATTATTGATTAGTTAGGACAGGTATGATTCTTTCCATTTGGGTCTCCTGTTGATCAGTTATGCACACACACATGCACGCACAGAAAAATGCTGCTTCCTTGTTCTTGTGTTCCTATGCTGTATCCATATATGACGGGAGGTCTCATGTAGTGCAGTGTTTACAATACACCCTTTCAGAAGAATTATCAATTTGTGTCGGGATGAGGGGAACGGTTAGAATCATGTAACACTTCTGCTACTGTCGTGGATACATGGAAGATCATTCTTTAGCTGTGCAGAACAATTCTCTTGCATTGACAGAATATGCTTTAGACTTGGCTATTGGGCAAGAATTTCCTGACGTTGAAACATGCAGAAGAAGATTGAAGAACATTGCTCTAGTACAACATTTTGATCTTCGTATAGTGAAATCAGATCGCAGCCGGTTTATAGCCAAGTGCTCCAAAGAAGGTTGCCCATGGCGTGTCCATGTGGCAAAATGTCCGGGAGTTCCAACCTTTACAGTAAGAACCCTGCATGGTGAGCATACCTGTGAAGGAGTTCTCAACCTTCATCATCAGCAAGCATCAGTAGGTTGGGTTGCTAGGTCTGTAGAATCACGGGTTCGGGATAACCCACGGTATAAACCAAAAGAGATCCTGCAAGATATCCGCGATCAGCATGGAGTTGCTGTTTCTTACATGCAAGCTTGGCGTGGCAAGGAGCGTAGCATGGCAGCACTTCATGGAACTTTTGAAGAAGGGTATCGGCTTCTTCCTGCATACTGTGAGCAAATAAAGAAAACCAACCCTGGAAGCATCGCTTCAGTTTTTACCACTGGACAAGAAAATTGCTTCCACCGTCTCTTCATTTCTTACCGTGCATCAATATATGGGTTTATACATGCTTGTAGGCCACTTTTGGAAATTGATAGATCGCACCTCAAAGGCAAATACTTGGGTTCCTTACTTTGTGCTGCAGCTGTTGATGCTGATGATACATTATTTCCTCTGGCAATAGCTATCGTTGATGTGGAAAGCGACGAAAATTGGATGTGGTTTATGTCAGAATTGCGAAAGCTTCTTGGAGTAAACACTGACAACATGCCTAGACTAACAATACTCTCTGAAAGACAAAGGGGTGTTGTAGAGGCAGTGGAAACCCATTTTCCTAGTGCCTTCCATGGTTTTTGTCTGCGTTATGTTAGTGAAATTTTTCGTGATACGTTTAAGAATGCGAAGTTGGTGAATATCTTCTGGAATGCTGTTTATGCTCTCACTGCAGTTGAATTTGACAGCAAGATTGCAGAGATGGCAGAGATCTCGCAAGACGTGATTCCATGGTTTCAACACTTCCCTCCCCAACTTTGGGCTGTAGCATATTTTGAAGGAGTGCGGTATGGCCATTTTACTCTCGGTGTTACAGAGTTGTTGTATAATTGGGCTCTTGAATGCCATGAGCTCCCTATTGTGCAAATGATGGAGCATATTCGTGATCAGTTATCATCGTGGTATAATGACCGCCGGGATATGGGAATGAGGTGGACGTCAATTTTAGTACCATCTTCTGAGAAGCGGATTCTAGAGGCAATGGCTGATGCTCGATGCTATCAAGTACTTCGTGCAAATGAAGTTGAATTTGAGATTGTGTCTACCGAGCGGACAAACATTGTGGATATACAAACTCGTGTTTGCTCTTGTCGCCGTTGGCATATATATGGTCTACCTTGTGCACATGCTGCTGCTGCACTTATGTCTTGTGGACACAATGTCCATTTGTTTGCTGAGCCTTGCTTCACAGTAGCAAGTTACCGAGAGACCTATTCGCAGATGATTCATCCCATTCCGGATAAGAGCTCATGGAAGGAGCCAGGCGACGGAACAGAGGGTGGAAGCACCAATGTTGATATCATGATACGCCCACCCAAGACTCGGCGGCCACCTGGAAGACCCAAGAAGAAGGTCCTTCGAGTAGAAAACTTCAAGAGGCCGAAGAGGGTGGTTCAATGCGGTCGCTGTCATATGTTAGGGCATTCTCAAAAGAAATGTGCCTTGCCACATTGACCTGAATTAAACTGTTTAAAATCGTTCTTACCCCTTAGATTTCGGTTCCTTTTTTCCCTTTCATTGTTCAAAAACGCAGTAGAACAGTTGTGTGCAAGTAACGTTAATGTATGTTTTAATTTAACTACGTCAGTTGCCAAATAAGGATTCGGTTTTTTCTTTTCCTTTTGCACATTCAATCTCTTTATCCTGTTAGATCGTATCATAATTGTCCGGCGATTCGCATCTCTCAGTTCTATCGGCATAAACTTCCGGTGATTGCTAGACGCTGCAACTTCATTGCGTCTTCGTTCTGTTTAACTGTGTTCGCTCATACAGATTCTGCAATCAACAACTCTGTTTCATTTGAGAGTTAATGGAGGTGGTAACTTTGTCCAAAAAATGCTTCAACCTTGCAAAAGATGATATGAACAAACAGCCATCATCGAAAAATATCGTACAAATGCAAACTTAAAACCATTGTATTCAGCTCAAATGGAGTTCGAGTTCACGCGACTGTTACAGAAAACAGGTGTAGCTGCGTCGACTACCATCCCAATTTCTATTGTATTTGAGCATCAATAATCGAAAAATGATTAAATCTCGATTTAGTAAGAGTTGAATGCTAAGCTGCAATTTGAGAAGTGATTATACGATGTGCGTGTAAAGCTTCTTAGCCTCGACTTTAGCTGAACATATTCGGTAGAGGCCTCACTGCCATAAATGCGTCCACCATCTGCAGCATATGCAAAAACATTTCCGTAAGTCCTGAGCATATGGTTCAAAATGTTTGCTTTCAGGGATCAAGCACCACGCTTTCATCGCCAACAAATAACTTACAGAACAGCCAATTATCTAAAAATGCTAGAAGCGCATACCTCATCAGTCACAGCAGCCCTAGCCCTACGATGTCTTTCTACCATTTCGGTTAAAACTTGAACAAGAAGTTGCTTCACTTCACCTGTTAGCATGCGTCCGGAACCATACTCCTAATAGCAACCCCAAGTGAATTAGAAAAAAGAATATGTTGACAAAGAAAACAACTAAGTTCACCAGGGCGATCAGTCTCACCTTCCGTATCTCTTCGAGTTTATCATCGTCGTCTAGGAAAAAGCTCAGATATTTGAATGGAATATCTACCTGAATAATTTCCAGAAGATAAATTAATTCCTCAATAAGTTACAAGGCACCAAACCAAGTACTAACAAAGAAATCTCATAACATATGAAATCAAATCGGCATGTAAATTGTAGACTGGTAAGCAAAATTTGTCTTCTTGCTCGGACAATCTAACGAGGAAATAAGGTAGCACATCCAGCAACAAATAACACTGTCATGCCAGTCGGGGAGGGCCCATTTCTACTACTAACATGCGAGACAATCCAAATACCTCAAGATTTGCTCCAAGCTCTCTATGTTTCTCTACCGAATCTTGTCCACCAGAAAATGCATACCTGTTTATCTGCATATACACACAAGTTCTTTGTTTTAGGTTAATCTTGAAGAGTTTTGGACCGTTTGGATTGTGATTTCAGGTAGAAGATTGGCACTGTGAGACTAGGGCCACATAAATGCAAACCTTGTTCTTAATTTCCTTTGCAGCATCAGTTACATATATGGCCGAATTTGGATCACTAGCCGACATTTTTCCAGTCTCTCCCTGCAAGTATCCACATTCCAGAAAAGGTATCAGAAATCACATCATAGGCTACTAACAGTAGAAAATAAGTTTTCTGTGCCAAAATCATAAAAGTACCTGCAGGGCAGGGAAGAAAGAAGACTCAATCAATGCAGGCTTGTGATATCCAATTCGTGGAGCAACATCTCGTGTCATTCTAAAATAAGGATCCTTGACAAATCACAAACAAATAAACCATGGTATTAGAAAATAAACAAAAGAAAGAAAAACAACGTTAAATCAAATGCACTAGCACACAAAGTTGCTAAAACTATTTTATACTCTGAAAAGGTGCTGCATTTATAGGTAAGGTGGATCCACAGACATTTAGCCAAGGGGAAAAACACGTATATCATAGCTGAGAATTATCCATATCATGCATACCTGGTCAATCGCACAAGGTATTAAGCATCGAAGATTGTCTTGGCCAGAGAAGAGATGAGGAAATGAACTTGGAAATGAGGGAACTGCCTGCATTAAAACACGACCATATTGGATCTCCTTAATATGTATCACAGCACATGTTGCATCCATGTGTCATCTTACATAGTCACACAATCGATACAGAACATCAAACTGAAGGTTTCAGAAAAGTCAATTTCTTGGTGGAGGCTTGACTACTAAGCAATGCCTTGTTTTCTTTATATGATGGAAAGTATGAAAGATGTTCACTGGTGAAAGAATTGTACAGTTGACTAGAGCAAGTCAACAATAAGAGCTCACAGGAAAGAATAAGCACTTACGAGCTAAATCAAACTTACAGGAGGTGAGGTTTCAGTGAAGATATAAAAGGAAAACAAATATAAGCTTCAGTCATTTTGTGGAGCTAGTCAGCAACAACTAACCAAAATTTCATAATTCTTCATGTGATAAGCAGCGTAGCCAAGGAAAATACCTGTACAGGTGGAAAACTAACTTTTCCTATGTGATCTTCTCCAGTGAAACCAAAGATACCAACAACCTGGATATTAAATCCGAAACTGATAAAATTATTACAAAAACTCAAACAAAGAGGTAGACAAAGAAAATATTTCGCCATGGGGGGGAAAAGATTGTTAATCACCTTATTATATGTGACACACTTTCCAACCTTCACCATGTTCTTGTAGAAGGCACTGCACAGGAAATAGACATCAAATCAGTAAGCAAGTGATACAACACTTGCACACACACACACAACGTATTCATGATGGAATCAAGCCCTGTTAGGTTTGAAACTAAAAAGCTTCCTAATTAGTATCGTAGCTTGTCAAGCAGTTTGCGGCCAACTAAATCATCAAGGGCATCTCATTCCGGTTCAAGAAAAATGGGACCTCATGTGAGTGTCAATCAATTTCAACCCAAAAAAAGGGCTTCGATAAGATTATACAATCTCAAACCCCTCTGACATGGGCAGAGAAGCAAATAGCTTAGTAATCCACTAAATCCGTTGATCAAATTCAAAACTGAAGCCTAAACTCACATACATAACAAGTATCAACATGAAGTAATATTAACTTCATAATGGAGTTAAGCCTACATATCTGATACTTACCCACCAACGAAATCAAAATCGGAGAAGATGAAGGTTTTTGATATGTCAAAACCACAAGCAATAATGTCTTTAGCATTCTCCCTAGCAAGTCTCTGGCTCTCTTCCACAGTCAGATTTTTCCACATGCACTTCTCATCATCGGTAAGTTGTACAACGAGAGGAACCTTGAAGACATCTTGCAAATATCTGCATAAAGCTTTCAATTCATAAACCCTTAAAAATTTTACTTCATATCAACAAGCGACCAATCGCCAAATCCAACATAATGCACACAGATACTAAAGATCACACTCACGAAAACCCGAAAAGATAAGAAGTTTCATAAAAGACCAACATCAGATAATCAGATAGCAGTGCAGGGGGAGCTTACTTAGTGAACATGAAGGGGATAAGATGCCCCAAATGCAAAGCTTCGGAGGAAGGTCCTCTTCCTGTGTACAAATAGAACTTGTCTCCTCTCTCGTAGGCATCCAGAATCTCATTCAAGTCCCTGCATTACACATAAATTCGAAATTCGACCCCCAATTCAATTTTTTGCAAAACTTTCAGAAAAAAAAATGTAAACTTGAGAGAGAGAGAGAGAGAAGCGACCTGTGGGCAAAGAAGACGCCACGGCGGAGGAAGACGTGGGGAGGACGGCCGGTGAGGCAGTGGATGCGATCCACGAGCTGCTGGTCGATTCTCTGGCAGCCGAACTGGTCGATGAGCTTGTCGTAGTCGATTTTCCCGCCACCCTTGGCCAACACCGTCCATGGATTCACTACCTGCTCCTCCTCTTGCTGCTGTTCTGGTTCTGCCTCTCCCACTCTCTCCTCCATCGTCACTCTCTCTCCGTCGTTCGCTCACTATCTCTGTAAAAATCGGCGGCGTCTTCTTCTTCCTTTCTTCTTCTTCGGAGGGTATGTCCACGTACTGTAGGCTTATTTGTTTATGTGCCCTGTATTATTGCGAAAATTTCACTTTCCTCTCTCTAAAATTTCAATTGTGCGCCTTGGCCCCAAGTACTTTCATTTTGTGCCCTATCTCATTCCATCGAAAGATTTTTTTAGTGTAACCGGAATATAAAAGAATATACCGCGTTATTGTATAAGTGAAGTCATTAAAAACTTATACTTTACATATGTGACATATCAACTATTTCGTTTACTTATATTATAACACGTGGTATATCATTTTGTATTCCAAACACACATAAAAATTTCTCCATTCCCTCATCTTGATTGACAAAGTTGTTAACTTAATTGATGTGAAATGGGATAGACAATGCACAAATGTACATGAGGCGGTAACCTCTCACAATTACAAATTCAGAGACGAAAGTGAAACTTTCAATAATGCAAGGACCACGTCAATTTGATTATGAAATCAGAATTGATATCCATTTTGAAAACTTTTTAAATTATTTTCGAAAACATTTGTTTATGTTTTGGTTAAGCCGAAAATTAAGCCTGGGTGTGGAGCTAAAATTTAGGTCGGACTTGGTATTTTCTTTATTTTACCTATAATTTCACAACATCTAAGTTAATAATTTTTGTGACGAACTTGACAATGGAGTAACTTTATAAATAAAATGAACGATTTTTGGTAATTTAGATACATCATCACACTAGGCATATTGACACAATTGCAAGTTCAAGGGGGAAAATGTAGTTACCATAGCACAAGGGGCATACAAACAAAAAGGTCTATTAAGTTATACACCAAGACGGCGTCGTCTTGGCCGGCACATTCAATAGAGGGCCCTATTTTGCTTGAATTGAACCCTAATTTGCAATAAAAAAACCCCCTTTTGATTCAAACTCCAATGACGAACAACGAAGATCCGCAATCGCAATCGACGAAGAAAACCAGAGAGTTGCCGAATCTGTCGGAGTGCCATTGTTGCCACCTGAGAGTCGACATTGCCAACGCCAGCGCCAAGAGCAAGCTTCACATCCTCTACAGCGAGTGGCGCGTCGTCCTCCTCTGCAAGAAATGCCTCTCGCGGGTCGAGTCATCGGAGCTCTGCTCCTACTGCTTCGCCGCCACGTCGCCGTCGCTGGAGGACTCCTTCAATTGCTGCCAGTGTAACCGGAGAGTACACAGGCATTGCGATTCTGAGTATCGAGGGATTGCGCTGTTGTCTCAGGATTCTTGCTTGGCGGTGGAGGTTGGGGTTTGCGCCGATTGCTGGCTGCCGGAGTCGCTGGCGCGGTGGAGAGGGTTTATGAGGAGTCAGAAGGCGCGAAGAAGTGGAAAAGGGAGAGCTTGTTTGGGATTGGGGAAATATAGGGTTTCGGCCGTGCTGGATGGCAGGACAATTCGTGATGTGTCTGGTGCTGAAGAGGGCTCAAAGGATGTGGCTTTCGATGTCGATGACGATGATGATGATGATAGTGGGCATTTGACTGCCATGAATAGCTCTGCTAAGAAGCTGTGTTCGCCAAATTTGAGTGTGTGTGTTTGTGATTCGTCGACTGGTGTTGGTTGTTTGAAGCTGGATATCGAAGAGGAGAATGAGGACGATGACGGGCTGTTGATCGAAGGACAAGGGAGCAGCTCCAATGGCGTTGATGCTCTCAATAAACAAGAGCTAGATGAATGTGTGTGTGTTACAACGCCGAAAGACAAGAGGCGCAATTCTAAACTTGATCCTTTTTACTTCAAGTACAGGAAAAGGAGCATGGTTAATCAGTCTGTGGTAACATATAAGAGAAGGCCCAAAAAGCTCAATCCTTGTTCTATGTTAACATATAAGAGAAGGAGACCCAAAGGCCACCTCTTTGCTTGTTATATGTTAACATATAAGAGACGGAGACCCACAATCCTATATGATCGTTCATCTTGAGACCGATACTGAATCTTCGAGTTGAGTGTCTGGAGATCACAGGGCTTTATTGTAGAAGAAGTGGCTCGCCCCCATTGAAATGAAGTGACTGAGCTCGGCCATGGCGTGATACTGAATCTTGATGTTACAGGTAGGAGAAAACATCCTCCATTTTGTATGCTTCCATTATGATTGTCAGTATATTTTGTGGCACTGTATGATTCTTCATGTAGTATGATTCAGTTCAGATATCATATTGTGTTCTCGGGCAAGAGTTTACGATTATTTTCTTCCAATTTGGGTTGTAGTGATAAAGATAAGATCGTTCAAGAGTCTAGATTTACAAGTTCACCATTACTTTAGTTTTTCCAGAAAATTATCAATTATTCTGATTAAAGAAAAACTTCAGTATTTGTAAGGTAATTAATTGACGCGATAAGGCCAATTAGCAAAAGCTAAGTTTGCAAGATGGAAAGATGATCTCTTGTCAATTGCGGGGAAATATAACTAAACTATCTTGTCGTGTTATCTCTTGTTTATAAGTGCTCAAATAAGTTGACAAGTAATCTTAGCACCCTATCTCCTAATAATTTCGAGGGTAAAGAAGCCGTTATGCTCTTTAAGAACGTCGAATTGTAGACCTTTATCGAAGTGTGTACATTTTAGGATATCAGAAACCCCTTGCATTCTAAAAAACATTAATGCCTTGAAAAGGTTTTCTGTGTTGGTCTAAGCTAAGTATTCAGACTGTTTTTTCGATGGATTGCATCTAGTGATATAAATTTCAAATGCATTGGTGAATGGTGGTTGGACTCGGAAAGTAGAGATTTTCGAACTCATCTGTTTGGAAACGTATATGGGTTGGCCTGTAGAAAACAAAACATTCATTAATTTAGGTTTATCTATATTCCTGTTTTCAATCTGATTTAGGAAAATCAACGATCACATTGATTGAACACTATAAGTATGTCATCGTTCCTGTAATAAAATTTAGAAGGAACAGACTTCTCTGGATGGAAGGTACGTTTTCAGTTAAGTCACTTACTTGGACTCTTTCCGGAATGAGAACCGATGACATTCTTCCTTAGTGATAAGAAAACGTAGCATTTTTCGTCGTAGTTAACTAATCATTAATCCCTTTGTGTGCTCTAAGCCTCTAACAACCTGAGGAGAGTTCCATTATTCATTTCTTTCAATACCATTGTACTAACACCTATTCTAATTTACGATAATTCTATTATACTCTGGTATATAACATATACAATATAGATATGTGGTTGGATGTGCAGTCAAAGATCCAACGGCCAAGGACCCCTTTAGTTTATTGGTAAAGTGGTAATTACAATGTGATCCCCCTTCTGCCTTGTGGATTGTGTAATTCCCTCTTTTGTGAAAGATAGTACTAGGTAGTAATAACTGGACGTCTTTTCTTTCATTAAGTAGTGCAGGCTGCCGCAGCTGCAGCAGAGCAGGAGATGGTGGCAGTAAGCAAAGTTGGCGGGAAAACCAAGCCAATTTAAATTAATTTACCAAAGGACATGGGTAAAATAATCATCGGCTGTTTCTGTGTTTTTTTATGGGAATTATGGATGATCACATACAATACAAGTTACAACTGTCATCGCTCAGTTAACTCTCGGCCGCTCTCAATGTCAAGAACAAGAATCGCCGGCCTTCGGGCGTGTTATTTTTTGAGACCGGTTGGTAGAGAAAGGATAACGTGGGTCGAAGAAAAGTTTGATTAGGGTATAGTTAGTGCTTGGCCATCAGCTAATCATCGATCAGAATGTTTTACTCAAATTTCTCTCACGTGGGTAGAAATAGGAAGTCATTTTTATACTTTTTTTAGTTTCTCAATTCTCACACCTCCTTTTGTTTTTTGCCATCAGATTGAATAAGTCAAACATAATCAACATACATGATTAAACATGCGTGTGAGAGACTAAAAAATGTGTGTTTTTATCATTCGCTTATATGAGTAAACATGTCACTTTTAAATGAGAGTAGTGCGATCCATACTCATTTTTACTTATTACACACTCTTAATTTTGGTCGTAAGATCGAATGAATGAAGAAGATTAATGACAAAAAGTTAACAAGAATATGTGAGATATAAAAATAAATATGTGAATAACACTATTCTTAATTAATTCAACTACTAAGCAACTTTCACTCGAAAAAGAAAAAAAAACACCAATTAATTGACTAGAGGACAAGAAATTTGATTTCCTCTCTCTCTCTCTCTCTCCCTCCCTCTTTCTCTCTCTCTCTCCTCCAGAATGCATAGATAACACGCAGGATTGATGACTAAAAAGGAAATATTTGGTACTACCTGAACAAATTGGACCATCAAAACAAAAGCTCGCACAACAGAAGGGAAAAATGATGGGCAGGAAGGATCAATAATGTTTGCAGAAAGCAGCTGAGAGGCTGAGAGATATATACATTTTCCCACTTCAAAAACTTGAAAGCTCACTCTCTTACTCTCCTCTGGAAAAAAAAAAAAAGGTTATCTTTTTTTGCTCTGTGTTTTTGAAAATTTGTGCTTTCTTTAAATTTATTTCTTGTATCTTGGTTTGGTGTTTATTGATGTCTTTTTTCATGGCACAGAAAGGTAAAATCTTTTTTGAAAAAATTGGTTTTGGTTTGAGAAAGTTTCTGAATTTGTTGGCTTATTTCAACTTGAGGGTTGAAATCTTTTCTGGGTTTTTTGTTGTTGTGGCTGATTATCTTTGTTCCTCTCTAGTTCTTCCTTTCCTTCTATCACTTCTGCAGATTTCTGTTCTGTTTTGGTTTATTTTGCTTTGTTTTGTTATGGTGAGTGGATTGGGTTTGTTTTCGGTGATTTTGTATAGGGGGTTTGGTTTTCATACTATAAGCTGATTAGGCTAGCACAGAATCAGACCTATTTTTCGATGCTTTCGATTCAGCATTTTGTATCGAAAATAAGAGCGAAATGGTCTAATCAGGTCCCCATTTGTCCTCAAAATCTCACTTTTGCTTGAATTTGAAAGATAACATCTTTAACTGGTTAGGTGTTTGGTTAAATGCTTTCGAAACATGCTGTCTGGCCTTTGTAATGTACACATAAAGCATCCATCTTTAAGGTTCGAGCATTATAAATCGTTCAAATTTATGTTAGTGAGTATATACAGATGAGATGTTGATATGGATGGATGTAGCTTTAGCGGCTGCATTAGTTCACAATGTTAATATATCTGTGCTTGATTCATATTTTCTTGATTTTCATTTGCGGTTTTACAGAACACTTGTTTGAACTTTGTGGGAATGGACGATCACGTACCAGCAATCACCAGTGAACCGCTCGTCAGGCTTTCTCCTGAGAAAGACGGGGATCCTATGATTCTTCTCAAGGTGCAGAGCCAACAGGGTTCTGTCATCTCCTACATGACCGATCTCCATATGCATCTTAAACATGTAACTCGAGATTACTGCAGACGTCTAAATGTGAGCTTTGAAGTGACACGTTTCCTCTATGATGGAAGAAGGGTCCAACAAACCGATACCCCTGCAAAGCTCGAGATGGAGGAGGATGATGCTATTGATGCAATGGTGGATATGATTGGTGGCGGAGGAGGCTATTAACTAACTCATCATCTTGTGAAATTTGCCTAGGCTAGATTACAGTCTCTATGCTGCTTGTTTGATGGAGAAAGAAAGACCTCTCTTGTTCATGTTTCATTTCTGTTGGGAAATCTAGATACAATATTTTGGATTCAGCAGATGTGTAGTGACTTTTTGCTTTAGTGTTGTGTTGATGACAATCTGCAACTGGATGAATGTAGTCTTTTGATATTTGACGAGTTGCTTCGGGTTTCGTCTATACTCTCCTTCTATCCATCCCCACCCCCAATCATGATCGTTATTTTTATACAATTGAAACTCAGGACCTCGAGTACAGGGTTGAATGTTCATAACCAGCAAGCCCTTTGCCTATCTGCACCCCATGTTTGGGTCACTCTTTCATATTGGTTTCTTTTGCTTGGGCCTCTTTGTTTTAGGTTGGTTTGTTAATGTTTCTGGCATGCGGGCTCCTACACCACTCGAGGTTCTGTGTTTGATATTGATAATTAATTCTTCATTATTATGATACTGTGGCCTTATTTAATAAGTGGTTTCGTTGCATAAGGATGAGTCTGTCACACTAGAACAAAAGAATAAACGAAAACAAATAAGTTTTCTATAGTGTTCAATGTTCATATTAAAAGTATACAAGGTGTTTGAAATCCATAGATAATCTGTGAAATTAAACAGCAGTGGATTTACAAGCAGTGTGGGAATGGATGACGGAGGGCCAACAATCACCAACGAATCCTGCACGAGGCTCTCTTGTGAAAGAACAAGATCCTATAAAATCTCAAGGTGCAAATACAGCATGAACCTAACTTGTGTTACAAGATCAGTCGAAAACGTGCTGCTCAAGTATGTGATGCGAGGTTACTGCAAACGCAAACATCTACTGTACGAAGATGTGCTTTTCTTTTCGATGGAATGTTAGCACTTGCATTTGGAATTTTAACAGTTTAGTACCCGTACTTTGCGAAATCGTGACAATCTGGGTCTGCCGTTAGGTTAATTAATTCACTACAATGAGCATGTTCTATACTTCTATGTGCTTTACTTGTTACATATATCATCTGATCTCTTTTGTTCATGTTTAATTTAATTTCTGTTGGCACATTTTTCTTCTTCGTTTTTTTTTCAGGTGCTGCCAAGATAGATCTTTTTGCTGAACTTAGATTAGCTTTAACATATGTCTTTTCTGTTTGTTGCCTGATATAAAAATGAATTCCTCGACGAGGATCATATATTAGCTTAATCTGAAGTACTGCAAAACCCGGCCTAAACGATTGAATCAATCCTAAGTGTTTGGCAGTATTTTCTGTTTGTATTTGGTTCTTGTTGTTGGTGTTTGGTATCTGGCGTTTTGGAAATGTATGCTTTGTGAGTTTCTGGAATATTTATACACCAAATCCTGTTTGGAATTAGGACATAGTCCATGGGCTAATAATCCAACGACAAGAAGACGTTAGCCATGCCGTGACCGGTTTGGCAACACATCAACACCTCAATCTCTTCTGTTCGGATACTAAAGAATACAATTTGACCGCCTGCATGCTAATTAAGTAATCAAACATTTTTACAACCATCTGTCTTGATTAGATGGGTTATGTTCTCGGCGTCTTAAGTATGCTCTTAATTAACCTGGCCTAAAACACATGATAGATGTTTTACTCTCACTTTCGTAATTAATCTTAACCGTGGTTTGTAATAATTGAGTAGCGGTTCGATAATCGGTAGCTATATAGATACGGACTCTTTTGTGATGTAATGACTTAGCTAGTTCATAATTTTACACCTAGGTTTCTTGTTTAGCACAAGAAGTTGGAAGCTACTGATACACAGATGCCGGCTCCTTTTGATAATTTTTTGGCTTCTTCTGCACTGCATTTTCTTCGTTACTTCAGAAATTTGGTTTATCTCATGCACTTCCATATATATAAAGCAGCAGACTGTAAATCCTTCCACAAGCAAAGCTCTGGTTGCTAAAAGAAACCATGGGGCATAACAATGGGGTTCCTCTTCCCTTCATTTCTCTCTTGTTGCATTGTTTTTGTTGGCTCTGCATGTCAAGGTGTCTTTCGCAGATAGGTCGACGTATATTGTCCACATGGACAAGTCCCTCATGCCCAAGTCCTACTCTAGCCATGGCCATTGGTATTCCTCCATTGTTGATTCATTCAAATCCGGAAACCCTACCTCATTCGATGGCAACAAAATCTTGCCTTCCATTCTGTACACCTATGACAATGCCTTTCATGGGTTCAGTGCAGTTCTATCTGCTGATGAATTAGTGACTCTAAAAAAGTCACCGGGTTTCATCTCAGCTTACGCTGACAAGTCCATTACGCTCGACACCACCCACACCACTCAGTTCCTCAACCTCAATCCTTTCGCCGGGCTGTGGCCTGCTTCAGATTACGGAGATGACATCATCATTGGTGTCATTGATACCGGTCTCTGGCCCGAGAGTGAAAGCTTCAGAGATGAAGGTATGACCAAAAGTCTTCCAGCTAGGTGGAAAGGAAAATGCGAGGTTGGACAAGAGTTCAATGCCTCTCTTTGTAACTATAAATTGATTGGAGCTCGATACTTTAATAAGGGTGTCATGGCTGCAAACCCCGATGTCACACTTAGCATGAACTCGGCTAGAGACAGTTTAGGGCATGGGACGCATACATCTTCCACAGCTGCGGGGAACTACGTAGACGGAGCATCTTATTTTGGTTACGCTAAAGGAACAGCCAGAGGCGTAGCACCGCGTGCCAGAGTTGCCATGTACAAGGTTAGCTGGGATGAGGGGCGTTATGCCTCTGATGTTCTAGCTGGTATGGACCAAGCTATTGCTGATGGTGTTGATGTTATTTCAATTTCCTCTGGCTTTGACGACACACCATTGTACGAGGATCCCGTAGCGATTGCTTCATTTGCAGCCATGGAGAAGGGTGTGGTGGTTTCAGCTTCAGCCGGAAATGAAGGCCCCGAGCTTGTGACATTGCACAATGGCATCCCTTGGGTCTTGACCGTTGCAGCCGGCACAATAGACCGCTCATTTGGAGGAGCATTAACCTTTGGTAATGGTTTAACCATTACTGGATTTACCTTGTTTCCAGCAAACTCCTTAGTCGAAAACTCGCCACTGGTTTACAACGAGACATTCTCAGCATGCAACTCAACCGCAGCGTTAGAAACTGCCCCAGATGCGATCATCATATGTGATGACACGGTGCCTATTCGTAATCAAATATCTTACATCATTCAATCGGGGCTTCTTGGAGCTATCTTTATTACCAATAATCCTGAGATACGCGAATTAGGTTACGTTGTAACTCCTAGCGTTGTGGTGAATACGAAGGATGGGCGGACTGTGATCGAGTACGCACTAAAAAGTGAAAACCCTACTGTCAGCATAAATTTCCAACAAACGTTGCTCAATACAAAGCCTGCCCCCGCTGCTGCTTTTTACACTTCGAGAGGTCCTTCAAAAAGTTATCCGGGCATTTTGAAGCCGGACATAATGGCCCCGGGGTCATTAGTTTTAGCTGCTTGGGTTCCTAAGGTTGCAGCAGGTAAAATCGGGTTCAATGTGAACTTACCTAGCAACTACAATCTGATATCCGGGACATCCATGGCATGCCCTCATGCTTCAGGTGTAGCTGCTCTACTGAAAGGTGCGCACCCAGAATGGAGTGCAGCAGCAATTAGATCTGCTTTGATGACCACAGCTAACCCATTGGACAATACCGGCAATCCAATTCTTGACGACGGTGACAATTTCAACTTTGCTTCACCATTAGCTATGGGAGCAGGTCACATCGATCCTAATGGAGCACTTGATCCGGGCCTAATATACGATGCAACTCCACAAGAATATGTCAATCTCTTATGCTCCACCAACTTTACGCGTAACCAAATCTTATCCATCACTAGATCACACGCCTATGATTGTTCCAAACCATCTTCTGATCTCAACTATCCATCTTTCATCGCGTTGTACAACAATCATCACAAAACAAAGAAAAGGGTTCAAACATTTCAGAGGACCGTAACGAATGTGGGAGATGGCGCGGCTAGGTACAGGGCTTCGGTGACTGCTCCAATGGGTTCTCAGGTAACAGTCTCTCCAGAGATACTGATCTTTGCATACAAGTATGAGAAGCAAAGTTTTACGGTCACTTTAAATTTCAATGCGAAGAAGAAAGGGAACGCTTCTTCTGGCGCACTTGTTTGGATCGAACAAAATGGGAAATACACTGTCAGGAGCCCAATTGTAGTGTCACCTCTTGTTTGAGCTGATGGTCAAGTAGGATGTTAATTTTGTTGGAAGTTCAAATAAAAACATTATTACAATGTTGGCGTGCTGCTAAGCAAAATAAATGCCAATAGTATGGAAATAGTTGTCTGCACAACTATCCTTTTCAACTAGCATGGTTTTAATCCTTCTGCAGCTGCACCTTCCAAAAATTAAAGCTTCCCATGTGTAGACCGAAATTGTGGATTGCAACCAGTGGAATAATGCAGAGTGTGTGCGTGCAAAAGTCTAAAGCTGCTGCATGTGTTTTAAAGGATGTAAAGACTTTGAACACCTTCATTTATTTTGTATGTGTTAGTCTTTGTTTTGTATTGTTTATTAAAACCACTTGTGTGGTTCTTTAATCTCCATGTATAAGTAAGCCTTCCCGTAAGGCTTTTTGTAATTCCATTCCCATTTTCAGCAATAGAGTTGAAACTCTTTTTAATATATTAAGTGCATGTTTTTTCAAGAAGCTTGCTGCTTCTTTCTTTTCTTTTGTCCAGCTTCATAAAGAGAGTAACAAGTGAGAGGTGTGATTGAGTTAGAAAACCTATCACCCACATAATTGGTATTGAGTTTGTAAACTCTTGAATACCAACAAATTTCATAATAGAATTGTTGTTATTATTAATTTGTTATGATTTTTTTTTTATATTGTTTGGATGTGTTGTTAGTTCTTATATAATTTTTTAGCTTCATCAGTCGATATGGTTTTTTGTTTTGATTAATTGATGTGTGTAGAAATTAGAATTATGGAACGATATTACAAGCAAAAATCATCCTTGATTTGTTTATGTTAGGACCACCCGATGTTAAATCCTGGATCCACCATTGTATACATATATATATATATATATGCAGGGAAGAATTTTGAGAGTTCTTTAATATAATGTTCAAATTAATTATACAAGGCGTTTGAAATCCCCATATATATATATATATATATATATATATATATATATATGTTGGGGTTTAAAAATGTTTCACTACTTTGGAGATGTTTATCTCACAAAGAAGAGTGTGACGTAACGGAATTTGATAGGCAAAAAAAAAAAAAAAAAAACACTCAAAGTATTATGCAAAATTTTGTTCTTACACAAACTAATACAAAAGGAAACACTCAAACACTCTCACATTTCTTCACTCTTTTTCTCACTTCTTGCTCTCTTATTTACATCACAACACTCTCACACCTATATTTATAGGCAAGCATTAGCAACTTACCAAGTCGGTGGAATTTGGTTCTTCATCCTAAACTCAAGTTATAATTATTCTAGAGTTTTCTATAACAATCCATTAAGCAGCCTTGCCGACTTAATAAGCTAAAATGCTAGAATTGTCTAGCATATTAATATGCATGCATGATGCACCGACTTTGGTGCTAGAATTCTCTAGTATTTTCAGGGTATGCACCGACATGTCTTGCTAGAATTATCTAGCATTTGCATGAATCTTGTGTTGCCTTTTCAACATGGGCTGGACCCGGCCCAACACAAGATTACAATTCAACAATATATCTGTGTGCGCGCGTATACAATGTTGAGGGATTGCAAGGTTTTCCAAGCAGAGAATTTTCGAGCGGTACTAGTTGTGGGAATGGACAGAAGACCGGCAGCCATCCAGGAATCCCTCATCAGCCATCCAGGAATCCCTTATGGAAGGAGAAGTTTGAATAACTCTCAGGGTGAAAAAACAGCATGAACCTGACATGTACTACAGGACTGGTGGCACTGTGCCGCTCCAATATCTGATGCGAAGATTATTTTGAACGTAAAAATCTTATGTTCGAAGTAATGCGTTTCACTTTCGATGGAAATAGGGTTAGGGAAGATCAAACTCCTGAACAGCGCGAAATGGAGGACGATGCTACTGATGTATTCTCTGATCAGCTTGGCGGTCATGCTCTCAAGTTTAATTAATTAACGCCGCGTCATCTTTTTGCCATAATTAAGGCATGTTAGAACGTTCATTTTGAATTTTAACAGTTTAGTACCCATGCTTTGCAAAATTGTGACAATCTGGGTCTGCCGTTAGGATAATTCATTCACTATTTTTTTTTTTGGGACAATGAACATGTTCTATGTGCTTTACTTGTTACATATATCATCTGATCTCTTATGTTCATGTTTAATTTAATTTCTATTAGGCACATTTTTCTTCTTCGTTTTTTTAAGGTGCTGCCAAGACAGATCTTTGACTGAACTTAGATTAGCTTTAAGATATGTGTTCTTCTGTTTGTTGCCTGATATAAAAATGAATTCATCGATAGGGATTACCACTCTGATTAGCTCAATCTGAAGTACTGCAAAACCCGGCCTAAATGACTGAAACAACCGTAAGTGTTTGGCACTAATTTCTGTTTGAATTAGGTGTTTATGCTATTCACTCCCTCTTTTGTTGTTTGGTGTTTGGTATCTGGCGTTTTGGAAATGTATGCTTTGTGAGTTTCTGCAATATTTATATACCAAATCCTGTTTGGAATTAGGATCTAATCCATCGGCTAATGATCTAACGACAAGAAAACGTTAGCCATGCGATGAACAGTTTGGCACCAGATCAACAACACCTCAATCGCTTCTGTTCGGATACTAAAAATTAAACAATTTGACAGCCTGCTTGCTAATTAAGTAATTAAACATTTTTTACAACCAACTTCTTGATTAGATGGGTATTATGTTCTTGGCGTCTTAACGATGCTCTCAATTAACCTGGCCTAAAACACATGATAGATGTACTATTCCCACTTTCTTAATTATTCTTAACCGAGGTTTGTAATAATTATATCTGTTACATCCATTTTTAATTTAAATTGTATTTTCATTAAATTTGAATTTATCTTGTTTTTAAAATAGTTTTTGGGTCTTAAATGTTGTGCCAAGGGGACCCATCCCCTGTTTTGTCCCCGGTTCCCTTTCATTTTTCTTTTATTTTTCTGAAAGTCTTCCTCTTTCTCTCTTCTCCCTCACATCACTCTCTCTCGGCTCTCTCTATCTCAGCCCATCCGAGAGCTTTTCTTATCAACAAACAACACCACAACAACATCAACATCTCCATTAGCACCCTAGTGAGCTTAGAATCGAAGAAAGAACACCCCAAACCCTTTTCTTCCTTTCGGCCGGAACTGTTCATCGTCTTCCCCGATGAGTTTCTTGATTTTTCAATGTTGGTAAGCTTCTAAAAACCCTTGGGATGTGTTTTAGGGTTAGATTGAAGCTTGTTTTAAGTTGTGTATACGTTTGAATCATAGAAAATAGCTCGGGAAAGCTTTTCCAAATTTTCCGGCGAGCACCGCCACTTTCGACGCATTTTCCGGCCAAAACACGGTGATTTGGCCGGCGTACAAGGTATAAATCTCTTCGTCTCGCTGGGTACTACAACTTTCCTTTTTGTTTCACCCAATTTCGTTGAGTATTGAAGAAGTTTTACTCATTGAATCTTACTCAGTTTCCGGTGACCTCCGAGGCTTTCGAGGCATTTTACGGTCAAATCACGGCGATTTAGACGTCGTGTGAGGTAACATTCTCTTCGTCACTTCGAGAACTACAACTTTCGTTTTTGAATCAATCGATTTCGTTGAGTTTTGACAAAGTTATGACCGTTTAAAGTTGGTGTAGATTTTTTGGCCAAATTCCGGTCTTCTTCTTCCTTGGGTCCTGCGACCCACCAAACCCAAGCCCTTTGGGCCTTTCCTGCCGAGCCCAACCCAAAACCTATTTCAGTTTTTATTATTTATTTTATTAATTGTTTAAAGTTAAAGGCATTTGGACCAAATTAGCTAAGACCCTAAGCTTTTTTATCTAAAAACCCAAAACCCTTAGACTTAAGGTCTTCGGGCCTTTTGAACCAGGGCCCTAAGCCCTCTCCTCTAAACCTAGCCCACCTAATTAGCTAAACCCTTAACCCTAACCTGTCTAAACCCTTTATGTGGAATATTCCGTCAGGGAATATTCTAGGAATATTCTAAGAATATTCTATTGACTTTTACGAAATTTATCCGGGACTCTTCTTAAGGTAATTCGACGTTCTGAATCCGTTTCCAATGTCAGTTTTCCAAATTCAATTGCTATTATATAGTTTTATTTATTGGATTCTTTATGTGCTTAGAAGCAATTATAGTGGTGTTTCTGTCTTCGCTAGTTGCGTGGCTCTTCGGTGGCAAAGTTTTGTGAGTGGACCCCTTCTAAAAAAATGCATGTTTTAATAGTAGAAATGCATACATGAAAGGCATGATTTAATGATTACGTTTTATTAAACGTTTTGAGATAACATGTTTACTAAGGGTAGGTTGAATTATTACTATTTTTCCTATAACTCATGTTCTTATAGAATATCCGATGGATGACGATATGATATTTAGAACATGTTTCGAACATCTCTTTATAGTATAGATGATGGATGATTTTATACTATGAAGTTGCTTTTCAATATATATATGTTCAATGGTTTTGTACTTACCTAGTGGTTCCTTTCATTACGGGACGTAGGGATAGGTTCCGGTCCGTCCGGGCGACGTTTTGGTGTTGGCATAGGGCCTGGAGTGTGTTTCTTTTGGCTATTTAGCACAGGGACGGGGAGCCGACGTGGGGCCTGAAGTGTATTTTTCTCTGACTGTCTGCTCAGAGACAGGAAGTTGGCATGGGGCCTGTGGGTTATCGGACATTTCAGTAGTGATTATTACATATGAGTTATGATTTGAGACATTGCACGACATGCTAGGTTTTGGAAAACCTATGTTTAACATTATATATGTGTTTTCATAAAACCTGGGGGTTAGTAAGTTGATAACTGTTTTATTATATATATATATATATATATATATATACATATATACATATATTCATATCAACTTGTTCCACTCATGTTTGTTTTGCGCCTCCTTTAGGACTAGAATTGAGGCATACAATCCTGGCATCCAGGTACTTTCGCATCGGCATCTTCGAGTCATTTTGGTGTAAGACCCATTCTTTTATTCACTCCATTTTATATTATTTCTTTTAGTATTCTAGTTAGTTGTGTGTTTTGAACATGTTTCTTAAATGCATATTCATTATTTTTTTTTTCATATTTCTAAGTCTTATGTATTCCTTATTCTCAGTTTTTGCATTCAATAAATGGCTTTGGTCACCTTCGGGTGTCAGCCAGCACGTGCCTATCTTGGTATTCGAGGAATATCGGGATCAGAGCGTGTCAATATCAAGATACGTACTCTATCTTAATGTACTGACTTAGCTAGTTCATAATTTTACACGTAGGTTTTGTTGGGGTTTAAAGAGACTTCACTACTTTGAGGATGTTTATCTCACAAAGAAGAATGTAATGTACCGGATATTTGATAAGCAAAAGAAATAAAGAACACTCAAGGTAATACATAAAAACTTTTTATTCTCACACAAACTAATACAAAAAGAAACACTCAAACACTCTCAAACTTCTTCATTTTTTTTCTCACTTCTTGCTCTCTTTTCTTTTCTTTGTTTTTTTCCTCACAATTTTACAACTAAACATTTTCTTGATTATTCTAGTCTAAGTCAACCGACTTGGCTTTTTCAAATTGATGCTATTTTGCTAGAGTTTTCTAGTCATAGCACACCGACTTAGACTTTGCTAGAACTCTCTAGCATGTGCATGAATCTTTCCTTTTGCATGGGCTGGATCAATTGTATTGGGTCAAGACAAGATTATCAATTCAAAAGGTTTCTTGTTTAGCACAACAAGTTGAAGCTACTATGCTACACATGTTAAAGTCTCACATCGGTGGGGATAAAAGGAAACCATGAGTTTAAATATGATTACCCCACTTTAACTAATACCGATGTTTCTTGTGGTAAAAACCTCACACCTGACGGATTGGGCATGTGGTAAAGTTAGGGACATTATTGGTGTCGTTAGAGTGGGGCCCGGACCAGTCGATCTAAAAAATTTCAACATGATATCAGAACCTATGGTTATGAGCCTGTGCAAGCCAAAGGCTTGTCACAAAGAAGTGTGGGCTTGGAAACAAGCTTGGACTCTTAACATAGAGTCGGCCTCTGAGTTCTAAGAGTCATTTCCTGAAAAAGATTGAAAACAAGTTTGGACTCCATTGGAGCCGACCTCTGAGTTTCAATTGACGATGTGTGGATCTCCACGTGTGAACCACTAAATGGGGTTATACGTGAGGGGAAGTGTTAAAGTTCCACATCAATGGGGATAAAAGGAAACCATGAATTTAAATATGATTACCCCACTTTAACTAATATCGAGGCCTTTTGTAGTAAAAACCCTACACTTAATGGATTGGCCAGGTGATAAAGTTGAAAATAGTATTAGTGTCGTTGGAGTGGGGCTCCCCAGGCCCGTCAACCTAAAAAATTTCAACAACACATGCCGGCTCCTTTTCACTTCTGAAATTCGGAGTATCTCATTCACATCATTTTTTGGCTTCTTTTGCACTGCATTTTCTTTTTTACTTCTGAAATTCGGAATATCTCATTCACATCATTTTTTGGCTTCTTTTGCACTGCATTTTCTTTGTTCTGAAATTCGGTATATCTCATTCACTTCCATATATATCAAGCAGTAGACTGTAAATCCTTCCACAAGCAAAGCTCTGGTTGCTAAAAGAAACCATGCGGCATAACAATGGGGTTCCTCTTCCCTTCATTTTCTCTCTTGTTGCATTGTTTCTGTTGGCTCTTCATGTCAATGTGTCTTTCGCAGATAGGTCGACATATATTGTCCACATGGACAAGTCCCTCATGCCCAAGTCCTACACTAGCCATGACCATTGGTACTCCTCCATCGTCGATTCATTCAAATCCGAATACCCTACCTCATTCGATGGCAACAAAATCTTGCCTTCCATTCTGTACACCTATGACAATGCCTTTCATGGGTTCAGTGCAGTTCTATCTGCTGATGAATTAGTGACTCTAAAAAAGTCCCCGGGTTTCGTCTCAGCTTATGCTGACAAGTCCATTACGCTCGACACCACCCACACCACTCAATTCCTCAACCTCAATCCCTTCGCCGGGCTGTGGCCTGCTTCGGATTACGGAGACGACATCATCATTGGTGTCATTGATACCGGTCTCTGGCCGGAGAGTGAAAGCTTCAGAGATGAAGGTATGACCAAAAGTCTTCCAGCTAGGTGGAAAGGAAAATGTGAGGTTGGACAAGAGTTCAATGCCTCTCTTTGTAACTATAAATTGATTGGAGCTCGATACTTTAACAAGGGTGTCATGGCTGCAAACCCCGGTGTCACACTTAGCATGAACTCGGCTAGAGACAGTGCAGGGCATGGGACGCATACATCTTCCACAGCTGCAGGGAACTACGTAGACGGGGCATCTTATTTTGGTTACGCTAAAGGCACAGCCAGAGGCGTAGCACCGTGTGCCAGAGTTGCCATGTACAAGGTTATCTGGGATGAGGGGCGCTATGCCTCTGATGTTCTAGCTGGTATGGACCAAGCTATTGCTGATGGTGTTGATGTTATTTCAATTTCCTCTGGCTTTGACGACACACCATTGTACGAGGATCCTGTAGCGATTGCTTCATTTGCAGCCATGGAGAAGGGTGTGGTGGTTTCAGCTTCGGCCGGAAATGAAGGCCCCGAGCTTGGGAAATTGCACAATGGCATCCCTTGGGTCTTGACCGTTGCAGCCGGCACAATAGACCGCTCATTTGGAGGAGCATTAACCTTTGGTAATGGTTTAACCATTACTGGATTTACCTTGTTTCCAGCAAACTCCTTAGTCGAAAACTCGCAACTGGTTTACAACAAGACATTCTCAGCATGCAACTCAACCGCAGCGCTAGAAACTGCCCCAGATGCGATCATCATATGCGATGACACTGTGCCTATTCGTAATCAAATATCTCACATCATCCAATCGGGGCTTCTTGGAGCTATCTTTATTACCAACAATCCTGAGATACGCGAATTAGGTCACGTTGCAACTCCTAGCGTTGTGGTGAATACGAAGGATGGGCGGACTGTGATCGAGTACGCACTAAAAAGTGAAAACCCTACTGTCAGCATAAATTTCCAACAAACGTTGCTCAATACAAAGCCTGCCCCCGCTGCTGCTTTTTACACTTCGAGAGGTCCTTCAAAAAGTTATCCGGGCATTTTGAAGCCGGACATAATGGCCCCGGGGTCATTAGTTTTAGCTGCTTGGGTTCCTAAGGTTGCAGCGGGTAAAATCGGGTTCAATGTGAACTTACCTAGCAACTACAATTTGATATCCGGGACATCCATGGCATGCCCTCATGCTTCAGGTGTAGCTGCTCTACTGAAAGGTGCGCATCCAGAATGGAGTGCAGCAGCAATTAGATCTGCTTTGATGACCACAGCTAACCCATTGGACAATACCGGCAATCCAATTCTTGACGACGGTGACAATTTCAAATTTGCTTCACCATTAGCTATGGGAGCAGGTCACATCGATCCTAATAGAGCACTTGATCCGGGCCTAATATACGATGCAACTCCACAAGAATATGTCAATCTCTTATGCTCCACCAACTTTACGCGTAACCAAATCTTATCCATCACTAGATCACACGCCTATGATTGTTCCAAACCATCTTCTGATCTCAACTATCCATCTTTCATCGCGTTGTACAACAATCATCACAAAACAAAGAAAAGGGTTCAAACATTTCAGAGGACCGTAACGAATGTGGGAGATGCCGCGGCTAGGTACAGGGCTTCGGTAACTGCTCCGAAGGGTTCTCAGGTAACAGTCTCCCCAGAGATACTGATCTTTGCATACAAGTATGAGAAGCAAAGTTTTACGGTCACTTTGAATTACAAAGCGAAGAAGAAAGGGAAGGCTTCTTCTGGTGCACTTGTTTGGATCGAACAAAATGGAAAATACACTGTCAGGAGCCCGATTGTAGTGTCACCACTTGTTTGATTTGATGATCATGTGTGTAGCTAGAATAAAATCTATGCATGCTGCATGCTTGGTATTAAGAAAATTAAAGGGAGTCTATTTTAGCTAATGGAATGATTATGAACTAATGAACTAATGAATAAACTTCTCTTTGTAAAATATGACATGATTGGATTGAACTTAAAGTTTCTTTGACTTCTAACTATTGGCCAAATAACCACTTAAAAATGTCAAAGGCATTTCTCTTTATTCAATAAATTTTTTTTTACTCGGTGAAAGCACCAAAGATAATTAAAAAAATTTATTTTTTGGTTGCATAATCGGAAATATTCAATAATAAACTCAAGAACATAAGTATAGAGAAGAATCGAACTTCATTTTCTTTCTTGTTTTGTTTCGTTTTTTTTTTTTTACTTAAAGACCAGCATATAGAGGTCGCACTTGGTGCGATGGCAAGTGCCTTCGTCCATGAGCGGTAGGTCTCGGGTTCGAGACTTGGGAGCAGCCTCTCCATAAATGGGGGTAAGGCTAGCCGACATTCACCTCTCCCCGACCCTGCGTAAAGCGGGAGCCTTATGCACTGGGTACGACCTTTTTTACTTAAAGACCAGCATATACATGCTCCATCACTAAGGACGAATCTTGGTTTGGTTTCTACTTCTGAGATAAAGTTACTGCTCAAGTGATGAACTATTATGGTCCACTATAGAATGTGAACTTAATAATTGACTATTTGAATGAACGATCACCGTGTAATGCCAGACTCTATCTGCATTCAAATTTTGGGTAACCAAGTAGTGAGTGAAAGGAACTCTCCTCCAACTTACAGCCTAGTGGGCCAGTAGGCTGGATCGGATACGTTAAAAGGTTCCTTGCATTATTGCTATTGAACTATATATTTATATATATGTACCATTGCATGTGAAGTTGACTTGGCTGGATATTATTGCTGTATTTTTCTAACTTATAACATTTTTATTTTTTCCTATATCCTTCCGCACAAACTAGTGCTACTCTTCTCCATTACACATACAATTAATTTCTTTTACTTTTCTTTGTGTTTTTATTACAAATTTCTAGTAGTTTTATAATTTTCATTTTTCCACAAGCTCATTTTCATCTTTACATACTCCTGTTTATTTCTATCTTATTATTCTCCTTAAAAAAAATTGAGGTGATTTTTCTTTGAATTATTCAATCTAATAATCACAATAAAATCAGCTTGTAAAGGAAGAAAAAAGGTGTGTAGAAATCACTTATTTGTCTATTAGGAATATTGAATAATTTTCAAAGAGAATTGTTATTGACACTTCAAATTTCTCATTCTACACTCCAAACTTTCTATATTTAGAAATAAAAATACACTTTTGAATAATGTAGAATGAGATTTTTGGAATGCTAATAACACCTCCCTTTTCAAATTACAAGAATTTTGATAAAGAGTTGCCTTTTAGTTCGCACCTATTGGGAGAACTAATCTGCAGAATTATAAGGCCCAGGGATTTGTGATTTTTCGTCACAATTCAAGGGGGCACATTAGCATGAATTTGCAACCATATATGGGTGTAAACCGTGTAATTGAAGAGTTGCACACCAATTGGAGAGACATAAGTACTCCTATATATAAGTATATATTATATATAGGATAATTCTCTGCAGATTTTCATATGAAAAAGATGAATGAAAACACACATACAAATGCTTCTAGGATCTAACAAAGTGAACATGTTATTTCCTAGCTAGGAACCATGAGCCATCTTGTAAACTTTCTTCGAGTATTAAGATTTGTTTTAGGCGTGTGCCAAACTTTGACAAACACACCCTTTTGCGCATTGGATGTGAGGCCGAATAGAATCTGAAAGATAACATAAACACTACATGCCTTGAAGCAATACTTCACCCATTATCATAACCAATAGCTCTAATAATGTCATTTATTTGCGAAGAATCAATTTCAATTCAAGTTATCAATGAGCCAATATCACATATATAATCTGCAAAAAGTATATAAATTTTAAATTACTGTTTTATTCAGTGGCGGAGCCAGCATGGGGTCATTGGTTGTCATTAATCCTAACAACTTAAATCCCCCATATATTTGTTTGTATATTGCATTTGACCCCTATAAACAGTTAAGACAAACTAATTAAATTACAACTTCCTCCTCCTACTTCTATTTTCTTCTATCATATTTGTCCTCCTATTCTCTCTTACATGAATACTTTAGTTGAAAAGCCTTGGTAGTCATCAACATTACTTCACAGTATTTTGCATCCACCTTCGACAAACCTCTATAAATAATAATAGTTGTCGACATATGTTGGCATAAACTTTAGGTATATGTTAACAAGGATTGGCAAGTGCCTACTAGATACTAGACAAAATGGCCCTATAAAACTTTTTTGGTTGATATTATGACTCCATTATGTTAACATTCTGGCTATGCCACTAGTTTTATCTATTAGTAATTAGTATCTTCTAATTTCATGATCTCCCTACTTTATCATTGGCTAAGAACACACTACCTAGCTAGTATTTCTAGTAGTTGGGTATGACTTTCCACTCAATCCATGTAGCTTAAAGATCACCAAACTGCACCTAATGTAAACTACATGGGTACAGTGGAACATTTTCAAACATTAGGATTTGGGTGCATTCAATTTTGAATTGTTAATTCCACTTTGGGTGCCAACTAAATGGCATCAATACATGTAAGTCTTTCTCATGTTGCTGACAATTCATGTGATAGCAAATGTTCTACTTTGTCCTTTTTGGGCCTGACCTCAATCCCATGAACAATGAGGCCAGCCTTTAATACACCAGCCACCTCCTTACATGTCATCTCCGTTAACTTCCCATCCCCTCCTCCTGGGCAGAAGAACTCACCCAGTTTTACCTCCGACCAGCTGTCCGCTCTTTCCTTCGGAAACCGATGCATTTCTTCTTTTTTTCTGTTGTTCTTCTTCTTCTTCTGCCTTCTTCTTCCGGCTTCTGGGTCCAGAAACACAGTACTGTTCTTATTGTCAATTGGGGACTCTCCATCTTCTCCTGTTGTGACCTTTACAGGCACCTCAAATCCGTATGCCCCTTCCCTCAACTTGAACACGAGATAAGCTTCGTATGTTGTGGCTGGGGACAGGATGCGCGTATCAATTTTCCCACGAATTTCAAGCCACCAAACATGCACAACCTCAGCCACCTCGTCAAACCTGCACAGTTCCATTTACTTAAATTATACACACTAGTAAAAAACCAACAAACTTTTCTAGAAAGGACTTATGATCCATAAGCATTTTTAATTTTTTCTGTCAAATGCAGTTAAACGCGCTTTAACAGTTATATATATAAAGCGCTTTTAGGCTGTCCACGAGCAATGTCAAACAGAATCTTAATTAGAATATGGATGAAAAATTATTAACAGACCTGGATTCAGGCAGACAAATCCATTCCCAATATTGAGGAGTATCGCCCCAAGTAATCATAAGCTCCCTTGCAGATATCATATAGCATTTTTTCCCACTCCATTTGTCCACCGAAAAGCTCTGCAATTAATATTGCATATGCATGACGTCAATTATAATTAAATACGTGAATAAAAATTAATCACAATAAGTTAATAACAAAAACGAAGGCATACAGTTAATATGACGTTACCATCTTCCCATGATCGATGAGGACCGGGTTGTCACATAGAGAGAGAAAAAGCCCCTTCTTGGATTTCCAACTGGAAGAAGAAGAAGAGCAAGGAGGGACTGGGAGGGAGGAGGGAGACTGAGGCTGTACGGAGGACTTGCCGAGGATCGTGTAGACATCAGGTGGAAGGAACCTGTCCCAAACGGCGTCCGATTCAGCGGCCGACCGGAAACCCCTAGACACCGCTGAAAGCCTGCACGCGTCTGGAGGTGTCGTTAAGGAGGCCACGGTGGCTTTGCATCCTTCTGGCAACGCCTCCAGATCCATCGCCGGCGTTCCTGTAATCTGTCTTTGTATATTGTATTGCGTTTTGGTTTTTGTAAACTTGTGTAATATATGCAGGGATTTCCTAGATGAAGTCTTAGTGGTTAAGTTTAGGGTTGTTTTATAACGCATCAAGGTATACGGTATGCACCAGGTTTATAGAAACGTTAAATTCGTTGGATTCTTGGACCAAATACAAAAAGAAAAGATCTTGACCTATTCTCTGGGGATGCATAAAAATATAGAATGGTTTTAAATTTTGAGTATCAGCCTAATTAATAAGAATGGATTTTATTTCTCTTAGATTAATACATTATTCCGCCCATATTCAATGCACATATAAAAGGTTATTTTTTCTAAAGACCTATTTGTTGATTTACCCTCTGAACTTGTATACAGCTACCAATTTCCCTCATGAATTTTAATTTAACTGATTATCCCTGAACTTTTATAAATGGATTTTGAAAATTTTCATCTAATCTTCCATTCATCTTGATCACGCGAACATCACATGGCAAGTATATGACGGGGAAAAGATAATTTTGTTTTGGTAAATTGGGCGCAAAGTTAGTACTTTGCAGCTGTGAATTGGATTCCTATGGCTAATTCAAACATAAAGTTTACGGAGTCAACTAGCTGAAGAGAAGAGAAGAAAACAATCGACTATCCACATTAGGGTAATATTACTTTATTGCCCTCACACATTCTTCATTAGACTAAAATGGATAGGAAATTGGATGAAATTTTTTAAATCTAATGTCAAAAGGGAAATTGACTAATTATAAAAGTTCAGGATGGTAATCAGCTAAAATTAAAGTTCAAAGAAAAAATTAGCAACTGTTTAAAGTTCTAGGGAAAAATCGACAGATAACTCTTTTCAAAATAAGAGAAAAGGTTATTGGGTTTCCTTTTGGGAACTTTAACGAAAAGCTCCTGGTACTGTTTACTTTAACAAAAAAAATCATATTTTTACACTAAAAAGTCAATCCTGGTACTATTCATTTTAAACTTTATTTTGTCCTTATCGTTAAAACTCAAAGTTTTCAAACTCTTTTCATTAGTTTTCCCCTTTTCCCTTTTCATTTCAAATTTTTTACTTTAATAAGTCATCAGCACTATCTAGTATCTAGTGTATATTCTTTTAAGTTAGAAGTCTCAAATTCAACTTATCTTGTTAACCAATTTAATTTAATAACATCGACAGTGGCAGACCCACGTTAGGATAAAAATTGGCCATTCCCTCCCCTCCAAGGGACCATGCAATGTTTCTAGCTAAATACCCCCATTCACAAACCCCCCCCCCCTCCCACCCCACCCCAAAAAAAGAAGGAAAAACAAAAGAAAAGAAAAAAATCAGTTTTATTGGTTCCAAATCGAGCACTTGAACTCGGTTTGATTTGCGACGCCAGATGACCTCGGTTCAATTTGTTGTGCACCATGAACTTGGCTGAGAAGAGAATGCGGGCATTCTTAGGTCAAAAAACTATACGTGTGTGTGATAACACATCTCCCGATCTCTCCATCCATCAAATAAGTTTATAACGTTTTACAACAAGTATACAAAGGTGAAAGGAATCATTAAATAATTATTGAAGAGGACTGTAACCACCGTTGATGATCAGGGTTCAGCCACTTATAATGTCAAAGTTAAAGAACCAAAGGGGTGTGGTTGTCGCAGTGTGACCAGAGAAATTGGTGTCCGGTAAGAGATAGAGAAGCAAGACTACACTTTGGCAATCAAGTACAAGAGCTCCGAGGAAGAAGCCATCTCATTAGGTGCAATTGTTTGGGAAGAAGAGAGTGAAAATTCTACTATGAGGAGCCCTATTGTGATCTCGGGTAGCCCTAATGTGATCATTGTGTAAGAACACGTTAGCTAGCATTTCGGGTAGTTTGGTATGACTTCAATTCAATCCATGTAGTTCAAAGATGAGTAATTGCAACCATTTTATCAACAAAATTATAATACAATGAGCCTTTTTGTTTTTCATACTAGTAATATTCCTTATATGTAACATCGACAATGCATCCATTACATGTAAGTCCTTGGAAAAAAGTTTGACTTTCTACATTCTTTTGGGCCTGACTTCAATCCCCTGAACAATAAGGCCTCTCTTCATTCTATCAACCTCCATACATGTCATCTCCATTAACCCCCCATCTTCTTCTCCTGGACAGAAAAACTCTCCAATCTCCACCTCCAGCCAGCCGTCGGGCCTTTTCTTTGGATATTGAGTTTCATCGATTTCCATGGGTCTTCCGGTAATGTTCTGTCTCCCCAGAAACACAATGCGCTTACTACTAGTCTCTTCTTCCCCAAAAAGTCCTACCTTGACCTCCAAGGGATCGTCACGATCAAATCCTCTAGCCCTTTCACTTAACATGAACACAAGATAAGCTTTGTAGATAGTGGAGGGGGAAAGAATCCGTGTATCAATTTTGCCACGGATCTCAAACCACCAAACAACTACAAGCTCAGCCACCTCCTCAAACCTGTTTCATTTAACATGACACATACTAATTAATTGCCTAATTACACACATACACACATATTTCAATATATATATACATCGCTAAAACAAATCCAACAGCAGAATAAGCACGATATGGAAACGCTTTCTCAACATCTTAAACGCATAGCTGTTAGCTTAATCAAACCAACAAAACGTAAGATGAATGAACTTTACAGACCTGGAGTTGGCAAGAGAAATCCATTTCCAGTAGGCAGGAGTACCACCCCAAGCAATCATAAGGTCCTTCGGCGATATCATGTAACATTTTTTCCCACTCCATTTGTCCAGAGTAAAACTCTGCATATATAGATCATAGAAACTGATTGGAAAAGAATACAAAAACTTATTCTGCCTAGTTTCTCATGCATTAGTTCCAGTAGGCACGATCTCAAAGTCTAAAGTCATATTTTCATATTAATTTATGACAATAAAACTTTATCCGAAAGTAGAGAGAAACAAATAAAATCTTCAAATATATTCATGTTTCAAATATCCCTAATCCCACCACAAAAGCGAAAAAGAACGTATAAAATTACCATTTTGCCGTCGTCAACGAGGACAGGGTTTTCGCAGAGAGTGAGGTAAAGCTTCTTCTTGGAGGAGGAGAAGGTGGAGGAGGAGGAGGAGTGAGATAGGATCAGTGGCGGATCTACAGAGGGACCTGGGAGGTCCCAGAACCCTTCGGCGACCCTAAATCGCTGCTAGAAAATTTTCGGGGACCCCTCGTACTCGAACACAAGGTCTGTGCAATGTGTTTTGTAATTTCTGGGTTGGTAGGTTCTGTTCTTGCGAGAGGAAGAAGATGATTAAATGAGTTTCTCTCTCATCCTTTCATTCCCACGTGACCACCCTCAAACTTTCCCATTTTATTGATTTTTTAATTGGTCCAATCACATTCCGATAGCTAGCATCAACTTGATCTTTCCAAAATATGAAAATGGGTTGTCGGTCCCTAGGTGTATATTTTTGTTAATTGGTGTGGCTCCCCTCCTTACGCGTCTAGTGCTTCATTTTGCTTTCTACACCCACATATTTAACACACTTATATTTATCTTAAAATTCAATATAAATCAATATGATCTTTAAAAATATTATGTAAATTACTATGAACTTGTAATTATTTGAACTTTTATCTTATACCTTAAATTCACCAAAATACTAGGTATATAATAAATTTATTTAAATTCACTTAGACCGCGCACGGAGAAGAAAGAAAATAGGACCCTTTTTAACAATTGGTATATTTTTTCTATTTTTTTTTTGTTAAATGTGTAGTTTAGAAATAAAAAAATGTGGAGAGATTTTTCAAGTCAAAGCTGATAGCACCATCTATTTGGTCATTGAGAAAGATGGTTGAGTGATGTTTTTTCATGTATTGGTAATGAAGCTATCATAGAATATTTTCAGACTATGAAACCCCGTCGTGGACGCTCAAATTAGGATTTTATAGCTTGTAATGTTGTTTTGCGTATGATTTTTGAATGAAATGTATTATATTTAACTTTTCAATGTTAATTTTGTCTATAAATGTTTTTACCTTTATTAATGGGACCCCCCAAACTTAAAATCCTGGATCCGCCACTGCCCGTGGGTATCCCTCTTCATGGCCCTTCCTTGCTTTGTTCAGCCATGGTTTCTGTTGAGTTCGTGTGTAGAGTTCTGGTGTTATATCTGGCTCAGGTGTCTCCCACACCACCACGATCTCCTTGTTGTCTGCCGTTCTCGGCGGTGTTGTTCGGGATTTTCCCGGAGCTTCTTTCTGATGGTTGGCTTCTCTCTCGCCGACTATCTCTTGTTAATGGTTATGTGCAGGTGGCGCCTGTGGAGGTGATGATCAGCGGTGGATGGAGGATTGGATGGCTGGCTGATTCTCGGGTCGATGGTGGAGAGCACAGTGGATGGTTCTCGGTTGTTTGTTTGGGCTTCACTGTTGTTGGGCTCATTTTCTTTGTTTTCTTTGTTTTTAGGCCCGTTCTTTATTTGTTTGTAGGAATAATTGGACCTTTGTGTGGTTTGTAAGTGTGTGTTTGTTTTAATAAAAGTTCCTCGCAACTTAAAAAAAAAAAAAAAAAACAGAATCTTAATTAGAATATGGATGAAAATTATTAACAGACCTGGATTCAGGCAGACGAATCCATTCCCAATATTGAGGAGTATCGCCCCAAGTAATCTTAAGCTTCCTTGCAGATATCATATAGCCCTTTTTCCCACTCCATTTGTCCACTGAAAAGCTCTGCAATTAATATTGAATATGCATGACATCAATTATAATTAAATACATGAATAAAAATTAATCACAATAAGTTAATAACAAAAACGAAGGCATATAGTTAATATGACGTTACCATCTTCCCCTAATCGATGAGGACCGGGTTGTCACATAGAGAGAGAGAGAAAAAGCTCCTTCTTGGATTTCCAACTGGAAGAAGAAGAAGAGCAAGTCGGGACTGGGAGGGAGGAGGGAGACTGAGGTTGTACGGAGCACTTGCCGAGGATCGTGTAGACATCAGGCGGAAGGAACCTGTCCCAAACGGCGTCCAAATCAGCGGCCGACCGGAAACCCCTAGACACCGCTGAAAGCCTGCACGCGTCAGGAGGCGTCGTTAAGGAGGCCACGGTGGCTTTGCATCCTTCTGGCAACGCCACCAGATCCATCGCCGGCGTTCCTGTAGTTTGTCTTTGTATATTGTATTGCGTTTTGGTGTTTGTAAACTTGTGTAATATTGTTTGGGCACAAATTTACACCATCAAAGTGAGCATAACTTTCAACTGTTGGATAGAAAAGTAAAGATAGTTTTGTTGTTGTTAAAAGATAATATTATGGTTTTTATCATAATAATTATCTTTTAACTATCTTGACAAATGCGAATTATATCTCTAAGCAAGGGGTACAGTTCAAATTAAGTTGGGATGTGTGTGGACGTGTGGAGTAGTCAAAGTAAAGTGATGTGATGGGATCAAGGTGCCAGCCATGATTTTTTATGCATGCATGTGATGATTTCATTAAATGCCGTGCAAAAGTTGGAAATGGTTTGGATGGATAAAGATGGCATGAAAAAGGGTTTATTTTGATGGTCTCGACGTGGAAAGCAAATGACCACCAAATGGCATGTATCCTTGGATTTTGGCAGGTTTTTTACCGAGTCTTGTGGAAGTGAATGGCTAGGCTTGCATGTTAATTATCAGCATGCTTTGGTTCCAGAGCCGTGGAGGTCATTATGCATGTTAATTATTTGCATAAAATAAGGAGATAATGATAACATCTAAAAGAAAGGCTGTTGCTTACCTTGAGAAGTGTTTGACTGGGACTCTGGTTGATGAGTGTGAATTGAAATCAAATCCTACACTAGTGTGAAGCCGCACCACACATTTGCGTCTATAAATACAAGGTTGCGAACACCATTGAAGCCCCTCTAATTCAACACACAATTGCCCTGTGCAAACTTTCTCAACAACCTTGAGATTTTTACTTTTTCCTTTTCGCCGACACATCTTTCGTTGGTATCAATAGCACTGTGAAGGCAACCAGTGATATCCTCAGTCGACATAAGATAGCTCTGTCACCGTAGAATCAGCTAATCTCGCAGCATCTTCCGTTGGTATCAACAGCACTGCGGCGAGGACAGTTGGTTACCTATCCAAGTCTCGGTCGAGAAGGATTTCCGAATCCTTGTTGGTCGAGGTCATCTCATTAGCCTTCTCAGCGAAGTGAGGTGTTACAGTTTACCGAGCTCGGCGCATTGCACGCCGAGTTATTTTATGATTGGATACTCTCAAGTGGGATTTAGAGTTCGGCATTCTGACAGTCGAACCACGTTCACCATTAAGACTTATATCCACTTTGAGTATTTGTGCCCTTACACTTTGGTGTCGATTCGGCGTGGGTTTACTCTGACAAATACCATCACTGTGACCGAGTTCGACGACGACGATTCGTGAACTTCATGAGAATAGCAACCTTGTCTTCAGGCTGCATAAGTCAGTAGCGCGACCCAATGCAACATTAGCAAATTTTACTTCTCGGCCGAGCTCGGCCGACGAGTTGGCACGCCCCGCACACAACCGAATGACGTAGTTAGCTCATAGATTACTCGGCCTGCGCGCCACGTACGTAGGCTTGGTAGTTTTTAGGGTCAACAAATATATGCATGGATTTCCTAGATGAAGTCTTAGGGGTTAAGTTTAGGGTTGTTTTATAACGCATCAAGGTATATGGTATGCACCAGGTTTATAGAAACGTTAAATTCGTTGGGTTCTTGGACCAAATACAAAAAGAAAAGATCTTGACCTATTCTCTGGGGATGCATAAAAATATAGAATGGTTTTAAATTTTGAGTATCAGCCTAATTATTTCTCTTAGATTAGTAATACATTATTCAGCCTATATTCAATGCACATATAAAAGGTTATTTTTTCGAAAGACCTATTTGTCGATTTATCCTCCGAACTTGTATACACCTACCAATTTCCCTTATGAATTTTAATTTAGCTGATTATACCTGAACTTTTATAAATAGATTTTGAAAATTTTCAACTAATCTTCCATTCATCTTGATCACGCGAACATCACATGGCAAATATATGATGGGGAAAGGATAATTTTGTTTTGGTAAATTGGGCACAAAGTTAGTACTTTGCCGTTGCAAATTAGATTCCTATGGCTAATTCAAACATAAAGTATACGGAGTCAACTAGCAAAAGAGAACATTAGGGTAATATTACTTGATTACCCTTAAACATTTTTCATCAGACTAAAATGGGTAGGAAATTGAATGAATTTTTTAAAATCTAATGTCAGAAAGGAAATTGACTAATTATAAAAGTTTAGAAGGGTAATCAACTAAAATTAAAATTTAGAGAGAAAATTAGCAACTGCTTAAAGTTCTAGGAGAAAATCGACAGATAACTCTTTTCAAAAAAAGAGAAAAGGTTATTGGGTTTCCTTTTTCCTTTTCATTTCAAATTTTTTACTTTAATAAATCATCAGTACTATCTAGTATCTAGTATATATTCTTTTAAGTTAGAAATCTCAAATTCAACTTATCTTGTTAACAAATTTAATGTAATAACACCGACGGTGATAGACCCACGTTAGGATAAAAAGTGGCCATTCCCTCCCCTCCAAGGGCCCATGCAATATTTCTAGCCAAATACCTCCATTACCCACCACCCCCCACAAAAAAGGGAAAGAAAAAAGAAGAAAAGAAATCAGTCTAATTGGTTCCAAATCGAGCACTTAAACTCGGTTTGATTTGCGACGCCACGCCAGATGACCTTGTGCACCATGAACTTGGCCTAGAAGAGAATGCACGTATTCTTAGGTGAAAAAACTATACGTGTGATAACACATCTCCCAATCTCTCCATTCATCAAATAAGTTTATAACGTTTTACAACAAGTATTCAAAGGTGAAGGGAATCATTAAATAATTATTCAAGAGGACTGTAATCACCGTTGATGATCAGGGTTCAACCCATGTCAAAGTTAAAGAATCAAAAGGGTGCGGTTGTCGCGGTGTGACCAGAGAAATTGGTGTCCGGTAAGAGACAGAGAAGCAAGACTACACTTTGGCAATCAAGTACAAGAGCTCCGAGGAAGAAGCCATCTCATTTGGTGCAATTGTTTGGGAAGAAGAGAGTGAAAATTTTACTATGAGGAGCCCTATTGTGATCTCGGGTAGCCCTATTGTGATCGTTGTGTAAGAACACGTTAGCTGGCATTTCGGGAAGTTTGGTACGACTTCAATTCAATCCATGTAGTTCAAAGATGAGCAATTGCAACCATTTTATCAACAAAATTATAATACAATGAGCCTTTTTGTTTCTCTTACTAGTAATTTTCCTAATATGTAACATCGACAATGCACCTATTACATGTAAGTCCTTAGAAAAAGTTCAACTTTCTACACTCTTTTGGGCCTGACTTCAATCCCTTGAACAATAAGGCCTCTCTTCATTCTATGAATGTCAAAATCCCTACATGTCATCTCCATTAACCCCCCATTTTCTTCTCCTGGACAGAAGAACTCTCCAATCTCCACCTCCAGCCAGCCGTCAGGCCTTTTCTTTCGGCTCCTTTCTTGGCCCAGAAACACAGTGCGCTTACTACTAGTCTCTTCTTTCCCAAAAAGTCCTATCTTGACCTCCGAGGGATCGTCACGATCAAATCCTCTAGCCCTTTCACTTAACATGAACACAAGATAAGCTTTGTAGACAGTGGAGGGGGAAAGAATCCGTGTATCAATTTTGCCACGGATGTCAAGCCACCAAACAACTACAAGCGCAGCCACCTCCTCAAACCTGTTTCATTTAACATGACACATACTAATTAATTGCCTAATTACACACATACACACATATTTCAATCTATATATATACATCGCTAAAACAAATCCAACCGCAGAATAAGCACGATATGGAAATGCATTCTCAACATCTTAAAAGCGTAGCTGTTAGCTTAATCAAACCAACAAAACGTAAGATGAATGAAGAAGTTTACAGACCTGGAGTTGGCAAGAGAAATCCATTTCCAGTACTCAGGATTATCACCCCAAATAATAATAAGGTCCTTCGGCGATATCATGTAACATTTTTTCCCACTCCATTTGTCCAGAGTAAAACTCTGCATATATAGAACATGGAAACTGATTGAGAAAGGTTACAAAAACTTATTCTGGCTAGTTTTTCATGCATTAGTTCCAGCAGGCACCATCTCAAAGTCGAAAGTCATATTTTCATATTAATATATGATGCTGTATTCAATTGAGAATTTGAGAGACTTTAAATTGATTTTTATAGAGTTTAATTGATTTATAGAGATTTCATAGAAAATTTTGATTCAATTTCCTCGAAATCTCATGGAGAGAGATTAGATTTGTGGATGCTTATAATATACTACAAAATCTCTCCAATTCCCTTTAATTCCTCAAATTTCTCAAATTATTTAATATCAATTTCTAATTGAATACAATGTTATAAACTTTTTTAAAATCATAATTGAATACACTCAGATTTATAAAGATTTTAATAAATTATCTTAAAATTCTAATTGAATACCCTTGAATTAAAATACTGATTGATTACCTAGATTCATTAAAAGAATTAAAATCCCTCAAACTCTGAATTGAATACACGCCCCAAAACTTTATCAGAAAGTAGAGAGAAACAAATAAAATCTTCAAATATATTCATGTTTCAAATTTTGGGAGCTATCCCTAATCCCACCACAAAAGCGAAAAAGAATGTATAAAATTACCATTTTTCCGTCGTCAACGAGGACAGGGTTTTCGCAGAGAGTGAGGTAAAGCTTCTTCTTGGAGGAGGAGAAGGTGGAGGAGGAGGAGGAGGAGTGAGATAGGATGGAGGGGATATCAGGGGGAAGGAACTTGTCCCAAACAGCGTCGGAATCAGCAGCCGACATGAAACTCTTAGACACCGCCGAAAACCTGCACGCGTCTCGAGGCGTCGTTAAGGAGACGACGTTAGCTATGCATCCTTCGGGCAACTCTTGCAGATCCATGTGAACGTGATGGTGATCGTCATCGAGTACCATCGACACCGGCGTCCCGCAGCCCCCGCTGGTGATTCCTTCTCCTCCTTCTCCTCCTGATACACCGGCGTCGACTGTCTTCTTTTGCATCTCTAGGTGATCTCCGCCGCGGCAGATTCTCTTCATGTCTTCCGTCTGTCTGTCGTTGACTCTTGTGTCATGTGTGTACTTTGTGGTACGTGTTCTGTTGTGTGCAAGAAACTTGTCATATTTGTAGGGACTAGTGAGGGAGGCCTTGGGCGTTAAGGCATGGTTCAATTTTTCCTCGAGTAGTTTTACTTCGTTTTCTAATGTTGACAAACGCTACACTCTAGAAAACTATTTAAAATTTTTATTTCTCTGTCACTTTCGACACGCTAAGCTTCTTAGATTTAAATTAGAATATTTCAAGGCATATGAGAATTTACCGAAGAGGAAGAAAAACAATCATGCATATGAACTATGGTGTGTGCAGTGGCGAAGCCAGAATTTATTGGAGGGAGGGGCGAACTTTCGGCAATTTGTAAACCCAATCTCAATGAAGACATCACTTCCGGCATTTCCCTCTTCATCAAAATCACACTTGAATAGATAGCAATAACGGCAAAATGCGGTATCTTTTACTATACTATACTCCAACCACTTAAAATTATCAAACCAACGGGTGACAAAACATCGATTATTGCTAACTTTTCTGGGCATGATGTGATCTTTAGGTTGACCAGGATTGTTTTGGAGATAATGTCGGCGAATTGTTTCACGATAATTAGGTGGATAATCAAGCATTCAATGTCTATGTCCAGGGTTTACATGAAGATTAGACAGTATTTCATCCAACTCAGTGACCTAACTTTGTTGGGAACTACCCGGAATACTCGAAGAAGAAATATTTGGAATATTCGAAGGAGGACTACTCGGAATATTCGAAGAAGGACTAGCCGGAATATTTGAAGGAGGATTTAAGCTGTTTCTTATAGTATCGTTCCATTGTTTAACTGTATATGAAAAAGAAAAGAAAAAAGTCTTAGACTCTTAATTCTAGAGTAAGCTATACTATAGTCAATATGAGTACTAACTAATTAAACCAGCAATTCAATTAATCAATACCAATATTCATATAAATTATTTAATACACAAACATTCAATTAATAGATTAATATCAATAATCAAGAATTCAATTTTTACTCTAGACAATAATTTCATTCATCAATAATCATTCATAGGATTCATATTTATTTGCAAAAATCAATAATCAATAACTATATTAGTGTATTACTCTATGATTCTATATTAATTAACTAAAATTTTGTATTAATTAATCAATTAGGGTTAGAGATAATATAAATTAGAAAGTTAAAAAATTTACCTAAAATTGAGAGAGAAGTGGAAAACCAACCCATTAGGTTGGCTGCTGTGCTGAAGGTTTTCAAACAGTGGGGTGGTTTTCAAAAAGTGAAGGTCTACTTTGAAAAATGGAAGGCACGGGGACAGTGGTCCCCTTTAAAATTTTCTATTTTTTTAAGCAATTAACGAAACGGTGTCGTTTGTTTAAGGATTTTTCTTTTTTTTTTAAATACTAAATGAAACGGCATGAGGGATTTAAAAAAAAATTACATAAGTTGCTGCTGTGCAGCAGCAGAAACCCAGAAACCGATCCGCAGATTACAGTGTAGCCATTCATTCCGACGAGACCAGAGGGGTGAAACCACGTTCATGGGCTTAATTTCCGGCAAGGGGAGGGGCGGCCGCCCTTCCCAGTCCCTCTGTAGCTTCGCATGTGGGTGTGTGGTCAATTCATACTCTCTTTAACAACTAACTAACACTATTTGTATTTCAAAAAAATTGGCCACCAAATTGCTATATTACTGTTGACCCTAAAAACTAACAAGCCTACGTGGCGCGCAGGCCGAGTAATCTATGAGCTAACTACGTCATTTGGTTGTGTGCGGGGCGTGCCAACTCGTCGGCCGAGCTCGGCTGAGGAGTAAAATTTGATGATGTTGAGTTGGGTCGCGCTACTGACTTCTGCGTCTTGCAATTGCGGCCGAGAAAGGAACATGTGTCAGCCTCTTGGGTTCTTGAGCCTGAAGACAAGGCTGCTATTCTTATGAAGTTCACGGATCGTCGTCGTCGGACTCGTTCACATTGATGGTATTCGTCAGAGTAAACTCACGCCGAATCGACACCAAAGTGTAAGGGCACAAATACTCAAAGCGGATATAAGTCTTAATGGTGAACGTGGTTCGGCCGTCGGAATGCCGAACTCTAAATCCCACTTGAGAATATCCAATCATAAAATAACTCGGCGTGCAATGCGCCGAGCTCGGTAAATTGTAACACCTCACTTCGCCGAGAAGGCTAATGAGATGACTTCGACTAACAAGGATTCGGAAATCCTTCTCGACTGAGACTTGGATACGTAACCAACTGTCCTCGTCGCAGTGCTATTGATACCAACGGAAGATGCTGTGAGAACGACTGATTCTACGGTGACAGAGCTATCTTATGCCGACTGAGGATATCACTGGTTGCCTTCACAGTGTTATTGATACCAACGAAAAATGTGTCGGCGAAAAAGGAAAAGTAAAAATCTCAAGGTTGTTGAGAGAGTTTGCGCAGGACAATTGTGTGTTGAATTGAAGGGGGTTTTAATGGTGTTCGCAACCTTGTATTTATAGATGCAGATGTGTGGTGCGGCTTCACACTAGTGTAGGATTTGATTTCAATTCACATTCATCAGCCAGGGTCCCAGTCAAACACTTCTCAAGGTAAGCAGCAGCCTATCTTTTAGATGTCATCATTATCTTCTTATTTTATGCGAATAATTAACATGTATAATGACCTCCACGGCTCTGGAACCAAAGCATGCTGATAATTAACATGCAAGCCCAGCCATTCACTTCCACAAGACTCGGTAAAAAACCCGCCAAAATCCAAGGATACATGCCATTTGGTGGTCATTTGCTTTCCACGTGGAGACCATCAAAATAAACCCTTTTTCATGCCATCTTCATCCATCCAAACCATTTCCAACTTTTGCATGGCATTTAATGAAATTATCACATGCATGCATAAAAAATCATGGCTAGCACCCTGATCCCATCACATCACTTTACTTTGACTACTCCACACGTCCACACACATCCCAACTTAATTTGAACTGTACCCCTTGCTTAGAGATATAATTCGCATCTGTCAAGATAATTAAAAGATAATTATTATGATAAAAACCATAATATTATCTTTTAACAACAAAACTATCTTCAATTTTCCATCCAACGTTTGAGAGCTATGTTCACTCAACGGCCTTGATTGCACAGGCCGATGGTGTAAATTAGGGCCCAAACAATTACCCACACAAATTATTTTTTGGAATTTAATATTTAACTTTATTTTTCTTTCTCAATAAAATAAAAAGATCGGTTGCAAATAACTTTCACCACAACGTAAGATTTTTAAAATTAGTTTAGAAATATTGTTACTTTTTTTGTACAAACGATATTAAAGGAGAAGATGGAGCATCACGCTCAAGAGTGGATACTCTCCATTGACTTTTTTTTTGTTTTTTTTTTGTTTTGGGGGATGATCGAACTTTTAATATTGGGCCTAAAAGTAAATTCATTAAAGCCCAAAGATAGCAAAGATTAGCAAGCCCAATAACAAGAAAAGCCCAACACAAAGAATAACAAGCTTTAGCTGGTAGATACTAATGGTACAGGAAAAACAAGCTCTTATCCTTTTACCATTTAAGAACGGCATTCATGCAAATAACTCAAGTATTGATACAATCAGATGTGATTCCGGCAACGGAAGTTGAGAATTCAAAAGCCGATACTGCTCGTTGTCCCCTCACTAAGCAAAAAAAAATAAAAAATCAATCGTCGTCATCCTTTAACTCAAAAATTACAAAAAAACATTGATTTGAGTCCTAGTAAATACAAATGGTAATTCGAGCGTGACCGCAACAGAACAAACATTCTGGCTTCGACAACCTTCTTCTCGCAATATTTGGATCTGATACACTGACTTTGTACATCTCAGAAAAAATGCAAAACCTGAAAATTAAAGACTTCTGGTAAGCTAAAAGAAAAAATAGACGGTGCATGAGTGTTTAGAAAGAGAGAGCACTGAAGTTTGGACGAAAGTAATTTATGCGGCACGAACATGACACGATAAATAGAGAATATGGACCGAAAGTTACTTCAATGAAATTGTACAAGGAAAATGCATAGACCACCGAAATTGGTTCTGACATCCAAAAATTTTGATTAGCCATCTCCAAAGAAGCAACCGATTCACTACTTTACAACAACATTAACCAGCTTCAGAGCCAAATCTCTGCACCAAGAATTCATCTAGCTGACCCCATTTTGGAATACTAGATTCGCTCATTTTATCAGACGGCAAAGCTCGAATGCATCCAAGAATGTGTGTGACATCCCGGCGCAGCCTGGTGGACAAAGTGAAAAGTTATGTTTATTAAGGAGTCCTAACAATTGTATGCGCACAAGAGGGAAGGGAACTGAAAAGGTAGTACCTGTCCTTGGCTTGTGGTGTGCACATCTGTAACCGTGAAAATGCCTCTGATATTTGTGAATGGAAGACCAAAATCACTTGCCTGAAAATTACAAACCACAGTAATCATTAACTGCCCCTTTCATCAACCAAATCACACTGATTAAAAATGTGGAGGGAAGAAGCAAGAACGTCAAGCTAACAAATGGAATTGGATGATCCCTTGAGTCTTTGACCAAGTTCCCAAGAAAATTTCAAGTTATATGAACCTTACCTGAAAATCGCTTGAACATCGATTATTGAAAGTTTAGGGTTGTTTTATAAATACTCTGCTATAATATCATCTATTATTGAAAGTTACTAAATACTCTGCAACAATATATCATCTAGATGAAGTCTTAGGGGTCAAGTTTAGGGTTGTTTTATAACGCATCAAGGTATATGGTATGCACCAGGTTTATAGAAACGTTAAATTCGTAGGATTCTTGATCAAATACAAATAGAAAAGATCTTGACCTAGTCTCTGGGGATGCATAAAATTATAGAATGGTTTTAAATTTTGAGTATCAGCCTAATTAATAAGAATGGATTTTGTTTCTCTTAGAATTAACTAGAAAATAAGCCTGCGCGTTGCGGCGGGAACCACTGTTTCAGGCATAACTATATGAATAAGACACATTTGACCTGAATAAATTCAACACAATCATCAATGAACAAAGGGACACATGAGTGAATGAGGTCGATAAGATAAGCAGCTTGGCTTTTACATGCATTCAACTGAACATTGCACAATTAGGAGCTCGGCTTTGAGAGGTGGGAAGGAACAATCATGTGGAATTTACAGTTTATATGGTGAGACTCGCATAATCCACTCGATCAATGTCGTTCCTATACATTCTTCATAAATTATATGAAAATTATGGGGAAAAGAAATTACATGCATACATGAAATAAAATTGTATCACAATAGAATTATATTATGAACAAAATAAGGATAGATTGTGTTTACCTAGTGTTTTTCTGCTGGGAAAGAAGTCTGGTTTTGCATTAGTTGGAAAGGACCTTTTTTCTGGCAATTTTATAGGATGTCATCAATTTTTTGCGCGTTTGTCTCTGTGAAATGCACATTAGATAAGAGTTTGATTAAACACATGAAAAAAATATTGTTTAGTATGGTGTAAACACAAAATTACACGTGTATCAGTTGGGATAGCAAAAGCTTTACAAATGAGATTGCAATTGAAGGTTAAACCCCTCAATCGTCGTATGCATTCACAGAATGTAAACTGATTAGTATGTTTAAGCAGTGATGATGATACTTTTGGTCTAGCATAGTTAGCAATATGTGTAGTACATGTATTACCCTAATTGTATCTTAATTATTAATCATTATAAGACTAAAATCTCTCCTGAAGCTTGTAAAGAAGCTTTGAGTTTAAATTCATTTTCCTACTTTGAACAAAACTTTACCCAGATACCTCAAATAATTGGAATCATACAAAAACCAAGCATCCTAGTAGCTAGCTAGTACATGAAATCGTGGTTTCACTGATTATATTAAAAATATTAAGAAACTTCTTAGATACGAAAAAACACAAATAAAGTTTGAAAAATCACTTACTGAATGCCCAAGATAGAGATCCTTATTTCCAGCAACCTTTCCAATCCTAGCTAGCCATCTTCCATGTTGATGACGTCTGCTACACAGAGAAGAAACAAAACAAAGAGACTTTAGAGATTTTTAATTGGTATATATATTATTTCTCATCGATATTTTATCTAAATTATTATATAAAATTATGAATAGCTAATAAGACCTTGTAATTCTTCTGTACATTGAAGCCCCTCTTGAGAATCCACTGCTTTTCCTGTAAAGACCACATTATGTTAGTAATCGATTAGCATTTAAACGCTGTTGTATATATAAATCTACCGAATGCATGCTTAGTAGCATGAACTAAAACAACATGGTTTGACAGTTAAAATGGTCAGCCAAATTATATGTGAAAAAATGCTTACCCAAGTAAACTGAAGATTCATCATTTGATTGTAATTCCCCAGCTAATCAAAGAAAAACCAAAAAATAAAAAATAAAATCAGCATATAGTATGGAAAATAGTCAGAACAAAAGCAGAATTTGACTGGAAAATAGAAATCTGCCTCTTTAGAATATCTTTAAACGAAGAACGTGCAACAAACCTACTTACTTTTAATTTCAAACACACACTGAGATTTAAAAGATATCGAATAGAAGATATTATTAAGATGGAAAACGTATTCCATAATGCATGGGGAAACCGTAAATGTAACAAAAACTGTCATGGTGGAATGGAGTAAATATGTGAAAGTGCAACAAAGGGTACGTCTCAGAAGGGTTTAACTGATGACCAGTCATTTATACTTGATAATGTTCTGAATTGTCAGCTGGACAAAGCTGTTAAAATGTGTTTTGGAATAAGTCCTCTCACAGCATGTTTATCTATGCTATTATTTTTTTAACTTCCTTTTATTCAGAATTATGTTTCAGTGTACTTTTGATGGCATGAAGATTTTTGACAGCACACCAACTTAAGACGTAACAATCAAAGATAGCTAGATTTAATAGATTTAATATATTCTGGCATGAAGATTCCTGTTATTGTGGTTGTATATATTCAAAGGACGTTATAATTAGATAGCTAGATTTAATCCCAATGGGCAAAAAAAATACATGTAAGAACAGGTATGAAACCAGTGTTAATTAATATACCTCAAAAGTCAAAGGGCCAGTCTGAGATTTCAAACATGGAGATTTACTTCATTTTAAAAAACTGCTAAATACATTGGGAACTGTTAAAAACATGAACTACAAATCTGTAAAAAAAAAAGGCTTCCAGATAAGTTTAAACTATCAACTCTCAAGTTAGCATTGTTACTGTTTTTGAGTTGGATGTTGGCTTCCTAACATGGTATTAAAAGGGATTTATAAGTATGTGCATTGTTAAATCACCCAACACCATGTGTTAACCAAGTAATTTATAGCTAAAGAGCAAGATATGCCACACAAAACCTGTATTTAGATGCCAATCACTAAAAGCTAATAAAAATTCCTAATCTAACCATCACTATACTAACAGTTTGGAGAAGGATCAGAACTTCTTGTCCAAATTTGTGTTCATTTTATTTCAATTGTCCATCAGAGCTTAAGAAGAATGATTAAATAAAGACAATGGCATGCCAAAGAAAAAATACCCGCCTTTTAAACTTCAGTAATGCATAGTCTTGTTGTGGTTTTTGTTTTTTCTAAAGACCAGACTAAGAGAATGGTCAACACCAACATCCTATGTGTTCAGATAATCGCGAAGACTAAAATATAAGCTCACAAATATAATCCTAACACGATCAGATCATTGCCAACAAAAAATATCCATTATTAAAAACATAAGTGCATTGAGAAGGTGTAAAAAAGAGTAATGACCATAAAACTAATGATTTCATTCATCAGTCACATAGAGACAAATTTGTTTGTGGGCTTCACATTGAGGGATAAAGGGACTTATCAAAATAGATCCCACTAACTTCCCTATTTAAAAACATAACATGATTTAGGTGATTAAAACTCATTTGAACAATCAGCAAAACTTGAGTGAAAACAATTAACTAATTAACCACTTGCACCCTGCTCACAGTGAAAAGTAATTTCAAATTAACAGCCATATGAATCCAGATTCATTAACATGGATGATTGGCTGATAAGAATCCAGGGCACAGATGAAACCTTGCTAAACTTGGCATTTGGTAATTCAAACAATTAAATGAAAGAACAAAACTATGTCCAATCATTACCAAACAACCACTTTTGCCATAATTTTCTTCTTTCATTCAAATGGTTGAATGACCAAATGGCTAGTTTGCCACGGTTTCATCTGTGCCCTAGATTCTTGTAAAACATGAAGTTTAAAGAAACATGAAGCTTTAAAGTAACAGAAGCATAAATGAAAAACCTTGGAATAAACTGAACTTAAACGTAAAATGGCAATTGGGTTAACAAATCTTTGGAATTAAACTAAATCACAAAATGAAAAGGACCTCCAATAAATTGACATTTTATATTTTTGGCTGGCAAAAAAATATGTATCTTTGCTGGAATATGTAAATAAAAATGCAAATTGACAAAAACATTGAAATTGAAATGCACAAAAGCAAAGCAAAGCAAATTAGAAAACCTTAAACCAAATGACAGCCTAGAAATGGAACTGTTTTTAATCATTTAGGTTCAAATGATTGGCTGGAGAAAGGGCCATTCTTTGAATTTACATGATAAAAAACAGAACATAATTTAGGGGTCCAAATACTGAAACTGAGAAAAAAAAAATTACAAAAAAAAATTGAGAAAAACAATTAAATTGAAATAACAATGATACTCCCAAAAAAAATTGGCAACCTTAGCGTATTAGATACCCCCAAAAACAAAAATAACAAAGACCAATTAAAGAAGGAGTTCAAAATTTTAGAATAGGCAGATCAAACGTCTAGATGCATTTGGCTGTTCCCATCTAAAATTTTCAAACTGAAAAAAAACACACTAAAACCAGTTACACAACTGTAGAGCACAATTTTTAAGGGTGCCACTGCAATTGAAATAACTTCTAGATACAATGAGAGAAAAATAAATTACAGTAATTTGACATGAGAAAAGAAACCACATGATTTGAAATAACCCATTGGTAAGCTAAGTTATAAAATGGTAAAAGCGATGATATATACCTAACACCCTGCTTGCTGTGAGCTATAACATCCAAGTTCCACTATGTAACCCTCTGCATAGCTGTGTAACCTCTGGTAGCGAAACCCCTGAGAAGGTTAAGAGCTCTGATCAGAGAAGGCAAACCAAAATCATCTAGTTAGACAACCGCGCACACACACAGAGACACACATGCCTTTCACAGAATGGGAATCCAGGTAAAACAAAAAAACGCAAAAAATCATTAATAGTTGCATTTAGCTTAAGTGCTTGATAATGTTCTGAATTATCAGCTGGATAAAGCTGTTAAAATGTGTTTTGGAATCGGTCCTCTCACAGCATGTTTATCTACGCTATTCTTGTTTAACTTCCTTTTATTTAGAATTATGTTTTAGTGTACTTTTGATGGTATGAAGATTTTTTCAAGCACACCAACTTAAGACGTAACAATCACGCATTCTAGTGTTATTGTGGTCGTATATATTCAAAGGACGTTATAATTAGATAGCTAGATTTAATCCCAATGTGCAAAAAAAAACATGTAAGAACAGCCATGAAACCAGTGTTAATTAATATACCTAAAAAGTCAAAGGGCCAGTCTGAGATTTCAAACATGGAGATTTACTTCATTTTAAAAACTGCTAAATACATTGGTAACTGTTAAAAGCATGAACTACAAATATGTAAAGAAAAAAGGCTTGCAAATAAGTTTAAACGATCAACTCTCAACTTAGCATTGTTACTGTTTTTAAGTTGGATGTTGGCTTCCTAACATGGTATTAAAAGGGATTTATAAGTGTGTGCATTGTTAAATCACCCAACACCATGTGTTAATCAAGTAATTTATAGCTAAAGAGCAAGATATGCCACACAAAACCTGTATTTAGATGCCAATCACTAAAAGCTAATAAAAATTCCTAATCTAACTATCACTATACTAACAGTTTGGAGAAGGATCAGAACTTCTTGTCCAAATTTGTGTTCATTTTATTTGAATTGTCCATCAGAGCTTAAGTGAAAGAATGATTAAATAAACACAATGGCATGCCAAAGAAAATATACCCGCCTTTTAAACTTCAGTAATGCATAGTCTTGTTGTGGTTTTTGTTTTTTCTAAAGACCAGACTAATAGAATGGTCAACACAAACATCCTATCTAATCAGATCATCGCAAAGACTAAAATATAAGCTCACAAATATAATCCTAACACAATCAGATCACTGCCAACAAAAAATATCCTTTATTAAAAACATAAGTGCATTGAGAAGGTGTAAAAAAGAGTAATGACCATAAAACTAATGATTTCATTCATCAGTCACAGAGACAAATTGGTTTGTGGGCTTCACATTGAGGGATAAAGGGACTTATCAAAATAGATCCCACTAACTTCCCTATTTAAGAACATAACATGATTTAGGTGATTAAAACTCATTTGAACAATCATGCAAAGTTGAGTGAAAACAATTAACTAATTAACCACTTACACCCTGCTCACAGTGAAAAGCAATTTCGAATAAACAGCCATATGAATCCAGATTCATTAACATGGATGATTGGCTGATAAGAATCCAGGGCACAGATGAAACCTTGCTAAACTTGGCATTTGGTAATTCAAACAATTAAATGAAAGAACAAAATTATGTCCAATCATTCCCAAACAACCACTTTTGCCATAATTTTCTTCTTTCATTCAATTGTTTCAATGACCAAATGGCTAGTTTGCCACGGTTTCATATGTGCCCTAGATTCTTGTAAAACATGAAGTTTAAAGAAACATGAAGCTTTAAAGTAACAGAAGCATAAATGAAGTAAAATGGCAATTGGGTTAACAAATCTTGGAATTAAAGTAAATCACAAAATGAAAAGCACCTCCAATAAATTGACATTTATATTTTTGGCTGGCAAAAAAATATGTATCTTTGATGGAATATGCAAATAAAAATGCAAATTGACAAAAACATTGAAATTGAAATGCACAGAGGCAAAGCAAATTAGAAAACCTTAAACCAAATGACAGCCTAGAAATGGAAGCAAATGTGAACTGTTTTTAATCATTTAGGTTCAAATGATTGGCTGGAGAAAGGGCCATTCTTTGAATTTACTTGATAAAAAACAGAACATAATTTAGGTGTTCAAATAGCCGAAATTGAGAAAAACAAATTACAAAAAAAATTGAGAAAAACAATTAAATTGAAATGCACAGAACAAAACAAATTGAGAAAAACTCTTAAATTTCTTTATGCACAGAAGCAAAGCCAAGCAGAAAAGCTTAAAACCAAATCACAGCCTGGAAATGTCAGGGCTTCAAAGCATAGACAGTCTTAATCAAATCTAATCAAACAAAATTAAAGCTAATTAAAAGATGACTACATTCAAACATTTCCCGAACGAAAGGGCAGGGGAAGGCAGATTATAGCACCGCGAACGAACATACGAAGCGAGAGGCAACAAAGGTTAATCTCACATGTTAAAAAATTCTAAAATCGCACTGTCTGAAACGGAAAGCATGGGGATACAACGTATCGAAGTTTAGGACATACCAAAGCCTTGATCAAAAGGTAAGTCTCAAAACATCAATTTTCACATCGTCCCCTACAGTTGACCAAAGATAAACACACAAATTTCCAAACAAAGCAAAGAAATCAAAATTTTGTAATCAAAACTAACTAACGAATCATATCGAGACATCTTTGCTTGGTGTGCGGCAATGCTCTAACCCACTATGGGTTTTAAATTATTCTATCCAGTTACAGTGATGGGGTTTCACGGCCAGTTGACAACAAACAGAAAAACCAAATTTAATAAAAAGGTTCATCCAAGAATAGAAAATGTGAAAAAAATAAGGGGAAAAAAGGAGAACCCCAAACTATATACCTGAAACAGAGCCACAGTGAAAAGAACAGCACAGAAGCAACCAAAAATGTGCAACCATCTTTCTAATAAAACAAACTCCAATTGTTTAACCATCTTCAATGAAAGGCCAACTTTAATTTTTCATTTCCCCAATTAAACCGCTAAACTCACAGAACCTGGGTTTTAAACCAACCTAAGCACATATTGAAACCATTATGCAAAAACAGCAAGCAATGCAAACCATTAAGTGTATATGCAATTTATATATGCAATACCTACTTGCACATTATTATGAATGTCCATTGCGTGGTTTAGTTCAAATCCTCTAGCCTCATACACAAACCATAAGAGCCATTCGGAAACCAAACCCCCCCCCCTTTTGCAATTTAGCTCACAAACCCAATTGAATCAAAACAAATTCAATCAGGAAACAGAAAGTTAAGAACAGCCTTAATTAACTGAGTATACCAAAGAATCAAATTAAACACAAATTCTTAAAGTTTGGCATCCCAATAATCAAATAAGGAAAAACGTGTGTACTGTGTGTGTGAGTGCATGTGTTGCATAAGTGTGTAAGTGTATATTGTATTGCTGAGGAAAAACAACAAAATCTTCCAAGTGATAAAAAATGGCATAAGCGTGTGAGTATATATTGTATGTGTTGTGTGTGTATAAGTACATGACAGTGTTTGTGTGACATTGCATGTGAGTGTACTGTGTATGTATATAAAATGTGTAAGTGTAGGTAAGTGTGTGTACTCTGTGTGGATAAGTGTATGTGATGTGTGTGAGTGTATATTGTATGCGTATGCAGTCTGTGTGTGTATAAAAAGTTACAGTAGGGTAAGGCATATACCAAAATCCCGACATCGTCCTCTCGCTCTCTCTCTCTCTCTCAAACAGTTCCACTCGGTTTCCAACTCAATGAAATGCAAAGGAAAGCTGAATCTACATGCAGTAGCTAAAGGTTCATCCATATTCATTTTTTACACCTTCATTCACACAACATGAGTTTCAAACCAACCTAAGCACAGATTCAAACCATTATGCAAAAACAGCAACCAATGCAAACCATTAAGCACATATTCAAACCTGAGTTTCAAACCAAATTATATAGTGCTACCTAACAATAAACATAAAATTACATATTCAAATTGATTCGACAGTTTTTAAAGGTTGAAAAAATGAACCAACAGACATTTGTTTGAATATCAAACTCATTGTGGCTACCAACGCAACAACTACACATTGATGCTGCATCCAGTACATGCACACAAAGGTAGGGAAAGTCATAACTGGATCAAACATAAAAGACACATTTAAAGAAGAAGCTCAAGAAAACATTTTATTGATGAAGATTCAAGAAGGAATATGGTCAAGAACGAAACTATGAGGAATATCAAATACCTCACAGGGATACAAAACTACTTGAATGTACTCCAACGAATGTAAATCCAGCATTCTCTAAAAACTATCTCCATCCTACATCATCATCTACCCTTAAGCACAACCACTAAAATTGTAAAAGACCTGAAAACCATGATCTACACCACAAATAATACTACTAATCCATAAACCAATCAGTCATCAAGCATATTCTTTTATCTTTTCCTAATTTGATTGTATATTGTATTTATTTGCAATGCTCCAAAACAATGAAATGCACATGATTTCTCTTTTCCTCCTAATCTGCAAAAACAAATCAGTAGCCAATCCCAGTTTAAATTAACAGAAAGGGAAAGGAAAAAAAAAAAAAAGACAACTTGAATTCAAAAGATTCTACATGATGTACCACACCACCATTTAGATTCACCATTTCTCACTTTCACCATTTAACGTATTTAGAAAGGTTATAAGGGTGATTTGCCATCTAAGAGTCACTTGGGAGTTGGGAGCAAAGTTATAAGTCGCAAGCTCTTGAAATGCAGTAATGAATTTGGATAATATTGGACCTAGAAGAAAATATCACATGCACAGCAAGCTACAGCAACAATTAAAAAAAAGAGATCTTAAGCAAAAACCATGAATCCAACTCAAAAATGAAATCTTGCAAATAACATCTCAAACCATAACCCAAATCAAATGCACCAAATCTCACATCAAAAAATAAATTATACAAATTGACATATTGGTAGAAACCCAACAGAGATTTTAGCGAGAGAGAGAGGGCGAGGGGGAGAGGGCGAGAGAGAGTACCAAAGGGAGTGAGATATGGTTGTAACTGGAAAGCAAAAATAAATTATATAAATTGACTCTAACATTTCTTGACTCTTAACAAATTGATACATAATAACAGTTGTTTGGGATATAGATATGGGTGTACCTGGAAAGATTAAAATTCACCATGCATGCCGTATTTCTTGACTTTAGTTCTCCCATCGTGATATACCTGATAATCAGAATGCATTTTGGCAACATTGTTATAAATAAGATGTTGATCATGATGAATTATAACCCTACTCCGTGTTATGTACTTGGAATTGAAGAGCATTATGTAAAAGAAAAAAATAAAATAAAATAAAATAAAAAAGCACATATCTATCATGATCTCTGCATACCTGCTGCTGTCTTTATCGAAGTGTTGGAAGGTAGTGTAGAGATGTTCTCTATCCATCCAGTTCAAGTGCATTGTTGCTGCGATGAACTCATCATAGTCTATGGTTCAGTTGCCATCAGCATCAGCCTAATGAAAAGACATTCATTAGAACTAATGTACGTAAGCACCAAAGAAATACAGAGAGAGAGAAGGAACCTGCTCGTAATGGCAGAGAAGGGTTGAATGGTGTTTCCTCAGCACAAACGAAGCACTTGTTGTGTTGGGGAGAACATGAAAACACCTCCCACTTCCCTCCATTTCTTCTCTGCAACTATCTACACACACACACACACACATATATAATTAAGTACATATGATTTTCTTTTATCTTTCATTTTAAAAATTGAAAAATTAATAATTCATATTTAATTTAGTGAAATGAAGAACTACAGATAAAATAGATAGCCCAACCTTCTCAAAGCCACCCCTCCTTGTTGCCTCCACATGTAAACGCTCCCCTCTTGAATTCACAAATATAAACAGCAATTTATATGGAATCAAGGACCCATACTTTATAATTACACTAAAAGTTTTAACACCTTTAAATACTCTATACAAAAATAAATAATAAATCTCAGAAATACATATCAGTCCAAGGTCTTAAGTTCTCAGAGTGGGGAATTAGTGATTAGAACAGTTAATTATCTGCTCCTTTTTGGGTATGAACTAATTAGCACAGTAGCCATAAAAATACCAAACAAAAGCTCAATAATTTATGCAATTTGGTCAAAATTTATACAATTTCCAGCAAAACCCAAGACTCAATAATACAAAAGGAACCCAATAAATGATTGAAGCAATATTATACACAATTTACGCAAGTCCAAAGAAACCCATTTGATCAAACTTACTGAATATGGAAAAAAAAAATTACAATCGAAGTATGGATTAATAATTACCTCAAGAGCTAACGGAGCCAAAGCCAAACCAAAGCCAAACCCTAGAGATTCGAAGGGCAGAGACAATCACAGAGGCAGGAAAAGACGTTCTTCTTTCCCACTGCTGCTGCTGCCACCTTCTCTCTCTAAAAACCAATTGGAAATTGTTTAGAGAGAGACAGAGAGGGCGATGATGATGATTGGGAAAGAAGTATGAAAAACTAAAATACATGCAAGCTTGAATTCGAGTCCCAAATTGAAAACAGAAATGAGGAGTGTAAGGGTGGTTTACCGAGGTCGGGAGCGGTGAGTCTCGTAAGAGAAGCCGATGAACAGTGGCAGGAGCCACTGCACAGTGAAAGGCCTTCGCTTGTGTGTCCTGAGCAGAACGGAGTGAGTGGTAGTGGTTCTGTGGTGATGTTTTGCCGGAAAATGGAAGCGTTGGTGCGCCAGTATGTCCTTGATTATATATCAGAATTCATAAACAAAGTCAGAGGAAAATTGATGATTATTGAGCCAGTATTGAATAATGGGTATAAGATTGAAACTTTTGGATGCTCAGCCTTGTTTCCAGATGAAAATAAGCATCCCAAAAAACGAAACAAATCAACTTAACATAAAAGTTTGTGTTACCCACCTCAAATCGGCCGGAGAACTCACACTGGAATTTCTATATACCTTCCAATTTTTCCGTAACCTTTACCATCTCAGAATTTCTGAATAGAACATGGATTCTACAACATTAGATAAAACTATCTATACTACACATGTGCAGATCAATTCCAGATAAATTAAGATAAAATCAAGGTATGAAATATATCAATTTAGGGTTGGAAAATGACCTTCAAATTTCAGTGGAGAGAAAGTGAGCGAGAGTTTAAGAGGTGTACCTGTAGTGAGTGAGTGAGTGAGTGGGCGAGCGATGTTGCGACTGTGAGAGGCTGAGAAGAACACGAAGATGGGATCGAAGAAGATCAAGGATCTGCAGCAATGGCGCTGAGATCCCCACTCTTCCCTTTCCTTCTCTCTCTGTCGCTCTGCCTCTGTCTCCCTCTCTCCCTCTCCTATCTCTATCTCTATCTCCATCAGCATGGCCTCCCAATTGCGAAACCCTCAGCAAGCGATCCTTACTCCTCCCACTCTCCCTTTCGCGCTGTCTCCCTCTCCCTCCCTGTCTCTCTTCTCTCTCTGCTCGCTCGCTCTCTCTCCCGACGGCATGCTCTCACCGAGTCCCACTGCAGCTTAGAAAGAAAGGAAATGAAAGTCTCTAACCCACCCAACCCGTTCGAAACCCTACAGACTAAAATGACCATCGCACCCCTGCCTTTCCGCGATCATCAACACCAGAGAGAGTCAGTGGCAGCCTCGTAAATAAAGTGAAATTCGGGTCCAAATACTATTCATTTGTACAGTGCAATTGAAAAGCCTTCTTTAGACTAAAGTAATACATGATTCAGCCTATATTCGATGCACATATAAAAGGTTATTTTTTCAAAAGACCTATTTGTTTATTTGCCCTCCTAACTTGTATATAGCTACTTATATCTATCATGAATTTTAATTTAGCTGATTATCCCTAAACTTTTATAAATGGATTTTGAAATTTCTCATATGATCTTCCATCCATCTTGATCACGCGAACATCACATGACAAGTATAGGACGGGGAAAAGATAATTTTGTTTTGGTAAATTCGGCGCAAAGTCAGTACTTTGCAGCTGCGAGTTGGATTCCTATAGCTAATTCAAACAAAAAGTATACGGAGTCAACTAGGTGAAGAGAAGAAGAAAAATACAATCTACCATCCACATTAGGGTAATATTACTTTGTTGTGCACCATGAACTTGGCCGAGAAGAGAATGCAACCATTCCTAGGTAAAAAAAACTATACATGTGATAACAGATCTCCCGATCTATCCATCCATCAAATAAGTTCATAACGTTTTACAACGAGTATTCAAAGGTGAAAGGAATCATTAAATAATTATTCAAGAGAATTGTAACCACCGTTGATGATCAGGGTTTAGCCACTTATAATGTCAAAGTAGAAAGTTTTGGGCAAGTTAAACTTCCTACGCTCTTTTGGGCCTGACTTCAATCCCCTGAACAATAAGGCCTCTCTTCATTCTATGAAGGTCAACATCCATACATGTCATCTCCATTAACCCCCCATCTTCTTCTCCTGGACAGAAAAACTCTCCAATCTCCACCTCCAGCCAGCCGTCGGGCCTTTTCTTTGGATATTGAGTTTCATCGATTTCCATGGGTCTCCCGGTAATGTTCTGTCTCCCCAGAAACACAATGCGCTTACTACTAGTCTCTTCTTCCCCAAAAAGTCCTACCTTGACCTCCAAGGGATCGTCACGATCAAATCCTCTAGCCCCTTCACTTAACATGAACACAAGATAAGCTTTGTAGACAGTGGAGGGGGAAAGAATCCGTGTATCAATTTTGCCACGGATCTCAAGCCACCAAACAACTACAAGCGCAGCCACCTCCTCAAACCTGTTTCATTTAACATGACATATACTAATTAATTGCCTAATTACACACATACACAAATATTTCAATCTATATATATACATCGCTAAAACAAATCCAACCGCAGAATAAGCACGATATGGAAACGCTTTCTCAACATCTTAAAAGCGTAGCTGTTAGCTTAATCAAACCAACAAAACGTAAGATGAATGAAGAAGTTTACAGACCTGGAGTTGGCAAGAGAAATCCATTTCCAGTACTCAGGAGTATCACCCCAAATAATCATAAGGTCCTTCGGCGATATCATGTAACATTTTTTCCCACTCCATTTGTCCAGAGTAAAACTCTGCATATATAGATCATAGAAACAGATTGGAAAAGGTTACAAAAACTTATTCCGGCTAGTTTTTCATGCATTAGTTCCAGAAGGCACGATCTCAAAGTCTAAAGTCATATTTTCATATTAATATACGAAGGTGTATTCAATTGAGAATTTGAGACTTTAATGGATTTATAAATCCATAGATTTTTATGGAATTTAATTGATTTATAGAGATTCCATAAAAAATATTTGATTCAATTTCCTCGAAATCTCATGGGAAGAGGTTAGATTTGTGGATGCTTAAAATACACTACAAAATCTCTTCAATTCCCTCTAATTCCTCAACCTTATCAAATTCTTTAACACTACTACAAAAGGGGGCTATAGTGTCGGAGGGTGGTGTCGCTTTAATCTAATATAGTGGCGGATTAGGCAGTTGCGACACTAACTGAACATGACGTCGGATTTACTGTCGCTTATAAGCGTTATTAAATGTTTATGTCGCTTTTAAACCGACGTAAACATATATTTTAATAATTTTTAAATACTAGTGTCGCTTTTAAACCGCCGACGTAAACATTATTTTAATAATTTTTAAATACTAGTGTCGCTTTTAAGCGACATAAAGTGTGTGTATATATATATTAAATATATATATATATTTAAATTAAATTTTATATTCCCTAAAAAACTATAATAATTATATAATATATATATTAAATTAAATTTTAAAAAATTGGTGGATCATTGGATTGGCTTAAATATACATACGATTCAATTTCTTAAGTGTTATACATACAAAATAAATAAATTTAAATCTACTTAATATATATATATATATATATACACACACACCATTGAACTTGATTGGATACGAATTCTATGAAACTAATTTCGACAGTTATAAACGAAAAATCACGATTTAACGGTTATTTTAACTCCGATTTTGATGATTTTTTACAGCTACACTCCTTGACCCTATATGAATACAATGAATGGATTCGATCTTCAAATTAAAATATTTACACAAGTGGATACCACAAAATCTTATGTTATACTTAATGAAAGTATAAATAAACTCTAAGTGTTAGTCAATCTATTGTTTTGATGGGATACAAATTCTCCGAAACTAATTTCAACGATCCCAACCGTCAAACTTGTTTGCATATGCTTCGAGATCACATCAGCAAAAAATCACAAAAAACAAACATTCAGATATCAAGTAACGGGACAAAGCTTTTCGACGGTTATAAACGAAAAATCACGATTTAACGGTTATTTTAACTCCGATTTTGATGATTTTTTACAGCTACATTCCTTGACCCTATATGAATACAATGAATGAATTCGATCTTCAATTTAAAATATTTACACAAGTGGATACCACAAAATCTTATGTTATACTTAATGAAAGTATAAATAAACTCTAAGTGTTAGTCAATCTATTGTTTTGATGGGATACGAATTTCTCCGAAACTAATTTCAAACGATCCCAACCGTCAAACTTGTTTGCATATGCTTCGAGATCACAATCAGCAAAAAAATCACAAAAAACAAACATTCAGAGAATCAAGTAACGGGACAAAGCTTTTCGACGGTTATAAACGAAAAATCACGATTTAACGGTTATTTTAACTCCGATTTTGATGATTTTTTACAGCTACATTCCTTGACCCTATATGAATACAATGAATGAATTCGATCTTCAATTTAAAATATTTACATAAGTGGATACCACAAAATCTTATGTTATACTTAATGAAAGTATAAATAAACTCTAAGTGTTAGTCAATCAATTGTTTTGATGGGATACGAGTTCTCCGAAACTAATTTCAACGATCCCAACCGTCAAACTTGTTTGCATATGCTTCGAGATCACATCAGCAAAAAATCACAAAAAACAAACATTCAGAGATCAAGTAACGGGACAAAGCTTTTCGACGGTTATAAACGAAAAATCACGATTTAACGGTTATTTTAACTCCGATTTTGATGATTTTTTACAGCTACACTCATTGACCCTATATGAATATAATGAATGAATTCGATCTTCAAATTAAAATATTCACACAAGTGGATACCACAAAATCTTATGTTATACTTAATGAAAGTATATATATATTTATTAAGTAGATTTAAATTTATTTATTTTGTATGTATAACACTTAAAGAAATTGAATGGTATGTATATTTAAACTGATCCAATGGTCACCAATTTTTAAAATTTAATTTAATATATATATATATATATAATTATTATAGTTTTTAGGGGTATAAAATTGTTACATTAATATATATAATTATTATAGTATTTGTTAGGGTTATAAAATTAATATATATAAAATTATAGTATTTGAAATATTAGGCGGGAAATTTCCCGCTTGTTTGAATGGATGGAGAGACTTAGTGTCGGTTTTAACCGACGCTAGTGTCATTAAAGCGACGCTATGTGAATTTCAAAAAGTGTGTCAGAAGTTTGGCGTCGGTTAAAAGCGACGCTAGTTTCATTAAAGCGACGCAAGTTTCATTAAAGCGACGCTATGTGAATTTCAAAAAGTGTCAGAAGTTTGTGTCGGTTTAAAGCGACGCTAGTTTCATTAAAGCGACGCGAGTTTCATTAAAGCGACGCTATGTGAATTTCAAAAAATGTGTCAGACGTTTGCGTCGGTTTTAACGGACGCAAACTAAGTACCCATATTTAAACCCCTCTCTTTCCCATTTCAACCGTGCTTTCATTTCTCCCCCAATTTCAGACTTTCTTCTTCTCCTTCCCCATTTCATCTGTGCGTCCCCTTCTTCCTCCTTTTCAGTTTTTCCTCAACTCCTTCCCCGTTTGCTTTGGATCACCAGTTTGAAGATCAACATTCTGAAGAACTCCAATTCGAGGAGGAAGATCTTGAAGGTGGTTCATTTTTAAATTATTATGATTATTAATTTTAGTTTCTATTTTGTATTCTAAATAGTTTTATGCTTAAATTGAAAATTTATTTTTGTTTCTTGGTTTTTAATTGTTTTTTTTGTATTTATGCATGTTGGATTTGAAGAGCAAGGACACTGGAAATCGCAGATCCATAATTTTTTAAAGGTATAAAACCTGAGTTTAATCTATAGAGATTAGAGCCCTAATGTTGAAGTAGTAAAGTATTGGAGCATTGATATGATGGCAAGCATGGCAGCATGGAGTTGCTAGTATTATATATGGCACTATGGAGCTACAAAATCTGTGGTCTTCGACAAAGGCAAGCACAGGAAAGCATGGAGGATGAATTTTTGTAAATTATATGGAATGTTAGATGTAGAACATTTGTATATTATGGCACTATTTTTCTTTTGAATTATTTTTATTATTGTTTGTTTTGGCCTAAAATTGAAATTTATTATTTCGATTATATAATTTTTTTGAGTTATAATTATTTGAGAACGAATACAGAAACAGATTTCGACTTTTTTTTAATTATTATTATCAAAGGTGGTGTCGCTTTAAACCGTCACTAGTTTGCATATTTTATTTATTTAATTGTTCTCTAACGTCGCTTTAAACCGTCACTAGTTTGCATATTTTATTTAGTTAATTGTTAACTAGCGTCGCTTTAAACCGACATTAACATCAGCGTCGCTTTAAACCGACGCTGCGTAGTGGCGGATTAAGCGAACAAAGCGACGCTGAAGCCCTTTGGTGACGGTAGCAATGGCGTCGCTATTCCAATCCGACATTGCAGTGTTTAATGTCGGATTTTTGCCAAATTTCCGACAGAAATCGGGGTTTCTTGTCGGTTTTTGGTCCGCCGGTGATAGCCTATATTGTAGTAGTGTAAAATCAATTTCTAATTGAATACACTGAAATGTTATAAACTTTTTTAAAATCCTAATTGAATACACCCAGATTTCTAAGGATTTTAATAAACTATCTTAAAATTCTAATTGAATACGCCTTAAATTTCAGATAATTACTTAAAATCCTGATTTAATACAACCCCTAAAACTTTATCAGAAAGTAGAGAGAAACAAATAAAATCTTCAAATATATTCATGTTTCAAATTTTGGGAGCTATCCCTAATCCCACCACAAAAGTGAAAAAGAATGTATAAAATTACCATTTTGCCGTCGTCAACGAGGACAGGGTTTTCGCAGAGAGTGAGGTAAAGCTTCTTCTCGGAGGAGGAGGAGTGAGATAGGATGGAGGGGATATCAGGGGGAAGGAACTTGTCCCAAACAGCGTCGGAATCAGCCGACGACAGCAGATCCATGTGAACGTGATGATGATCGTCATCGAGTTCCATCGACACCGGCGTCCCGCAGCCCCCGCAGGTGATTCCTTCTTCTCCTCCTCCTGATGCACCGGCGTCGACTGTCTTCTTTGGCATCTCTGGGTGATCTCCGCGGCGGAGTCTCTTCATGTTTTCCGTCTTTTGCATCTCTGGGTGATCTCCGCCGCGGTGGAGTCTCTTCATGTTTTCCGGCTGTCTGTGTCGTTGACTCTCGTGTCGTGCGTGTACTTTGTTGTCCGTGTTCTGTTGTGTGTTAGAAACTTATAATATTTGTAGGAAAACAGGCCTTGGGCGTTAGCGCACGGTGTTTTACTTTTCTAATGTGGACAAACGCTACACCGTCTAGAAAACTATATCAGAAATTTTTACCGTGATATGTTGCGGGATTGAAAATTATATGAAATATTTGATAGCTTCAATTTTCATAAACAATGTTTGTGTGAAAAACAAAAAATTACGAATGGCAATGCAATTTATACGTAACCTTATTAGGAACAAACTTAGATACCAAAAGAAAAATTAAAAATCTATTTTATCAAAGTGTAAAGAGATAATTGTTTATTCAAAAAAGTTGGACCAATGATAACGGCATAAATTACAAATGCAGTATTGAGAGTATACCAGTCAAACTAAGCTTGCTACATGCTAAACAATGTTGAAAAACATCATTAGCTTTTTCAAGTGCTATATGCAATGAATGTAATTGGATACCAGACTTGTTCCTAGTTTGAGGTGTTTCCAAAGAAAACTGTTGTCTCTTGGAAAGTTGTGAATACAACTGCAAAAGATAAAAAAGACAGTTAGCCAATGATTAAAAAAAAATATGCATAAAAAGTTCAAATTTGAGTTTTGGGAGAGAGGGTGGAGAGAGAGGTGAAGTCACCTTATAACCGGAGATCAAATGTACTTTTTCCAATTATTGAGATGGTAATTCAACTTGTGAAATTCTGAAAGCAAACATTTAAATCAAGCTTAATCAAAATTTAGTACAAAATGTTAATTAGAAATGTGTTAAAATAGAAGTAAAAATTATTGAAACTTGCCTAACGTGATGGGTACAATTTTACCATCTGTTTTTGGAAAATATACCGATGTGACATACCATATGTTGATCTTGCCTTCTTGGAAGTAATATTAGTCGTTGATTACCAGGTAGCATAAGTTTGTACAATATTTTATAAATTATGAGACAAATTATTATGTCAAAGTTGTGTGCTAAAAAATCATTTATACTTCTATATTGACGCAAGTTATGATTTTAATTTGTATATACCTTGGTGGAGTCATTTTGTGTATGTGTTTCTTATATTCATCATCCATGCTATGTGAAAAGTTAATTCTAAGTTCTGCAGAAAGTCGCAAAGAAATGAAGTATAAAATTTGAGCGAAGATTCAATTATGCAAATTTACACTTTTAAACACATAATATTCAAAATAAATAAAATTTGAATAAAAAGGCACTACCATTCCAACGCCCATTGTTTGGGTGAAATGAAACTCTCAGAAATTCGTGGCAAATCCTCGATGAAATACTCCAAAAAGATGAAAAACATATAATTATAAACAGAAAAAAAGGTACTACGTCAACAAATCGATTGAGGTGGATGATCACATCATTTTCTCTTCCCTTTATCCTACTCTTTACCCACGTTCATGTCTGTACAATGCTCAAGCACAACGCAAATTAATTCAAAGGAAATATGCACAACCCAAGAGAAATTAATTAATTCAAATAATTATTCACTTCCACTCAACCCAAATTAATTCAAACGAAATCTGCACAACCCAAAGAAAGAGATCAAACGAAATATGCACAACCAAAATGAAGAGATCAAACTCTAATTCTATCAAAAAGCCATTATTCCTAATGCCACCTTTCTTTTTGGCACCCTATCCATTTTCTCAGCAATCGATACAGAAACAAATAAGTCCATAAAAAAGAAATAAACCCAAGAAGTATATGCACACAACACAAATCAACCCAATCAACAAACTTTATTTAAATAGACCAAAATGAGTAATAAGTCATTGAACCCTCACTTCACCATTCTAAGCTTTTCTATATCTCTCTACGTATATACAAGGGTAGACATTCAATCCTCACTTCTTTCTTTTTTGAGAGTTCTACATACTAATTGGAGGAAACCAAGGAATTCGAAGCTTTTCCATACCTCGGCTTATATTTTGGGGGAATTTAATGTGTTCTTGAAAATTGGGAAAAGTGAATGTGGAGGAATAGGGGAAGAGTCCATTGTCTCTCAAGCTATTCCCTTTGAATTGCTGTAAAAAAAACTCTCACATCCACCATTCCCCCTATTCCAGTTCAAAAAATTTAAATTAAAAATTTTAAGAAGAAACTCAACAGAAAATCACTAAATAGTTCATATAAATTTGGAATCTTTGTTATTTTCCTGAATAAAAAAAGGTGGAAACTTTACCTGAGGAACTGAAAGTCAAGCTGTGATGAGAGCAAGGTAGATGGTGCTGCAAATGTTATGGAGGGACAAAATCAGAACTGATAGGATGGAATAAATCAGTCGGAAAACTCAAGACATGATCAACCTGTTCGTTGCCGACCTGCATCCACACAAAAACCATTCAAAAAAATCGCCAATTAGATTCGATAGCATACCACAATGTCATGAAGCAAAATTAACTATAATCACGAAATTAGCAACCTGAAATCTGCCGGACAACTCACCAGGAAACCCAACGTTTTCTGGGTTTAAGTTTTCTTCCAATCTGAAACGGATTCATCTAAAACACAACCTCCAGGGCAAAGAATATAATCGAAGGAAAACTAATGAAAAAGGCTTGAAAACTTTGAGTTTTAATGATAAGGACAAAATAAAGGGTAAAGTGAATAGTACCAGGATTGACTTTTTAGTGTAAAATGTGGTTTTTCGTTAAAGTGAACAGTACCGGATGCTTTTCGTTAAAATTCCCTATAATCGACCTACAACAGTTTGCTTAACATTGAATAGGGATAGGAAGGTTGTAAACAATATATATGGGTTTTAAACACTATATACATATATAATAGAGATACAACATGAACATTCACGATATTTCCTTGTAAAATCTAGTAAGCAGAAGGAACTCAGGATACTTCAACAATGGATAAGGATACTTCCTCATTTTATCGGATTACTTTGAAACTTGTTAGAATATATTCATTATCTCGTTATTTTCATGATGAAGATAGTATTTTCACTAAATCTAGTGTATTTTTATCCTATATTGTCCAAAGTTTGAATTAATCCCCGAATAATACTTGACAATAAATAACATGGGAACACTGAGAAATAAGAAATAAGAATTCGACAATCATACATGATTAAATCACAAAATGAGTCAAATATTCTCAAAATCATTCTAAACGTGACATTGAAATCAAACTGACCAAAGTTTATATAGAACTGAGCATATCATCTCTTCTTGTTCTTGATCACTGTTGTTCCCAATGCGGTCCATTCCGGCTTCCCAGAATTATCGTCCGAAAAGGGTTTCACCAGAAATTGGTGAACAGAACTTTTGTCCCTTCCACTAATTTAGTACGCAGAGAAAAGATTGGAAGGGAAACAAAATCCAACAAATAAAAAAGGGGTCAGTGAAACGATACAAATATTCATAAAAATTAAATTTTCTGCAAGGGGCATCCCAGAATTTAAATTCACACTAAACCCATTTTCTAGTTCTCTTAATTGAAGCGAACCCAGAAATAAAATAACGAAAAAAATGAAAAAATATTTCTCGGGATCCAAACACCTCAAAAGCCCCGAACATAAAAATTAAAAAAAACAGAATACCTTTGCGGGTTTGGAACTCTTCGCTCATAAGTGTTAACAGTAGGGTGCTGCGTCTTTTTCAGACGGTCACTTCGTCGTCGTTTCCATCAGTAACAATTGGAGGTGAAGCTGCTGGTTTTGGGTGAAGAAGAAGAGGAAGATGAGGGTTTGAAGAAGGCACTGACCTTCGATTGCATTGCATGAATGTGTCGGATTGGATTTGAATTGATTTGAGTTCATTGCCCTTCCATCGTTCTTTGGTTCAGAGAAAACAGAATGAAGGAAAAAAGTGGAGAAACATTGTCGATAAGTGAGAACGAACATAGATAACCCAGAGAAGAAAAAACTAGGGAGAGAACTCGAGCTAGGTTCGTGTTCTCAGCGAGATGGACAAGGATTATCTGCCCTCCCATTTCCCGTGCCCTCCAGTTTTGTGTGATCACGGTTAAGCCACGTCAACATTTTATATTAGATCACGCAAAATAGGAGGGCACGAGAAGTGGGAGTGCAGACAATCCTTGTCCCAGCGAGAGAGCCAGTGGACTTCTGCCATCCCCACGATTACCAACATGTGTACATCAAGGTAGCGGCAGAGAGTCGGTGAAAGCGCTTCAGAGACAGAAATGAAATAAAACAAATCAACCGAGGGCAAATATGCCCGGACACTGGTGATGAACAGTGCTGAGGAACTCAGTTTTTATGATTTCCAAAATAAGAGAGAAAATTACCAACTGCTTAAATTTCTAGGGAAAAATTAACAGATAACTCTATTCAAAATAAGAGAAGAGGTTATTGGGTTTCCTTTTTCGCTTTCATTTCAAATTTTTTTACTTTAGTAAGTCATCAGCACTATCTAGTATCTAGTGTATATTCTCAAGTTAGAAATCTCAAATTCAACTTATCTTGTTAACAAATTTAATGAAATAACACTGACAGTGGCAGACCGACGTTAGTAAAAAGTACTTGAACTCGGTTTGATTTGTGACGCGATGCCAGATGACCTCGGTTCAATTTGTTGTGCACCATGAACTTGGCCGAGAAGAGAATGCAGACATTCTTAGGTCAAAAAACTATACGTGTGATAACACATCTCCTAATCTCCTCATCCATCAAATAAGTTTATAACGTTTTACAACTAGTATTCAAAGGTGAAAGGAATCATTAAATAATTATTCAAGATGACTGTAACCACTGTTAATGATCAAGGTTCAGCCACTTATAATGCCAAGATTAAAGAACCAAAAGGGTGCGGTTGTCGCGGTGTGACCATAGAAATTGGTGTCCGGTAAGAGATAGAGAAGCAAGACTACACTTTGGCAATCAAGTACAAGAGCTCCGAGGAAGAAGCCATCTCATTTGGTGCAATTGTTTGGGAAGAAGAGAGTGAAAATTTTACTATGAGGAGCCCTATTGTGATCTCGAGTAGCCCTACTGTGATCGTTGCGTAAGAACACATTAGCTAGCATTTCGGGTAGTTTGGTATGACTTCCTGATATGTACGACAATGCACCCATTACGTGTAAGTCCTTAAAAAAGGCTTAACTTTCTACACTCTTTTGGGCCTGACTTCAATCCCCTGAACAATAAGGCCTCTCTTCATTCTATGAAGGTCAACATCCATACATGTCATCTCCATTAACCCCCCATCTTCTTCTCCTGAACAGAAAAACTCTCCAATCTCCACCTCCAGCCAGCCGTCGGGCCTTTTCTTTGGATATTGAGTTTCATCGATTTCCATGGGTCTCCCGGTAATGTTCTGTCTCCCCAGAAACACAATGCGCTTACTACTAGTCTCTTCTTCCCCAAAAAGTCCTACCTTGACCTCCAAGGGATCGTCACGACCAAATCCTCTAGCCTTTCATTTAACATGAACACAAGATAAGCTTTGTAGACAGTGGAGGGGGAAAGAATCCGTGTATCATTTTTGCCACGAATGTCAAGCCACCAAACAACTATAAGCTCAGGCACCTCCTCAAACCTGCACGCGTCTCGAGGCGTCGTTAAGGAGACGACGTTAGCTATGCATCCTTCGGGCAACTCCTGCAGATCCATGTGAACGTGATGATGATCGTCATCGAGTACCATCGACACCGGCGTCCCGCAGCCCCCGCAGGTGATTCCTTCTCCTCCTCCTCCTACTCCTGATGCACCGGCGTCGACTGTCTTCTTTTGCATCTCTGGTTGATCTCCGTCGCTGCGGTGTCTCTTCATGTTTTCTGTCTGTCTGTCTGTCTGTCTGTGACGTTGACTCTCGGGTCGTGCGTGTTCTGTTGTGTGTAAGAAACTTGTCATATTTGTAGGGAGAGAGGCCTTACGCGTTAGGACTTGGATTCTCTGCCCTCCCATTTCGGTGCCCTCCCGTGCCCTCCTGTTTTGTGTGGTCACGGTTAAGCCACGTTAATATTTTATATTATTTTTTTATAAAAATAATAAAACAAAAAGAAATACACGGTTCAATTTTTCCTCGAGTTCCTTTTTCTAATGTTGACAAACGCTACACCTTGTAGAAAACTATTTCCAAAATTTGCATCTGTCACTTTCGACACGCTGTAAGCTTCCAAGAACTAAATTAGGATAGTTCAGAGCATATGAGATTTTACCGCAGCGGAATAAAAACAATCACATATGGACTATGATGTGTGATCAATTCACACTATCTCTAACAACTAACTATCTAACACTATTTGTATTTCAAAAAATTGGCCGCCAAATTGCTGTATTTTAGACACGAACAGATTTTTTTGGGAATTTATAATTTAAATTTGTTTTTCTCAATAAAATAATAAGCTCACTTGCAAAGAACTTTCACCACAACGTAAGATTTTTAAAATTAGTTTAGAAATGTTGATTCTTTTTTTCGTACAAGCAATATTAAAAGAGAGGATAGAGCATCACTTTCAAGAGTGGATACTCTCCGTTGACTTTTATTTTGGGGAGCATGATCCAACTTTTTATATTAGGCCTACAAGTAATTTCATTAAAGCCCAAAGATAGCAAAGATTAGCAAGCCCAATAACAAGAAAAACCCAACACGAAGAATAACAAGCTTTAGCTGGTAGATACTAATGTTGCAGGAAAAACCATCTCTTGTCCTTTTAACCATTTAAGAACGGCATTCATGCAAATAACTCGAGTATTGATACAATCAGATGCGATTCCGGCAACGGAAGTTGAGAATTCAAAAGCCGATACTGCTCGTTGTCCCTTCACTAAGCAAAAAAAATCAATTGTCGTCATCCTTTAACTCAAAAATTATAATAAACATTGATTTGAGTCCTGGTAAATACAAATGGTAATTCAAGTGTGACCGCTACAGAACAGACATTCTGGTTTCGACAACCTTCTTCTCGCAATATTTGGATCTGATACACTGACTTTATACATCTCAGAAAAAATGCAAAACCTGAAAATTAAAGACAATTAAAGACATCCGGTAAGCTAAAAGAAAAAATAGACGGTGCGTGTGTTTAGAGAGAGAGAGAGAGAGAGAGAGAGAGAGAGAGAGAGAGAACTGAAGTTTGGACGAAAAGTAATTTATGCAGCATGAACATGACACGATAAACAGAGAATATGGACCGAAAGTTACCTCAATGAAATTGTACAAGGGAAATGCATAGACCACCGAAATTGGTTCTGACATCCAAAAAAATTGATTAGCCATCTCCAAAGAAGCAACCGATTCACTACTTTACAACAACATTAACCAGCTTCCGCGCCAAATCTCTGCACCAAGAATTCATCTAGCTGACCCCAGTTTGGAATACTAGATTCGCTCATTTTATCAGACGGCAAAGAACGAATGCATCCAAGAATGTGTGTGACATCCCGGCGCAGCCTGGTGGACAAAGTGAAAAGTTGTGTTTATTAAGGAGTCCTAACAATTGTATGCGCACACGGGGGGGAGAACTGAAAAGGTAGTACCTGTCCTTGGCTTGTGGTGTGCTGATCTCTAACCGTGAAAATGCCTCTGATATTTGTGAATGGAAGACCAAAATCACTTGCCTGAAAATTACAAACCACAGTAATCATTAACTGCCCCTTTCATCAACCAACTCACACTGGGTAAGAATGTGGAGGGAAGAAGCAAGAACGTCAAGCTAACAAATGGAATTGGATGATCCTTTGAGTCTTTGACCAAGTTCCCAAGAAAATTTCAAGTTATATGAACCTTACCTGAAAATCGCTTGAACATCGACCTCATGTAAAGTTCGAGTTAGAACACGTTGCAAGTATCCAACTTCCTGAAAATCAGTTGGGCAAGGCCCCATCAGATCAATTAAGATAAAGAAACTAATACAATAACTAAGTGCTTATATAAAGCAAAAAAGGTACCTTGGTAAGGGATCGAGCAAATTGGCTGGGCTGTGGGTCAGCCTCTTCAGGTCTATTCCAGCTCTCTACAATTTGAGGCAACCCGCGTAGATGAACCAATAACCTTTCTCTCATGATCTGAACTAGTTTGGTGTGTATTTCATCTCTATGAACCTTATAATCCTGTTTAAAAACATCACAATGGTTTCTGGAATATGAGTACAATACTTGGCTAATGTAAATATGAGCTCAAAGAATCTGATTTTAGACTTCGAGATACAGATGCATTCTGAAAAACTTGACAAACATGTAAATTACATAATCACGGTCAGAGTCATGAAACACAAAAGCATGCACACGCAAAATGTTCGATAATTCATGAAAAGGTACCAAAAAACAATTATCTAGAAAGTGCATGGTACCACAATCCCGTAAAACACCATCAAAATGAAGGGAAAAAATATATAACTAAAATAAAAGTAGAATACAAATCCCTGAAAATGTTAAATCTGTTGCCCAGTGTGAAAAGACAAACCTGAGCTACTCGATCAATTTCAGATAACAACAATGCTTTTCTCGTCTCTGGCACTTTTAAAAAAAGAATTTGCCTGATTTCTTGCAGAAACAGAATGAATAAAGTCATTACTCCATTGCTCAAAGTATAACTCTAGAAATAAATACATACATACAAACATACATTCACAGCAAACCAACAATTTTTTAAAATTTTGTAGTCACCTACCAGGAATAATAGCATATGTAAAACTGATGACTTGACTTGCCAAGGCCAAGTGTTTAGAAGTGATAGACTTTAAACCGGATACCTGCATTAGCACATGTGATCTATCAAAAAGCCGCGAGAATGATCCCGAGGAGCATAGTCAGTAGATATAACAGGATATAGTAACCAAAAACATAGAAAGGGGTTTCAAACAATCACTTAAAGCATTTAGGAGCTCAAGAAAGAAAATTACATATAAAACCCGTGAAACGAGTTTTTGATACATGTACATTGAGGAACAGTAGATATTTGATTAGCTCAGTTGCATAACCCTTTTGGAGTTTCTAAGTGAAAGTTACAAAATAGTCTGCAACAATATCATCTATTATTGAGAGAAATTGTACCTGCATGGCACCGGCACCAAGAACAAGCTGACACGTTCTTGTATTGAAAAATTTTAAAATTTCTACAATACGATGAACAACTTCAGAGGACAGTGCTGGAAAAAAGTTGTTCATATCAATGTACTCTGACAACATCTTCATCAATATCAAGCCACTGGAAGAAAAACCAAGAACAAGGAGAAAACGTAACTAAGGGTGGCTTATACTGAAAAATTCTTTTACTTGTTGAAAAAATTTAATAAAGTTCCTCAATGGGGAAAAGAAGAGTACAAATCAAAACTCCAAATTGCAAATCAGGATTGGTATAAAAAATAAAGAATAAATGGGGGAAACAGAAAGATAGAAAACTAAGGCAACTGACCAGTTTACCATGTGAAAACCAACACCTTTGTAGAAAAGGGTTTGAGAGGTTGATTTTCCTCGCTCCTTCACGTTGCTGTGGTTATTTTGAGCAACAGAGTTTGCAACATCAGCCTTATTTTTCTCAGTTCCATCAGAATTTGGCATCTCCTTTGCAGTAATACCTGCGGATGTATCTGCTGCATGTGAACTATTACTGGGTGTGGCCACCTCATTGTAGCTTGTTTCCGTATTATCTTGGACAGTATCCAGGTTCTCGGTTACCAATGATTCAGAACTAAATAGTGAAGTGACAATGACCTGAAATTCATCAGGAACATCCACTTCCACCCACGTTTCTTGGTCAAGAACAGCTTTAATTTTTGCCATCTACAACAACCATAAAAACGATTAGCTCATAGCAACTTACTAGGTAAAATAAAAAGTAAAGTATAAGTAAACACGATAAAAAACTAACTCGAGATTCATGCTGAAAATCCATGAAGGCTTTGGCCTGTGACTGTAGTGTTCCCCTGATGCTAAATCCTGGCCTTCCCCCTATCTGTTTAGGTTGGCAGTGCCACAAAATGGCACCAGAGACATAACATTGTTGATCTTAAAACTAAAGGAAAGAAGAAAGGACAAGAAAAAAAAGTGGACAGATAAAAAGTATAAAATATGAATACCTTCTCCGTAGCTGTTATAAAGTTTTGTGTGATGTTATATATGCTCAAAAACTCCTGCAATCTCAACTTAGGATGAAGAAGAGCACGAACCCCGAGTAGCTTTGCCCATCTTCCATGAGCAGCATCACATGCTGCAACAACAGCTTCTGTGTTTTCTCGTAATACATCAGCTCTGTTTAGAATCACATTTCTTCAGAATATGCATACATTTGGAAACACTCTAATATGGGGACATATCAAAAGTAAACCCTAAAATTAACAAAAGAATTTCTGACATTCATTAGGGCAAAATTTATTTTACTGACAAGACAAGCACAAAACAAAATCTTAAAATTAAATGATACAAAAGGTTTTCAGCAAAGGTGAAATTTTAGACATCGAAGTAACATAATCAAGAGACAAGACCTCACCTAAAATTCTTAGAGATGTTTGAAGGACTTGCTGCATCATTTGCCTTCCCTTGAATTGAAAGGGCCTTTGTAGCAACCCTCTGAGGTGAATATGGCATAAGCAAGCCACCTTGACCATCACTCTCTTGAGCTGTTTCTGCAGCTGCGGCACCAACTGCAATTGCTGCAGCAACAGAATCGGCTGCATAGTGACCGTCAAGGTTGCACATAATCCATTCAATGGCCTTCTTCACTTCAGCAGCCCGCACTAGATGTGCCTGCATTCACTAAAATAAATCATATGACATCACACTCAAATAGTGGTTGACGCTTAAAGAAAATAGACAAGAACTTAGATGAAGCTAGCACAACAAAAAATGAATGAAATACAGCACATATGCCATCTGATAATAACTTATCGAACAATCTTAAAACAGATAATGTATGTATGATGAGTTGATGTGACAGTACCCGTTCTTTTATAAGAACCGTTACACTTAAAACCGGTTGTTTACCCTAATGCTACCAAATGAATTCTACCGATAGACTGAAATATTAATGAAAGAGTAGGAGTGACCAAAATGTAGACAGGGAGAAAACCTGTCTATCATTTCTTTACTCGCATTAGGGTTAAAGAAAATATCTGTAATTGGTTCAACCGGCTCTCAAGTGGTTGAAAAATTACAAGTGATATTATGTGCTTCAAATTAGTGAATTAGTCAAGGGTTTGCAACTTGCAAGATATATAAAGGACAAAAGGACAATCATAGTGCCTTAAAAAGTTCTCTTTACAGCGTAGTAAAACGTATAATTAGTTTATGTAGTTGCAACAGGGAACAAAAATTGTAGTAGAAAAAAATAAAAGTTGGTGATAAATTGAACTGGATGCTTAAATATTTAAGCTCAGTAATGAGTGGGAAATTGACTATTTTGCATCATAGACAACCCCAAGCCAAATCTATCTTCAAGCTAAGCCTAAGCTGTTCATCGAGGAGAAGAACTTGTATGTTGTATCCATCCCCCAATCATTGATAATCATTAGAAATATCAAATTTAACTTCTAGATGCACACTAAATTACAATAAAACGAACAGTGAGTATACAGGGAATTCAACAAACTAATAATAAAGCATTTTTTTGTCAACCATACAATGCCTAGAAAACAATACAAGAATAGTCTAGAACACATACCCTTACAATCAGAAAAATAGCACTTAAAAGTTGAACAAAGCTTTCAGATGACAGGCTCCTCAACTTGCTCGCAAGTGATGCGCCAAAACCTAAAAAACATGTTTAAAAGATCAAAAGACAAATTCATCTGTAAAAAATGGAACAAAAAGAAAAGAACAAGACAGAATGTAAACATAAAAATTGAGAATTATAACATCTACTTTTTCTCCTAAATTAGGTGTAATTCTCAGTCATAGGCATAGATGATAGACAAGATTACAAATTTCTCACCATCTGCATCAACTATTCGCTCCCCCGGTGTAAAATCTGACTCCAGTGGTCGCGAAACAAGAATGGGAAGCAGCTCTGCAACAGCATTTTTTATAGCAGACTTCATGTCAGCTGTAAGTTGGTCACGATATAACCTCAACACAGAAGGGAGCTTGGCCTGAAAGTAAAAGAATACCATCTTTACTTAAAAGATCACTACAGGTACTCACTGATCATGGAAATAACTAAACTTCATCCCAAAGGAAGAAATAAAAATATGTTGAAAACTATCAGGTTTGACAAACCGATAATTACTCACTGTTCTAAGCAACCCAATAATGACAGGAAGAAGACGATCTTGAAAATTGGAGGTTTCTTCATCATCCAACTTAATCTGCTGATACAAAAATAACGGTGATCAATTCACATATCGAATCATGCACAGATGCCTGAAAATCACGATAAAGGATATCAACTTAAAAAAGCACTCATAGCATATAAGAAATGCAAACAAGAAACCATGAAATTTGGACAAGGCACTCGGTGTATAAAAAGTTAATTCAACAAAAGATCCTACAAAGCCTTTATAGCTTAAGTAAATGGTCAAAATTAAATTAAACACTTTCTGGCAGGGTTCAACAAAACTTGCAACATGGCTTATGGCAGGGCACTGGTTGTTGAGCCATCTTCAGTTACTGTTGTCGTAAAAACAAATTTCAAAGCATACTATATAAAAAGATATGGTTCCAAATAAAATCTGGAAATAAATCTTTACTCCTTACAATATTATATTTATCTGTGAGAATTTAAGCGAATTCAGAAGAAAAAGAAATGCAAAGGCTACAAAACTTAATTATCTGCTTTTCCGATCAGTGGAGAGCAGCTCCTTGCAGGAGAGAATAGACTTGTAATGAAGTAAGGAAATATTGTGGCATTTAAGAAAAAGACTTGAGCTTACTTCACCATCTTCTCCATTCATCAGACTAGATGCCCTTGCTTTCGCTCTGGATATAATTATAACATCTGTATCTCCAGCATCGTGTATTGAAGCACGCATAAACTCTGCAGAAAGAATGCTACAAGAATAAATTTAATAAGTTACTATAAAAATGCCTCATATCATATTATTCCATTTGAAAGACTGAAAAACGTTTATTCCAATATTTTGGTCAATAGAAGCCAAACTGGATGAAGAAAAGCATCTCTATTTCAGACTCTCAGAAGAAAAAAATTAAAAGCTGCCAACCCCAGTCCCAAAATATTGAGCCGCATATATTTAAAACGAGAAGGACAAAAATAATTATGGAATCAGAATTCAAAACATCAAAAGCAACTCAAATGGTGTCACTTATTTCACTAAAAATAGTGTCACTGCAACAGGAAAACATACCTGTTTATGGATTCAATTGAAGCCGCTACACGATCCCTAAGGTGATGGAAGCAATGTAGACCAGTAAGCTCGTCTCCATCCTATTAAACACATTGACATCAATAATGTACAAAAAAAGTTTAGTCCAGTAAACTATTCCTTGTTTTAGTATTAGTTTGTGGGGGCAGATCAAACATATCATAAATAAAAAAATACCAGCAAATGCTGTAAATCATCTGTGACGTCCAAGGCTCCAGCACAATCTGCAGAGGCAACAAGCTGTATGACAGAAAATGTAAATCAACTTATATCAAGAAACTTGCTACTTATAAAAATGACGAGGTATACACTTTTACGCAACTCCTCAAATGAAAATCATGAGCATTTCTTATAGAAAGGGACGATAAACAAGCCACTAATCATCTGAACAAGTTGGGGATAAAATTGCAACAAAAGACTTGTGTGGATTATAATTTAAACTAGTTGGGCAACAAATTCAAAACGTATCATTGAATCTGAATCAAACTGCTAAAAACGCCACCGAGTGCATATCAGTGCTTTAAATTGGCCCTTACTAGTATTTGCAAGAAATGTAAATGGTCATCAAGTTTTTTACTACGAACCAATTTTCAAATGAAGTGAATCTACTACGAAAACAAAGATAAAATCCAACATCGCAAATTGGCGATTCTTGATGAAGAGAATTATAGACCAAATAGCTACTAATTATCAAAACATGCACAATTCAGTACACTACAAAACCGAAATGATTAAAACCGAAAGAAAGATATCGAAGCGCAATGCAATACCAGTTTAAGTGCCGAAAGAGCTTGATTAACATATAAAATGAGCCTCAATTTCTGCTGCAGAGCCAACAAATTGCTCCTGGTTTCATTCAAATCATGAATCTGCGTTGCGCACTCGACCAAATCGACATCCAAGAGCAGAATCGTCTCCTTGAGCTCTCGAATCCGACTGCACCCCTCGACGATCTTGACATTCAAGTCCTCCAGCTGCCCCTGCGCCTCAAAGAAGGAGTTGGAACGCAGCGAGATCTCCTTCACCAAGTGAAGCTCCACCACGTCCAAGTAATGCGACAGCTTCTCCTGCAGCCCCAGGTTCTCTGAGACGTTCGTGAACGGGCAAGCCGACCGGAACGTGGCGCCATCCTCAAGGGCGAAGTCCTCCTTGAAATAGAGCGCCGGAACCTCCCGGAGGCACGCGACGAGGGCTTCGCCTTGGCCACCGATGGAATCGACGTCGGATTTCTCCTTCTTCACGTGGTTGATGATGTCCTCGAAGCGGTTGTAGTGATCGGAGACGGAGGCGAGGTAGGGCTGGAAATCGGATCGGGTCACGGCGTCGGACGCAGATTTCGGCACGAGAGGTGCGAATTCGGGCGGGGCAACGGAGGCGGAGGAGGACCACCAGCCGACCCAGGAGGAGGCGTCGGAGGCATTGGGGTTGTTGAGGATGGAGGCGAGGCTCTGGCTGGTGTTGGGGTCGGATATGGAATTGGATCGGCTGTTCAGCTTTCCGGGTCGGGCGTCCATGATTACCATCTCTTTGTTGGAGGCATTGCTGCTGCTCTTGTAATTGTGGTTCTGGTTCATGAGCGAGTCGGGTGAGTCGACTCGGGGCGAGTGGGATAAACCCTACGACGGAGGAGGGGAATGCGTGTGCTGGTGGTGGATCTGGGATTTGGTGTTGTTGCAGGTGATCATATCTCTCTCTCGTGTGGGATCTGGGAAGGAGGAAGGTGAGTGGAGGAGAAAATGGTAATTTAATTCATAAAATCGCAGAAGAGACGGGACGAGGTGGTGTTCGTGATGATGGTTCGAAAATTATGAAAGGGCAAAACCGGGCCGACCCGGCTTGGCAGGAATTGGTGTGAATGAAAAGCTGGTTTTGCAATTTGAAGCCCAATAAGTTTTTATCCAATTACTATGGGTTGTGGGCCTAAGCCCAATTTATTTTTCCTTTCTTTTGTTTTTTTTTATTTTTATTCGAGCATCCTAATTTAAGAAGATTTGAACTTGAATGCTAGCTTGTATTCTTGTAGGTCTTTCTCTACCCTTTTAGATTCCAACAATTCCCGCTAGCTTGTATTCTTGTACTTAAACTCACAAATCTCATTATTCTTGGAGTCCAGTCTCAACCACGAAAAATGTTTTAAGTGCAATTTGACAACCTTCCTTGCACTAGGACTCTACGTATAGTGGTGGCATCACAAATAAATCATGTATTGATGTGACAAATTTAAAACGCATGATAGTATGTGATTGACTTAATACATTACCACTTAATTCTAAATAGGGACGTCCTCTTTAATGTGAAATGATTACCACTTAATTCTAAGTAGGGACGTCCTCTTTAATGTGAAATGATCAGTACTATTATAAGTACCGATCAATAGCATTGTTGAGAGATATAAACATCTCTTTGTCTCTCTTACGAATGTGATTAAACGTGAACGGTAGAATTATCACAGGTCATACGGCATACTTCCAACAACACTGATATTGTTTCCAACTTGATAATTACCACATGCACAATCCATCAGGTATACGGCCAATTTCCAACAATACCGATATTGTCTCCAACTTAATAATTATCACATGCACAATCCATCAGTTGTGAGGTTTTTATCACAAAATGCATCGGTGCTAGTTGGAATGGATTTATGATATTTAAACTTTTATTTTCTCGTTGATACGGTCGATATGAGATATTTCAACAGGAACATCCCTTAATTTTTGGAGCAATATCCTCATTGAAAGTGGGGTGTTGAATTCCCCCCGTTATCGCTACAAGTCGTTGGGTTGAACATTGAGTTACAGAACTCATGGGTGAGTTTCCACGAAACCTAGTTTTGGATCTCTCGATCATGATTTGCTGACATGTTTTACTCGTTTGAGATTATTTGATGAATTTGGAAAAGTATGAATGAGTCGACTTTTGAGCCAACTGTAACTGCAGAGGGCTTTCGTTTTCTGACATTATATATTTCAAGTAGATGCAAAACAAGACATCAACTTTTGATGCCTGATGGGGTTTCTTGCACAGTTTTTCTCGCGTTTCTTTTCTCCTCGGAGTAATAACGGTGATCAAAACAAGACCAGATCCAACCGCACAGCACAAAGCCAAAACCGGGCCTTTGCGGAAGACTTCTGCCGTCGCTTTTCACTCAGCGAGATGAGAGCAGCAACACAATGTTTCAGTAACAGCTTACGTATTGCTTCAGATGACTACGGCTCGGTGTACAAGGGTACTATCGGCAGCGACAAAGTGGTTGCAATCAAACGCTTTGTGGGAGATTCAAAGAGCAGTTCAGGACGGAGGTGCAGCTACTCTGCCAGCTGCGCCACCCAAACATTATCTCTATCATCGGATTCTGCGAAGAAAAAGAAGAGTGCCTCATCGTTTACAACTACATGTCCAATGGTGCCCTCTCTAAGTACCTTGATGATCCCCTCGATAGGGATCCAGTCCTACAGCTGTCGTGGAAGCAAAGGTTGAATATCTGCATCGGGGTGGCGAGTGCATTACAACACCTCCACACCGGGGTTAAGCATTCTATTGTCCATCGATTTGTGAATAGTTCCAATATTCTATTGGATGAACAGTTCGTGCCAAAGCTTTCCGACTTTGGGAGGTGCATGACAGGCCCTCGTACTCTGTCGAATGGATTAATTAGATGGGACTCCGTGATGGTAAATGGTACATACGGTTATATTGCTCCAGAGGCTTTCTATGGTCAACTCACGGAAAAATCTGATGTCTTCTCATTTGGATTGGTGTTATTGGAAGCCTTGTGTGGAAAATCTCTGCCAGTAGATATTTATAATTCACTGAAAACGGGTGAAACTTCTCTTGATATGATTGATCCATTTCTGACGAGACAAATAGCTCCGGACTGTTTGAAGAAATTTGTGGAAATCATCCAGAGATGTGTTCGCCCTAGCGGAGCTGAACGGCACTCAATGGGGGAAGTGGAGGTGGAACTAGAGAGCGCACTGCAGCTGCAGGAAAGTGCAGACGCCGTCAAACACCCCTTCTCTATCAATTCCTGAAATCAATGATGCTTTCTCCTCTTTGGATATGCGTCCACGGACTCCACGCCATCCAGTAGTTAGCTCCACTGGGTCTGCTGACTTTGATTCAAACAGTTATGATCTTCCAATACTTTCTGATGACAATAGCTTCGAATTCGAATACTCTAGCTGGTAAACAATAATTTAGAGACGAAATATATGTATTTGTTGATTCAAATGGAACTCGTGTTTCATCAGTTTACTATGGTGGACCTGGTGGTACTGCTTGTCGGAATTTTGACAAGGAAGAGACGAAGAAAATATCGAAGATCAAACCTTCTGTTTGTATTTTCACACTGGAGAGAGAGACATTGCTCTGTTTGTATTTCAAAAACTGAAAACAAAAAATTGAAGATCAAACAAGCCATTAGTTCTAACAAAAAGGAAAAATAATTAAAAGCTGGGCTACGGGAGGAATGGTCCAATCTGGCAACTTCCTAGCACTGGGACCCTATGAACGTGGTGGTATCACAAGTAAATCATGCATCGATCATTGATGTGAGTAAATTAAAACACATGATAGTCCGTGATTGACTTAAAACACCGCCACTGATTCTATGTTTCTGTGAATGTGGGATATTATCCTATTGTATGGTTTCCACACAACCCTTCAATTATATAAAGCAGCAGGGACTTTCTCTTTGATGTGAACGCAGCTCGCATTTTTTGGATGGATCGGAAAAAATCATATTGTTGACAGTTGAGTTGAGTTGAATTGAGTTTCTCTTAAGTTAAAGTCTTGATCTTCTGGAAGGCTTTGAGTCTTGACACTGCTATTTGCAGCAGGTCTTCGAAGAAGAAACCAGCATGCTGCAGCTGGTTAATGATTTTGGATTCTCTCTCTCTCTCTCTCTCTCTCTCTCTCTCTCTCTCAAATATCTATGTATTATAGGATGAGGAGGATCACTTTGTGTGTCCACGTTTCGATGTGTGATTGGGTGTACTGTGCAGTCTGTCTCACATTTCTTCTCTCTTCGGAAGAAGAAACAAAAAGATTGGGCGTTTCCAGAAGAATTATGCCATGGTTTTACACATGCTGAGATCAGTGCAGCAACTCAATGTTTCAACGAGAGCTTATGTATTGGTATGGGTAGCATTGGCTCAATATACAAAGGGTATATTAAGGTCTATGAGGGTGATGACAGGAAAGACGTCGTTGCAATCAAGGGCATTTCCAGAGTTTCAAAACAGGGAATGCGTGAGCTCAGGGCGGAGGTACAGCTGAGCTACTGTGACAGCTGCACCATCCCAACCTCACCTCTCATCGGATTCTGCCCATAAAATGTAGTGTATCATTGTCTACGACTACATGCCCAACGGTTCCCTCTGTGATTACTCTTTGATCCTTCCAATATTAAAAATAAAGATCCCTTTCCCTTCCTTGACTTGGAAGCAAAGGCTGAAAATTTGTATTGGAATGGCGCGTTCAATACACTACCTCCACGCATGGGGTTGAGCATGCTGTCATCCATCGAGACATAAAATGCTCCTACATTATATTAGACCAAAACTTGGTGCTCAAGCTTTCTTTGGGGATTGCCAAGTTGGGTCCTCCTACCTTGTCAAATGCATTAATCAAATTGAACTCGGGGGTATCCGGTACAATAGGCTATCTTGATCTAGAGTATGCATTGTCCGGACAACTTACTGAAAAATCTGATCTCTTCTCATTCGCAATGGTGTTATTTGAAGCGTTGTGTGCCAAATCTTCTTCAACAGAGATACCTGAATGCGTGGACAAGGGTGAGACTTTCGCTGCTATGATTGATCCATTTCTGGTGGGAAAAGTAGCTCCACATTGTTTGAGAAAATTTATGAACATCGCTAATAGATGTGCACGCTGACAGGAGCTGGACAGCCCATGATGGGTGAAATGGAGGTGGAACTTGAGTGTGCACTGGAGCTGCAGGGGAGTGCAGATGCCATCAAGCAGCTCAAGGAGTCGGGGACAACTACAACCACTTCTCTTGCCCCTCCTCCTCCTCCTGCCCATGACATGGAAGACTATACCTACTAAGATACATCATTTACTGAGATCAATGAAAATTTCTCAAATATATATTTGCGGGAGTGGCTGTGAGATTCATTTGGTACTGATTTGTTAGTGCATAGGAGTAGCTATTACTTCTCACTACAAGAACATTACAAGAGGTACAATGAAATAACCAATGAAGAAATAAACTCTTTTCTTTTACATTCTTCAACAATTCTTACCGAATTAACTTCAGTTGCGTACTACAATGGACGGTACATGTTGCACTTTGTAAAAATCCTCTCCTTCACTTCCAATGTTGATCTTGAATAAGCAACCGTATATCTCCAATTCCTGAAGTGTTTTCACAAACCTCAGAGAATCCGGAATCGTCTTCAGTTTGGTGCAATTTGATATTTCCAAACGACAAAGACTAGGCATGGCTCCTACTTCCATCGTCCAATCCTCTAACTTAGAAAACCCTCGGAGGAGTAGAGACTTGAGCTTTGGGAAACCTTGGTTAGAGCAGACCATTTTCTTCCCCATGAACATTTGCCATCCGCTTAAAATTCTCAAGTTCGGCAGTTTTTCCAGTGTCGGCATTGGATCTTCCTCAAGTTTTGAGCCCCACAATGTTAACTTGGCAAGGTTTGGAGGGAACTGATGGTATTCTGGCAGCTTCTCTATCCGCCCTTCCACATGCAATTTTTTAAGACGACGACAGCTTAACATTACTTGTGTAACATCAACAACCTCATCAGGGAATGAAAGTGTCTCACTTGTCAAGGACAAAGACTCAAGGTAGCTTAACGTTCTGTTTTGGGGATTGACAATTTTCAACAAATTATTGAAATGTTTTGGATCATTCAACACCAATTTTCTAAGATTGGTCAACTTGCGAAGATCTTCTACGTCGCATTTGTTTGCAGGAAAGTTTACGAGTGTCTGCAAGTTGATCAGATTTCCCAGTTGCAGCTTATCAACTGCATTGCCACACCACTTGGGAAGATATAAATGCCTTAGCCCTTCCATCTTCCAAATCACATTCGGAATTTGCACTGTTGGGTCCCAACTCAATTTGCTTATGGTTTGCAAATTTAGAGTTTTCAAGTGGATCAAATTGCCGATGGATGATGGCAATGCTTGTATATGTGTTTTCTTCAAACTTAGAAACTGCAACTGAACCAATCCCCCGATATCTTTAGGTAACTTTTCGTATGGTCCCTTGACACCTTCAAGATCGAGAACTTTGAGCATTTTGAACTCCAAAATTGTTTTTGTAAGCTGCCAACTTACCAATCTACACTTGCTTGCATGGAAATATATAAGTGACCTGAGACTGAGGTTGGAATCTTCTTTGTACTTAGATGGGATAAGATTATTGACATCTGAAGGTAAGAAGACAGCAAGTCTGCGAGTTTTACCAGTTGATTTTGCTTCAGAAAGCATGCGAGAAGAAGAAGAAGAATCCACCATCATACCTTCATCCAAACAGCGAACAGTCTGGAGAAAATTTTCCTGCTTTGCTTTCGACAAGCACAAGTCACGCATAAGATCATGGAGGCGGCAAGTTTTAATTCTTCCAGTTGAGCTGAGAGCTCCCACTTGAACCATGCACCTATTAATCAAGTAACCCAAGTAGCGTTCCGCAACATCCTCTATTGTTTCATCTCCCTCTGCTTCATGGTGTGGCGATACAATGCCTTCTGCAATCCATAATTGAACCAGTTTTCTCCTCGGAATTTCAAAATCTTCCGGAAAATGGCTCAAATAAAGGAAACAGGGTTTCAATATAAAAGGCAAATCATGATAACTCAAAGCCAAAACCTCAGGTACCGTAGAGTGTTGCTCATGCCCTTTGGCTCGCTTTAGATACGAAAGAATATCTCTGAGGACGATATCCCACTCGTGCACTGTTTCTTTAGTGGCCAAAAGTCCTCCAAGCACAACAATGGCCAAAGGCAAGCCAGCACACTTTTTCACCATTTCCCTCCCTAACTGCTCCTTATCTTTGCTTCTGATAAAATCTGCAATATTAAAGAAGAAAACAATTTAGCAAAACTCTCTCAGTTGGGAATAGCAATCCTATAAGAAAATGTGATGAAACTGAGTATGCACATAAAGGATCAACAACTAAACAATATATGTAGGTTCCCAAAATTTCTGAGACACCATTATTTTTTTGTTTTAAAATTCTTCGCATTTAGGAAATCAAGAATTTGAATTAGGATCCGTGAAACTGAAGAAATGATTGCAAATCTGAAGTAGTGATGGCATTTTATTCATTTATGGATCCTTGGTAGGGTAGATTTTAATGACAAACTTCAAATTATATACCTTGCAAGAAGAGAAGTTATTAATTTCTGTGTTAGATCGTATTAAGTTTCTAACTAGTTAGCGCTTAGTACTATTTATGTAATTAGGAAATGCATATTGATACAAAATCCGGATGCATACTTAAGAAATTGGAATGGTAAACTACCTGGATCACCATTTCTTGGAAATGCCTTCTTCTGAAGCAACTCCCAACCCTCTTCTTCAGTTAAGTTCCTCGGCTCATGAAGGCCGCTTCGGTCTACAAAGGAAGCTAAGTCCTTATTACGAGTTGTAAGCAATATTCTGCTGCGCCCTTTTCCCGACGATGGAAAGGCAGGACTTAGAATTTTCCAGGCCTCAATCGACCAAATGTCATCAAGAACCACCAAATATTTCTTCTCTATTTGAACTTGATAAAGCTTCTTTGCAAGCTCTTCGTCTCTCAATTTCAAAATGTGATCCCTCTCCTCTTTCGATGGAGAGGTTAGCTTAATCAGAATGCCTTCCCAAACATCTCTTGGTTTGCATTGTTGAGATATATAAGCCCACGCAGAAGCGTCAAAATAACGCCTAACATGATCATTGCGGTAAATTTCCTTGGCAAGAGTGGTCTTCCCCAAACCTCCCATCCCACAAATGGACACAACTCGACCGTGTTTTTCTTCATTCATGAGCTCCGCCACTAGTTCGTTTATGCTTCCTTGTAAACCAACGATATGGTCATCAATAACATGGGAATAAGACCACCTCAATTGTCTTTGCTTCTCAAACGCAATACTCGACGAGCCTTGATGATCTCTTACTACAGTCAAGCCGTAAGTTTGTGTACTTCTAGTAAGGTCAGAAATTCTAGCTTTGATGGCCTCAATCTCAGACCCAACATCATAAAGGTTTGAAGCTCGGTTGAAAAAACAAGCATACCTTTTTAACGGATTGGAAATTGGTGGTGAAATTTTGATGGTGAAACTTCCAATGACATCTTCTGCATCATAAGCAACTTCTCTAATCTCGGAAACCCAATTCCGAATGCTATCATCCTCGTCTTGCCTCTTATCGGCATCTTTCAAGAAGCATTGCATCCGACTCAGTTCGACTCGGATCTGCTCGACGTTTTGCTTGACCCCGTGTAAGAAGGTGGCTTTTTCAATCAGCAGGTCCCCAAGCCTTTCAATAACAAAGTATACCACAGACTCTGCCATGCTTTGTGCTTGCTAGCTACTTCCTGATCCTCAAAATTACAGCAAAACAAAGGTTGATTTTACACACACAAGAAAAGAAGAAGAAAAAAAACTCTTCCCTTCTTTCTTTCTTTGTTTCTTTCTTTGCGATTTGTATAACCAACTGGCAATTATTTTGATATTTTCCACCTTCCAAGTATCATTCAGTGGAGAAGGAAGAAAAAAAAAAATTGGAAACGAGACCGAGTCCCTTTCAGTAGGTAATTGTTGGGAAGATTCATAGCTAAATTATATATCTCGAGTTATATCCTCTTGTTGGGAAGGTGGCGAATGGTCCAATCTGGCGTGCGTCACTGCAAATATTTTGACGTGAATGTGGGGCTATTATATTATCATATAATATCCTTACAACCCTTCAATTATTTTCCAATTTAGAGTACATTAATATTTGAGGGCAACGCGTGAAGAAAGAAGAAAAAAATAATTGGAAACAAGACCAAGTTTGCTTCAGTAGGTAATTATTGGTAAGCTTCTTAGATATATATCCCGAGTTTATATTTGTTTGTGTATATCTCTGTGTCATTACAAGGGGATATACAGCAGGAAGTTTCTCTCCACTTGTTGGGAGGGTGGTGAATGGTCCAATCTGGCGTGCGTGACTGGAAATATTTTGATGTGAATGTGGGGCTAGGGCTATTCTATCATCATATAGTATCCACAAAGCCCTTCAATTATTTTCCACTTTGAAGTAAATTAATATTTGAGAGCAACGCGTGCGGTCCTTGTCATATATGTGTGTATGGATACACATACATACAGTCTCCTTCCCTCAAAGATGATCTCTTCTAAAAAATCACCAAAATTGAAAATTATATGATCGTTTGATTCAATGGTAGTCATTAGCAAGATATAAAATATCGATGATATCGAAAATATCGGTAGTTCAAAAACATGGAAATATCGAGATATTATCGATATCGATAAAAATTGAATAAAAATCACGGAAATTGTAAGAAAAACTTGGAAATTTTTATTGAAACTTTGGAGAATGTTTATTTAGTCAATTATCTATTAGTTTATCAAAAAAATTAGAAGGAAATGTATTACATGATGAATTTAACTGATTTAAGTTGATTATACAGCGAGCTGGCAAACACTGTGAGTGTAGAAAATATGTAATAATTAATGAAAAAAAGATTAAACACACCATAATCATTTATATATAATGATTTACCACAATATTTTACACTTTATACATTGCATATGCAAAAGAAATTGTCAAAGATTCATTGTCATGTGCAAATTTGTTTCTTGCAAAAAGAATTCAAAACAAAACCATATATATAAATATTTTAGCATATGTTCACAAAAACATAAGTAATATGGTGGTTAAGGTGTTGAAGGAGTAAAGTGGGTGGGGTTCGAATCCCCTTGGTGTTATTTTTGGCATATTTTCTTTATCATAAGCAAATTTGGGTTTTATCTCGCGATATTATCGATAATATCGAGATTTATTTGTCATATGCAAATTTGGGTTTTATCTAATATCGCGATATATTTTCTAAATAATGTATTAAAATTGCAGAAAATATCGTATCTCGATAATATCGATATTTTAACGATATATTAATGGATAGTGTATAAAATATCGCGATATGAAAAAAACGATAATATCGGCGAAATATCGCCGATATTATCGATCTTTTCTTCCTTGGTCATTAGAACTGTATTCATTCATTTTCTTCCTTTTGAATGTGGTGTTCATTACGTAACATTTTTCAACTATCCAAACCGTCTATATTTTAGTACACATTATTTATAGATCACCTTTGTAAAAATTTAGATAAATTCAAAAATATTAAGGCATTCAATTGTAGTGAAGAAATTTACGAATACGGTTTTTCAAAGAAATACTATTACGATTACCATTTAATCCAACAGTTAAATGATTTTGAATCTGGGTGATTTTTGTAGAGATAATCTTTGAGGAAAAACTTGGGTTTTATCTCGCGATATTATCGATAATATCGCGATATATTTCCCAAATAATGTATTAAAATCATTGAAAATATCGAGATTTATTTGTCATATGCAAATTTGGGTTTTATCTCGCGATATTATCGATATTATCGCGATAATATCGATATTTTAACGATATATTAATGAATAGTGTATAAAATATTGCGATATGAAAAAAACGATAATATCGGCGAAACGATCTTTTCTTCCTTGGTCATTAGAACTGTATTCATTCATTTTCTTCCTTTTGAATGTGGTGTTCATTCCGTAACATTTTTCAACTATTCAAACCGTCTATATTTTAGTACACATCATTTATAGATCACCTTTGTAAAAATTTAGACAAATTCAAAAATATTAAGGCATTCAATTGTAGTGAAGAAATGAACGAATACGCTTTTTCAAAGAAATACTATTACGATTACCATTTAATCCAACAGTTAAATGATTTTGAATCTGGGTGATTTTTGTAGAGATAATCTTTGAGGAAAAACTTAAAAGATGAACGATTGCATCGTTGAAATCCGATGTGGACACAGGATCCCTCAACGGTCGTGCCAAAGGAAGAATCTTCCCAACAATTACCTAAGAATCTCGGGATATATGGCTAAGAATCTTCCCAATGGAAGGCATCAAGACTACTTAGCCAACGCGTTTTAAACGAATTAAGATCCATGTTATAATTCTGTTTTATGGACTATGGGATTTAGTAGTAGTACTGCACGGTCAGTTATGTCACGTTTCTTCAATAATTTGTGGAAGAAATGCGCACCATATTCATCTGATCATAGAAGAAAACCTACTGATACAGATCGAGATGAAGCTAAATGGGCGTTTCCAGAAGAATTGTGTCGTCGGTTTTCACTCGCGGAGATCATAGCAGCAACTCAAAACTTCAATGCTAGGTTAAGCTTGTCATCTGAAGTTAATGGCCTAATAGAAGAGTTTTTGGTGTTTAATCCCATTGAAGTTCCGAAAACAGAAGACGGTATTAATGTTAGTGCTCGAGGGGTCTACAAAGGATACACCAACCTCAACGGGGTAACTTCCACTGTAGCAATCAAGCGCATTCCCAGCACAAAGGGACGTGAGTTCAAGGCAGAGGTGCAGCTACTGTGCCAGTTGCGCCACCCCAATGTCATCTCCCTAATCGGATTCTGCCAAGACAAGGTAGGGTATGCCATTGTTTACGACTACATGTCCAATGGTTCCCTCTCTGATTCTCTTTTCAATCCTTATAACGATAAGAATCCCTTGTCTTGGAAGCAAAGGCTGAATATCTGCATTGGAGTGGCGCGCGCAATACACTACCTTCACGCAGGGGTTAAACATGCTGTCATCCACCGAGACGTCAAATGCGACAACATACTTTTGGACCAAAACTTAGAGGCCAAGCTTTCTAACTTCCGGCTGTCGAAGATGGGCCCTCCTTCTTTGTCAAATGCCTTAATCAGATTGAACTCTGCTTCCGAGGTGTCAGGTACAGTCGGATATCTTGATCCAGAGTATCTTCTGTCTCGCCAGCTTACGGAAAAATCTGATGTCTTCTCGTTTGGAGTGGTGTTATTCGAAGTTTTGTCTGCCAGTTTTGGAGCGATGCCACGAATATATATGGTTTGCCCAGATGATATTCTAGACCCATTTCTCATGGGAAAAATAGCTCCCGATTGTTTGTTAAAATTTTTGGACATCATCCAAAGATGCGTCCGCCCTACAGGAGCCCAACGGCCCACGATGGGTGAAGTGGAGGTGGAACTTGAGCTTGCACTGGAGCTGCAGGAGAGAGCAGATGCCGAAAAGGAGTTGAGGACAACTAGCACTCCTCTTGATCAGCCTGCCGACTGTGCCTACGGTTATGAAGGGATATCAGTTTCCGAATTGAATGAGACTTTCTCGTCCCTATACATGAGTAGACAGAGTCCAGTAGTTAGCCCAACCAGGTCTGCTGATTTTTCAGTACTTTCTGATGACGACGGTAGCTCTGAATTCGAATATTCTGGCCGGTAAATAATTAAAGTTTATGTAGAAAAACGCGATGCTGTTGGTAAAAAAAAAAGGGAAAAAAAATAAAAACTATTGAATGTATATTAGTCTTGTGTTTCTTGTATTAGTTTAATTGAATTTCGCATTGAAATTGGGGTGTGGCTTCCTAGCTAGCTAGCTACCAGTCGTTGGGTAGGTTTGGATGTTGACTTTTGGGTTGATATGAATTTTTCAAGCTTGGATTCTCTGCCCTCCTAATTTGATGTTCTTCTGTTTGTGTGGTCACGGTTAAGTCACGTCAATATTTTATATTACTATTTTTTTATCTTATTATTTTTATAAAAAACAATATAATCTGTTAGCATAAATTAACCGTGATCATACAGGCACGAAAAAAGCACCGAAATGGGAGGGCAGAGAATCCAACTCCCTCCTCAAATACAACATTCAGCGCATCTATCTGCTTTGATAGTGCCATTTACGACGTGTCTGTTTTGTGACCTCTGCTTTGCTGCCATCCCAATCCAACTCGAAGAAATTACTTGGTTCAGAATTTTCTCGCATTTATTTCCATGTCCCCATTACGAATTCGTTGGGGATGCCGCTTCAAAAGTAAGTCCTCTTTGCCCAGGAGTGCCAAGACTTATGATCATCATCAATTGATTCTTAATGTCTAAATCTAAGATTTTGAGCTCCTGATCTTGGAATTAGACAACAGTTAGCACAATGATGGGTTTCAGTACTACCGCAGAGTCCGTCTCATGTTTCTTCTTCTCTGCATGGAAGAAACTAGCATCATGGGATAAAAGTAGAAAACGCAGACAAAACCAAGATTGGGCCTTTATGGAGGAATTATGCCGCCGATTTTCGCTAGATGAGATCATAGCAGCCACTGAATGCTTCAACGACAAGTTCCATATTGGTAGCAGTACCATGGGCTCAGTCTATAAAGGGTACATCAACGGCGGGGCAACTGTTGTTGCAGTCAAGCGATTTACAGGCAGCAGACAAGACTTCAGGAATGAGGTGCTGCTGTCCTGCCAGCTGCGCCACCCCAACCTTGTCCCTGTTATTGGATTCTGTGAAGAAAAGGAGGAACTCATCCTTGTCTACGACTACACATCCAAAGGTGCCCTCTCTTCTAAGCTGTTCAAAAGAGCGGATCTTGATCCGCTGCCCTGGAGGCAGAGGCTGAACATATGTATCGGGATAGCACGCGCATTGCATTATCTCCATGCAGGGCTAAAACATGTTATTGTCCACCGCGACGTGAAATGCTCCATCATACTATTGGATGAAAGGTTCGAAGCAAGGGTTTCAAACTTACTAACGTTCAAGATGGGTCCTCCTAGTTTGTCAAATAAATTCATACGAGTGACCTCTGGTAGGATCGTGGGCACTTTCGGGTATATTGATCCCGAGTATATCCATTTGGAACAATTTACAGAAAAATCTGATGTCTACTCGTTTGGAATGGTGCTGCTGGAAGTGTTGACTGCCAAATGGGCAAAAGAGTTTCATACATACACAGGCAGGCCGGACACCTTATGCGATATAATGGACCCTTCTTTGAGGGGTAAAATAGCTCCTGATTGTTTGCAAAAATTTATGGATATCGTTTACAGATGTACAAGTCCTACAGGAGCAGAGCGGCCCTCAGTGGGCGAAGTGCAAGTGGAACTGGAGTGCGCATTGGAGCTGCAAGACAGCGCAGATACCAAGAAGGACGCTTGTGTTGGTCATGCAGGTGACTATAGCTACCAAGGGATGTCAATTTGTGAAATTGAAGATATTTTCTCATTTTTGTTTAGGCAGCCGTCAACTTCGGATGTGTCAACTCTTGATTTGAATAGCATCGATTTTTCTGCTTCTGATGATGGTTGATTCAAATCAAACAGGGCAACACTAATGTAGACATTTTTATGTATACCATGCCCTTAAATCCATTTGTTTTAACAATAAGCTCGTATTTACATACGTTTGGAACAATAGCGAAGATTTGGTAAATTTTGTTTCTTTTTCTTCCAACTTAGGTGCTTCAAATTGTCTGACCAAAAACAAAGAGAATTGAGTGTTACAGGAGCACTATATCTACAAGCAGGGCTTGACAATTCATACAGCTATCAATCAACCGAGAGCAAAAGACCGTTTGCTTGACTCCTGTTGTAAACTGAAATTGAAGGGAAAGAAATTACCTGGAAAATGTAGAAGCCTTGAGTGGAGAATGATTCTTGGGATGAGTCGCGGACTAAGTCGTTCTCTCTAAGACGTTTCGCAGCTCTGCCCAAAGTGTGGAAGCAGTTCACAAACACCACGTCGTCCCTAAGATAAAACAGCCCAAAATCATCTTCTTCTAATAAGGTTCTTCCTTGCACACTGGAAGAACTTTCGAACTTCACACCCTTTTCAAAATGTTGCTTTCAGAACTCAATTTTTGTTTTGAAAATTATATAAACTATTGTTTTCTTTTTCCTGCATCTCCTTGTACAGGAGATCAATATATATATATATATATATAACCGCAAGGAATTACAGCAAAAGAAATCAATACGTACAATCAACAACGGAACGAAATTAAGTACATGGACTTGATCTTTATCTTTATAGAAGGAATTCTATCTTTAAGATGAGAAGCTTTCTCACGTTTCTTTTTGTGGAAATAAATCAATTGTCAAATCATAGGTTAATAATAAACTTATAAAGTTAATTACTACTTACGTTTTATATTTAAAATTTGTAATAAATCAAAATATAAATATATTTAAAATATTTAAATAAAAACATATTTATTCCAACAACTCCTTGAGTCTTTGAGTCCTGACACTGTCCTTTTTATGGTTGCATAAATGCTTTATATCATCCAATTATAAATTTTTTGGGGTCTGAACTTTAGATCATTGCATTGCACCTAACATCTCCATATAAAACTATATATCACCAGATCAATTCTAACTAGATTTAGCCACCATCAAACCCTAGCCATCAAGGATACAAAAAAGAAAAGAAATCAGCTATTACATCCAGTGACCAAATATTAAAAAAATATGTTAATTGATCAAATCCGAAATGGCTACAGGGATTGAAGAAAGGAAGGTACCCTACACAACATGCCAATTATCATGCGGGTCTTTTAGGTTGGGGTCCAACAACATAGTTGTTTTTTAGACTAGGTTCAGTTATTCAATTCCTTTTCTTATACCAATTTTGTCATTTCAGATAAAAAATATAAATTTATATCAAGCTTACTCTTATCATATCTACTTCAGATTTCGTTTGCGCACAGGCTATTACCTTAATTAGTGTTGGATTAGCAAATTACACTTATCGCAGTGACGGAAAGAAATAATGTATATGCACTTCGGTGCATGTTTGATCCTCACCAATCCCTTGCCCCTATAATTAACAATTTAACCTACTAACGTTATCGTTTGTTATAAAAATAAAAAATAAAAAATAAAAAAATTAGTGTATGCATTAAATTATAAAATAAAAGGATTTAAAAAAGTTATAAACATATGGAGTTTGAGGGATTTTTAATGGATTTCCATGGACCTCCTGTGAATTTTGAGCAAAATTCCTCCAAAATCTCACTGGAAGAAGCATAATTTTGTAGACTAAATCAGACTATATATGAAATTCATCAAAATCATTCACTTTTAAAATCTTTTAAAATCTCAATTGAATACATTCCTTTATAGGTTGAGAAGGCCAGGTGTGAGTGCAGGCGTTTTAAGGATTTTTCTTTTTTCAAGTATAAGGGTTAGGTTTGACAGCGGTGGTGTGTGTGTTTCTTCTTTGCTTTTTGCCATTTTGGTAATTTCTTGTATTTCCAATTTTTTATTCGTTAATTAAATTATTTTACCTTTTTTCCACAAATACATTTTCACATACCAGGTATATGCATACATAGGCTATAGCAAAGGTATTTTAAGACGGACTTAACCTGGCGATATTATTTTGTAATTCCTGTTAACCGCTAATTTGTTTAAAAGAAAAAAAAAATGAACTCGAATATAGTCAATTGGAAGAATTGGTGAAAATAATATTTTAGTTAAAGTGAAAAGATTTCACATACTAGGTTTATGCACGGTCATTGACGTTGTTTTCAATTTACTTGTGCGCCGCACAAATTATCTTTATTTTTTTGGACAAATATCTTTTCTTTTGTTAAAAAAGTAAATTCTAGTCAAAAAATGCAAATGAACATTCCTAAAATATATGAAGCTTTAAGGTGGGAAAATTAATACTATATATTTCTTATATAAGAGTATTAATTATATTTAAAGTTATAGACTACCATCATAAACTTGTAAATTTCTATGGAGGTGTAGAATTCATGCTTCTTCTTCATTTTTTTTTTATAAGAAATCAAGTGATTTTTCTAAACTTCATTGTATTTTATAAATTTCGACAAGTGTTTGAGATACATTTGCAGATAAACAAACGAAAAATAGACTTGGGAACACGGATTTTTTTTTTTCATTTATCATGTGATTACATACAAGTGTAAAAAAAATACCCATGAAGTTGAATTTCTTTCCTGAATTCTCAAGATTGAGATAAAGACATAGGAAAATTCTAAAAATTAGAGATAATTAAACAAGCTAGGAACTAGTTAGTAGCAGTGAGGTCCTCTCTATAGCCTGATTTGCACGGTCTAGACTAGTTAGTATCAATGAGGTTCTTAATAAGGGTAGTATTGCAAGAGATAAAACTTAGCTAGAACTTTCTGTTATTCTAGTTAGTTAAGTAGTTCTTTGATAAATGTATATATAAGCATCAAGTGTAATCTTATTGATTGAGTGAAATACAATCACATTTATATTTTTTACTTCTCTCTCTACATTTCTATCTTCCACAGAATCTCTCTCTCTAGACTTTATCATGGTTTCATTGCCATTTGTCTACCGACTCTCCCGATCCTAATCGCTTCTGCACCGCCTC